AATGTGTTGAACAGGCGCTGGTTTACACAGCTTGCCTAACACAGCCGTCACAAGATATGGAACGGCACAGCCGGTTACTGCAATAACCGAGGCTGTACTACTCATGTGGTACACACACAGCTTCGCTGTGTACGCACTGCTTCTCTGTGCGACTGTGCATCCTGGGAATGTACTGTATAGTACTACGTAGCCACAGATGTACAGTAGTATATATAGGGGACCTCTGTACCCCCAATCTACAGTTCAGTTCACTCGAACGTCTCCTCTCATCGCTCTAACAAGCCTCTTACAACCAACAACCCTTCTAGGTGAGTTGCAGGCTATCTGCTGTCGTTGCCACCCGTGGGAGAGGCCTTCGCCCCCCGGGTTCAACAGAATGGGGTCGAGACCTTGACGTCCCAATGTGGTGTTCGGAGCTCAGGGTAGATCTGGATCGGCGCTCAGGCTTACAACACCTTCGAATTGCTACATAGTACCAGTACCCTTGCCTCTTGAGTTTTGGTAGACTCTATAAATCTGCTTATCACGACGAAACCTCTAAGTAACTGGATAGGTGAACCTGAGGTTTCAGTCGCGATATTTCAGGTCATTCAGCTGCTCGTGACGGAACGCGTCGCGTCGAGTGACCACGCGTGTCCGACTTCCGCGTCTTGTTTTGTCTTCCACCGCACCCGGCCACACTCTCCGCGAACCGGACTCACCGTCATGGCCACATCGCCTGAACGCCCACAACAGCTCGTCGCCGAAGAGGATCCAGCACCCATTGAGATGGAGCCTGCTGCAGAAGACAGCCAGCCTACGGGAGAAACGTCAACAGAGAACGCGAAACCGAAGAAAGCCAAGTCATCAGCGTCCGAGCCTCTCAAGCGTGAACCGGGAAAGTCGTTATTCCCATACTCTCGCATACAGAAGATATTGAAGGAGGACACGGTGAGAGCAACACAACTCCGTTGCGTTGGGCTGATACGGTGCTGAAGGCCCGCGTGGCACGCGCAGGAGCTCATCATGGTCCAGCGAGAAGCAGTCTTCGCCATTTCAAGGGCGACCGAGGAGTTCGTCGCGAGGCTCGCCGAAGCTTGTCAGCGCGCAGCAGCGAGGGACGGGAGGGCGACCGTGCAGCACAAGGACCTTGGTATGTCGAGTCTACTTTTGTTCTGCGTATGAGCCCGCGCCAAATGACTGTCTACGTAGTAACGTGTGTACGACGGGCAGACGAGTTCGCTTTCCTCGAAGGCATGTTTATCCTATCGTGAATGCAGCGCGTACTGACACCGTGTGCGCCGCAGACCTGCTTCCATGGATAGAGCCAGAGTCTGCGTCTACCACAAAACAAGGCAAGGGAAAAAGCGGAAGGACAAAGGATGAGACATCAAAGGACAAGAAAGCACCAACCACGCTCGACCAGTTCGTCCGGTCTGGGAAGGACGATTCGCAGGAACCACCGGGAGAGGTATTGGTGAATGAGGATGGGACGTTGTCAGGAGGAGGGCCGTCGGAGGAAACGTCGTGATCACAGGCTTGATTGCTTGGGCTTGGGTGTAACATAGTGAGTCGGGCCTCATGTGGTGTTCAATTCCTCTGAAGTGACCTATGTGGCGGCGCAAGTATCCCGTCCTGTGGGTCCTAAAAGGCTGTACAATATACCATCTCTTTCCACCGGTGCCTCCAACAGAAACGCGAGCCGCAACACAAGTTCCCTCAGGTCTGCTGTACGTCGCTCAATGGCCATCGTGACACGCCGCAGGCGCCCCAGCGGCCTGAAACCTGTCCCGGTGGGACAAAGGCTAGTGGGGTAGCTCTGACGTGTGGTTTGTTGCGCGGTCCTACTTACGAGAGTCCGTCGCTCAACTTCGACACGATGCACACTTAGACCAATTACGTATCCCCGGTGAGCACTTTATTCCGAGTTGCGCCCTCAGCGGAACTAGTGGAGGCACCTGTCTACTTGGTCGTCTCATGCTGAGACTTCTACTCGTAGGTGGACACCAAGAATGTTCTTGAGAGCTCAGTACACAACACAATCCCGACCACGGCCTGGACAGCACAGTCTCCATATGATAGTCAGGGTCCCGTCGCTAAGGGATAACTGGTTCAAGCGGTGAGTCCGTTGTTCTCAGACGAGCGGGAATGACTACGAGTGCTATGCAATTATACTGCGCGAGTTTTGTGCCCTCGCAGCGACACGGCCTCGAGGTTACACGCACTCGATTATCGCGCTAGAGAACAGCTTGCGTAGTATAGCCTGTATGCTTACATATTGGTCGAATGCGCCTTCAGCTCATCAGGGCGTGGCCTGACGATGTCGTACAAGCGCGCCTGTTGTGGACATTCTCGTTAATTTCTACAGTACAGAAGCACAAAGACGTCGAGCGCGGCCGAATGTGGACCCCCAGGCTGCATCGACTGCCCGACTGTCGCGGAAAGGACGCACTCTTCCCACCACCGACATCCGTCAATTACACAGTTAGGGGCGCAATCTGATCGCCGCAGTGACGTCGGCGATGTGTGCTGCATGGGAGCGCAGCGCTGGCGCGGTTTAGTGCAACGCTCAGTGATTGCACCTGACAGCTCTGCGACAGCAAGCACCGTCCTCTTGATATTGATGGAGGTCGTGTGCAGCTATAGCGAACCCCACATCCCGGAGAAAGTGCTGGTGCGCTGGTACGTTTGGGATTTGTCGTTGCGTTGCACATGGGGAGAATGCCAGCTTACTGGCAGACTCACCACGGCCGTCTGATATATGGAATGAGCTAGCATGGAGATCGGCCCCTAGGTCCTCCGCAAGGTTCTGGTCCAAAGTTGTGCATGGGCGTAGTCCAATGAATTGCGATCAAACGGGCGCCTTCTCGCTCCGGGATGTCGGGCAGACCGAAGGTGGACGCCACCAACTCTAAATACCCCACCATCAGAATCCATCATTGAGGCTACTGCCTAATGTGGCGAGCCATCTGCACTAGCGCGTACCTGTCGCAGCTCATCCGAGGTCCAATGATGTATCTTGGGAGACGGGCGACACTGGTTGGCACCGCCCAGAGCGTAACGTAAGTATGTAGCGCCTTGGTGGGCCTAGCATGGCGCTACAGAACCCCCGGCTGAGTGCTATAAGACCATGGGGGTGCGGCGAGGTTCGTACTTGGCTTGGCGCGTCGAAAATTTCGTTTTCCTGCTCCTATTCTTCTCCCATACTTTCTGCTCGATTCGGACACCATTCTTTCGTCGATCCTCTACGTGTCCCGCCCCTGTTTGAGGCTTTCCAGGATCGAGGACGGACGGGGATAAGTACCGCGAGCTCTTTTGTTCCGACGCCCGTTTACGCTACCTCAATGGGCCCTGGCCATGAATGGCCTGAACGCCACAATCCCTGAGGACGTTCGCGCCCAAGCGAACGTGGAGGTGTATGAGTTGTACGTCCTCTTCACACTTTCGCAGGTCGTCTTCAACGATGATCTCCGGCTGTGCTGACTTTCGTTCATCGCTGGCGCTGCCGGTTATGCAACAACAGGAGGACCACATTTGTAAGTATATTCTCGCTTCTGCGCGCCCTCAAACCATGCTGACCTTGCTGCCTTGTGCACAGTACGTGGGCCTGGCCAGTTACACTGTATTGTTATATGACCACTTCCTCACCCTCGGTGACGAGGTGAAATACATATGGATGAAGAGGAAACGAAGTCCACGTATGTTCCTTATCCTATAGTCACGCTGTTTCGCTACGGGCTAACCCATGTGACATCGCAGTCGTTTGGCTATTCTTTCTTGTAAGTTTACATATGCCATGTTAAGCATGGTCTACCGTTCCCTAATAATCTACTGGCGCAGAATCGCTATTTGACGCCGCTTGCCTTCATTGGTAACTTATACGGTGCGTTCCCTTCGTCGTTCGTTCACGCCCTTGACCTGACCGCGGAAACAGCATATTTCTCTAACACTCTCGACTACGACAAGTGCGGATGTTCCCAAAGCCTACCGCATGTCAACCTCATGCTGACATCCGTGCAGATGTAAACACTTTGTACGATACGAAGGCGCGACGACGGTCATTGGCATCAACATCGCGTCGCTCATGATGCTGCTCCGAGTATACGCGATGTATGAGAAGAGGAAGGCCATTGTCGCCTTCGTTGCGCTCGTGCTCGCGCTCGAGCTCGGGACTAACGCCTGGCTGCTCACAAACGGGATCGGTACGTGTCCGCATCTCTCATATCCTCGGCGTTCCAGTACCCTGTGCTCGTCTGACGCAGTTGTTTCTCCCAGCTGTGCATCACACCCCCCACATCAAAGGTATGTATGACAAGCTCCCATCCAGCCAAGCTGACTCCTATACTGACGATCAAAGGTTACCAAGCTTGCACCATGATCTTCGACACGAGCAAAGTGCCAGTGTCAATCCTGTTTCACCCTATCACGCGTTCAACAGGCTGACTGGCGTTTGTTTGTGTTGTGCAGTAAGGGAGTCGCCGCCTCCGCCTCCGCCTGGACCCCGCTCGTCTTCGACACGCTCGTTCTTGGTCTCACAATGTACCGCACCTACAGCGGGATCCGAAAGCCTACTGTGGGCCGGACGATGTGGATCCTGCTCAAGGAAGGTGTTATGTATTATAGGTGCGTAATACGCGACCGTCCTTGAGATCTTGAAGAGTAGCGGGAGATGGTTGACTTGGAGACTCTAGCGTAATCTTCTGCGTCACCCTCGTCTTAACGCTCATGATTGTATTCGCCCCACCCGGAATCCAGAATCTTTGCGCACAGTAAGTCTGACCTCAACATGCGTACCTTGATCAATCGGTTTTACTTACGGCGCCTGATGCGTCTTTCATGATAGGATGGAATACCTGTAAGTGCCGCTCATCGCAAGCCAGCTCTGCATGCCGCGACGCTGACCACTCACACTGCAGCCTGACCGTTGCGATGATGTCGCGCATCACCCTGCACCTGAAACGCGCCGCGCACAAACAGGACAGCCTCGGCTCGACGTACGACCTCTCCTCGTCGTCCATGATGATCTCGAGCGGCCGCCCCGGCTCCCCCATCGCCTTCGCGCCTCGCCTGCCAACTGGGCACAGCCTGAACACCGCGTTCAACATCTCCATCCAGTCGCAGACCGTCATGCACGACGACCACGGGGAGGAGCTCTCCGACATGCCGCGGCGCAAGACGTCGCTGCCGCACGCTCCGGGGCTGGCGCACGTCGTCACGCCGCCGCGGACCACGCGCCGTCCGGGGAGGGCGGGGCATGGGCCTGGGGAGTGGTACGAGTTTGCGCCGTTGAGGTTCCAGGCGGATCGGGAGCGCGAGTTGGAGCGGGATAGGAAGGTTCGTCTGGATAGAGACGATGTGTAGAGAGGGCATTGTGATGATTTGATATGTCGTTCTTGATGAGGAGTCCAAAGTTGACATGTATTGTACGTTGTGTGTTCGTTGTGAGTATACTGTATCTTGCGCGTAGTACATGACAGTCTACACCTAGTATTGCCTCGACACTAGTACTGACTTATGATATCCATGTTCTGTCGTCGCCGAGCGAATGGAGAGATAATCACCATCACGATGCTTTCATGTGAGCAAGCTTAGAGGGGTACGTCTGGAAGGACTTCGCTTAGTGGCTTGGCAAAGAGCGGACGCGGTCACGTGATGTTCCAGCGGATGTAAAAATCAGCGTCGCATGCCCCGCGCCGGGTGGTGTGCTCGGATCACCGGAACTCCCCGGCCGAGCCCCAACCCTACCGCACCGAGGCCATTGCCCAACTCTGTTCCACCTCTGGAAGCACTTGAATATATCGGGTATCTGTGTTGGGAACATACCAGATAAGAGATCGAGTATTCTGTAGCTCGAAAAGCGGCATCGCTCGTCGGGGCACGTCTCGAACAGTCACCGCGAGCGTGTCCCCGAGCTGGAAGGTGGCCGGAGAGCAGGCTGGCGGGGCTCGGCAGGTGCCTGCCGCTGATCCGAGCATACCACCCGGCGCGGGGCATGCGACGCTGATTTTTACATTCGCTGTCATGCGAAGTATTCGTATGATTTGGGTAATTCTATCCACAATAACCACCCAGGTTCCTGGGCAGACACGCGTTGCGGAGAAGCAGCTGAACTCTGAAGAACTCCTAGACGGCGAGAGCAACTCTCGGAGGATTTTGCGGGGTCCGGGCCGCCTAATGGCGCCCATGGAAGCTGCTGCAACTCCCGATCGGGCGCACAGGTGACGTCCTCGCCGAGTCGCTGGGTGAAGTCGTCCCATCTCTGTAAGCTGCTCGGCGTACTGCTGCACAATCGAACGAGGGTCTCTCTTGCTCCTGCAGATCTCGACGAATGCTCTCCTAACTTCTCTGCTGTCTATCGCATTGTACACTACTTGGTCGTTAACCCTGCGCACCGAAGACATCTACGAGGAATATGCGGGTCGTCGGCACATTTCATCCCTCATCCTCCGTCTCGCGCTCCCTCAAATGCACTCTGACGGCGGACCCGAGCCTGGAGTTTCTCGTCATTGCCAAGACAGACAAGCTCGAAGTGCACTCCCTCCAGCCGGAAGGCCTGAAGCGGGAATGCGTGTTGGACATGTGGGGGAGGGTCGTGGGTCTGCAGGCCGTACCAGCCGAAGTAAGTCTGCTGGAACCGTAGCGAGCGACCGGACGACGCTCAGAGATGCGTGAACTTGCAGGAAGAAGGGCGGTCGCATATTCTGGCCATGACCGACCACCCCGATCCTGAGCTTATCCTCCTCTCGTACGATGTGAAAGACGGCGTCGCTTCCCTCACCCCGGCAGGCCACCATTCTCTTGCGGACCGGGCGGCACGACAGGCAGAGTTCGTGACCGACTTCCAGGTCGATCCCTCCGGAACAGTTGCCGTTGCAAGTTGCTACACAGGGAAGCTCAAGGTCGTCACAGTGAGCGATGGAAAATTGGATACAGCGTTTGACGTCTCGTGCGTACGCCTTCAATCCCTCTAAGATATCCACTCAAAGTGGTCTTTCGCTGCTTGCAGGCTCCCCGAGCTCAACCTCCTGGCCTTCACGTTCCTACACACAGGCCAGGAAGATCGCTACTCCCTCGCCCTCCTCCACCTCAACCATCGCCGCCAAATCCAGCTCCTCTGCCGCGATGTTGACCTCGCCGAATTCGAGCTCTCCCCCGTACACTCCAACATCCTCCTCACAGCGACCCTATCAGACAAGACTTTCCCCTCACTCGAGTCCCCCCTGATGCTCGTCCCGATCCCGCAGCACGAGACGGACGCCGACGAAGGCGACGACGACGCTCCCGCGCACCGCGGCGGGGTGCTCATCCTCGGGGGCCGCAAGATCCTCTTCTACGAGCACTCGACGGAAGAGCAGCAGGAGACACGCAAAGAGAAGCACCGTCGGCTGAGCAAGCGCCTCGCGAGCGAGGACGAGGCGAAGGCGCAGGAGGCGAAGAAGAAGGAGAAGGAGCGCGAGTCGAGGAGGATCAAGCCCCGCGCGAGCGTGAAGTGGCCCTGGGCGGCAGTGACGGCGTACGTGCGAGCCCCGGTCGGCTCACTTGTTCTGTTCGCGTGCTGACCTCTGGATATGCGCTATGTCTCTGTCTTTGATGTATAGATGGACCGCCGTGGACGCGGAACGGAGACGAGTCTTGCTCGGGGACGCGTACGGCCGCCTCGCCATGATCGCGTTCGACGACGGCAAGATGTGTCTGAACCTGATCCCTCTAGGCGAAGTGCGTTTCTTCTGCTTACGCGATACAGACCCAACGGCTCAAAGCTCGCACAGGCTTCATCCCCAACGTGTTTGTCGTATCTCTCGTCGCAAGTGCTGTATCTCGGCTCGCATTACGGCGACTCGCAGCTGCTGCGCATCCACCCCACCCCGTTCGCGAACGCCACGGTCGACACGCTGCCCATACCCAGAGGCGTGTCGTCGGTCCCGCCCTCATCGCTCGCAGGGTCCGGAAAAGGCAAAGCTAAGGCGACCTCTGGGGTAGGCGACGCGGAAAGCGGCAGCGCGCGTGAAGGCAGGGTCGTGAACACGCAGGGTACGTTCCTCGAGGTGCTGCAGAACTTCGACAACATCGCGCCCATCATGGACGCGGCGCTCGCGGATATAGACGGGAGCGGCCAGGTACGTGCTTTTCCTTCTACTCATTTCCGAGGCGCGAAGCGCGTACATGACGATTTGCTCACATCGTATATGGGCAGCCGCAAGTCATCACTTCTTCTGGAGGGCGCAATACGGGCTCGCTGCGCGTCATACGGACAGAGGCAGACTTCCAGGAGCAGGCGAGGTTGGATGGCTTGATCGGCGTCACCGATATCTGGCCAGTCAAGACGCACTCTGCGGAGCCGTAAGTGATAGTACCGTCCTCTGCTGCCGTGCTGTCGACTCATTGTCCTGTTAGGATACACACACACCTCGTCGTCTCGACTCTGCGCGAAACGCACGTATTCGCGTTCGAAGGCAAGGACGCGATAGCGCACCTCGACCCGTCTGTCGCAGGCTTCACCACGCACGCGCCAACGTTCGTCCTCGGCAATATCCCGCGGAGGGTAGTCTCTGCGAGCGGGACGTCGTCGTACGAACACTCGTCGTTGGTCGTGCAGATTACGTCGGAGGGTATTCAGCTGGTGGAGTATGAGCCTACCTTATTTGCGTTCGGGAAAGTCGGCCCGGGGTGGTATCCGAAGCAGGTGGGCGGAGAGTATGCAGGGCGTGAGATCGTTGCGGCGGCGATGAGCCCGAGCCAGTTTGTCGTGGGGCTGAGCGGAGGACGGCTGGCGCTCTTCAACCTGGGCCAGAAGGACACCGTGCAGTTGTTGACGTGAGTCGTCGCCAAGGCGAGTCAAAATGTGGTGTCTCTCTGACAGGTCTCATCTAGGACGCGCAACTTCCCAGACGAGATCTGCGCCATCTCCTGCCAGCCCTACGATTCGTCCAAGAATTACGCAAGCGCGATCGCCGTCTCCTTCTGGGGCTCGAACAAAGTTGCAGTCCTCGCGCTCGACCCCTCATCGCCCCTCGCGACGGTCTGTGACACCGCGCTGCCGACGCTACCGCGCGTGGTGCTTCTGCACAACTTCGGCACGGGCGGCCGGCCGAAGGACCCAGATTTCCACCCGCACCTCCTCGTCGGCCTCGCGGACGGCACGCTCGTCACGTACGCGCTGCGAGACGGGAAACTGCACGATCGGAAACAGAGTGGGCTGGGGAACGCTCCCGCGAGCTTGTCGGTGTGCGATGTCGATGGGAGGACGGTCGTGTTCGCGAGCGGGGCGAGGTCTAGCGTGTTGTTCTGGGATCGGCAGAGGGTCCGGCCGTCCCCAGTATCCGTCAAGGTTAGCGTACTGCTACCGACTATGTGCTGGGACGAGACTTACGAGAATTGCTCCGTGCAGGACATGATCAAGGGCGTGACTCTCAATACTGCGGCGTTCCCGTCGTGCTTGGCTATCGCGACGTCTTCGGCGCTGCTGATTGGCACCGTGCGTGGCTTGGATAAGATGCAGATCCGAACGGTACGCGTGCTTCTGCGATTACCCAGTTCACGAACACTTGGCTCACGGTACGATGTTCAACATTCCAGATTCCACTCGGTCTGGACAGTCCAAGAAGGCTAGGCTATCACGCCGGACAGGGAGTGTTTGGTGTCGCGTGCACGCGCACGACTCCTGACAGGATTGGTGACTATGAGGAGGTGACGGGATCGTTCAAGCTACTGGACGCGCACTCGTTCCAACGTACGCCCCGTTCCCCCCCTCTTCTTTGACCTCGCGTTCTGAATATTTTAACAGAGCTGCACAACTTCTTGTGCCAAGCTGACGAAGAGCCTTCATCCGTTCTGACGCTTCCGGCCCACGGGTCAGGGGCGTCTCCTGCTTTCGCCCTCGGGACGGTGTACATCCGTCCAGAAGAGAGGGAGCCATCGAAGGGGCGCATCTTGTTGTTCTCAGTCTCGTCTACGGAGGGCGCACGGGGTGCGAACGTGCGCTCTTTGCATACCCTCGCGTCAGTGAACGTCGGGGGGTGCGTGTATGCACTCGCGAACCTCTCAGAGAACCTCATCGTCGCCGCCATAAACACCTCTGTACGTTACGTCTAACCTGTGTCGAGCTCGGCTGCGAGTGCTGACGAGCACCATGCAGGTCGTGCTCTTCAAGAGCACCGAGAACGAAGCAGGAGAATCAACGCCTCTGTCGCTGGAGAAGGTCACGGAGTGGAACCACAACCATTTCGTCACCAACGTCGTTGTGGATGGTGAACGCATCCTTGTCGGCGACGCGATAAGCTCCGTCTCGGTCCTCAAGTGGAATGAGCGGCTAGAACGGCTAGAAAGCATCGCACGCGACTACGGCCCGCTTTGGCCAATCGCGATTGAGGGCACCGGCAACGGTCTCATCGGCGCGAACGTACGTGGTTCTATTTTGTTCTCTGATGTTATATATTCAGTGCATCTGGTCATAGGCGGATTGTAACCTGTTCTCCTTCTCACTTCAAAGCGTTCCGCACCGAACTTACCTCGAAAAGGACGGGGTCTATCATCTCAACGACGTAACGAACAAGTTCGTCAGAGGTCTGTTGCTTTCCTGCTGACCTGGAGTTGAGGTACTCATATGCTGGGCAGGTGCCCTGACATCGACCGACGTCGCCGAGGACCAGGTCGTGAAAGCGAGCCATGTATTCTTCACGTCCACCGGTTGCATAGGCGCGATCTTGGACATGAACGACGTCACGTCATTACACATGACTGCGCTACAGCGCAACATGGCCAAGACGCTCACAGGGCCGGGCGGAGACAACCATACGAAGTACGCTCCGGTCACCTTGTCTCCAAGCTCGTCGTCGCCTAACCTGTTTTTCCAGACTGAGAGCTCCCTCTACTCCGCGCGGGCATACCGACGCGGAAGCATCCTATGGGTTCTTGGACGGCGACTTCTTGGAGCAATACCTGACCCACCCGCATCCAGAGCAGTTCATGGAAGGCGAAGTCGAAGCGGAGCGCATCACATTGTCCATCGACGCCGTTAAGGATGTCCTCGTGCAAATGCAAAGTCTGCACTGACGGTGCCTACATGTCAGATAGAATCACGTATTGTGTAGCAAACTAAACGTAGAGTTGTTGTAGTATACGCTGTATTCCTACCGGATTGCCACATTCCTTGCTGTGACTGATGATAGCGCGAGACTTTGCGTGCAAACAATCACATATCGGCCAAAGATCGTCTAATAACAGTCTACGGATACAACAACTTCAAGAGAAGCGGATTGAAAAGACCCTTCTAAGATGACTTTCACAGTAGCTGATCCAAGCGCCATTGGTGACTGCGGGATCACCAACCCGGCGTACCCAATCACATGTTCGTGGCCTTGTCCACGTCAATGCCAGACTCTGCACTGCCGTGGCTTGCGTTGATGTCGAGATGTACAGGTCCGAGCTCATGCCATTCGTCCCGGCGCGCAGGGCCCTTCCCAAAGGCCACAGGCGTCGCTGTCTTCGGCATGTCGACAACACCGCCGCGGTCGTCATGCGTCAACCGCTGCACTGTGATACTAACTTCTGGCGCGCGCGTGAACCGGACGCGGCCAGGAGCATGCTCGGATGTGGATACGAAGAGACCGTCGGAGTCGTGGCCGCCATGCGTCTGCTTCTTGAGATGGAGGGTGATGCGGGACATCATGGCCACGGTAAGCCTGCACGGTTTTGGGAACTTATCAGGTCTACTGTCTGACGATCGCTGACAGAGTGAAAGGAAGGAGGGTGAGAGGACCCACAAATATTCAGTTCTAGGGGGCAAAATGGACATGTCAGCATTCTTACATGAAAGAGGTTAACAGGGAGGATATGAACTGACTGTGCTGTGATGTTCTTGAGGCCGTCGGGAGCCAAGAGGATCATGAAAGTCAAAATGAACGTGATGGTGAAGATGACACTGGTTATGAGCGCGGTTGTGGCGTTAGAACCCTGCTGACCCAGCCAAGGCTCATTGAAGAGCTCACCCATAGTAGACAAGTCCTTCCTTGGCAACGACACGCATGATCCTTCCTGCCGATGCATTCCTTATATGTTTATATGTCTTCAGGAGCGTAAGGATCAGAATCACGGTATCGTAAAGCAATGGCAGCCATGCAGATGCAGACGCGACGCCGCCGGGCCTGTAAGTGGTTACGCGTCATTGACAAGCGATTATAACGTGTTAGGGGCAGGACGCACACTTTCGTTGAGTCGAAAATCATAGTACACGCTAATTACAAGGTCAGTACACCGGCATTACATTTCGTCCGCTATCGTCTCAGACACTTGCCATGAATGTTGTGGGAGTGGCGGACGGCTATACGGCTGTCATATCGAGCATCGTGATCGCGGATTGTAGAAGAAGACGTACCGATACCGTGCGACAGTAGCCAGGCATTTACACCAAGTTCACAGAGGAATACGGCAGCCACTAGGGCCACCACAAGCTTCCGTCCCTCGTAGATCGCATAGATCCGGAGAAGCATCATCAGCGCCGTCACATTTATGCCCATGAGGGTCATCGTGCCTTCATAGCGAACGAAATGCTGACACCTATTGGTTCGTTGATTGAGACTACGAGCAGGGCTTGTTGTGCGGAGGGAGATATACTGACGTCTAAAACACCGACTTCAGGTTGGGAAGAGGACACGAGGTACATGAGCCTTACTTCCGGTGTGAAATAGCTCGAAAAGTAGGCTACAAGTAGCCATCAGAGAGGGAAGTGTGAAAAGCACGAACAAGTGGGTGCCCGTACCGAACAGATTCACACAAAAGCCTAGGGGAGTCATATACCGGTTCTGCGAAGTCTTCGTGACACCTACGGCCAAGAGGTAGAGAAAGAATGCACTCACCAAGAAGAACAGATAAATGACTACGCAAGAAGTTGTCAGCCGATTGGCCAAGTCGAAACGCGGAGGCACATACGGGCGCTCTTCTTCCTCTTCCAAACGTACTCGATCTAAGCAACGAAGTCAGCTAACGTCCAGAGACTCACTCACGTGATAGCATACCTCGTCCGACAGCGTTACCAAGTGGTCCCATACCAGAACGGTGAAACTTGCGACGCCGACATACTGCAAGTGAAGGGCTATAACCGGATGCCGAATGAGGTAAGAATAACAGACGTACGAATGTCGTTGTACTGATGAGAAGAGTCAGCCATGTAAGATGAGGTGAATAGATAGACGAACTGCACATACAGCTCTGCAACTTCAGAGATCACCGCGGCATTGGGATCTGATGCTCCACCCATAATGACCCATGGAGTACCGTCGCACCAACTCAATGACCCCAGCGCTATCGGAGCCGTAGAAGCCAAGGGGGCGGATGAGGTCGTACACGGGACGAGCTAGAATATCAGGAGCATATAACGGCCCAAGAAACCGGGTCACGCACTCCAAAGCGCAACTCTGACGAGCGCTCGGAGCCCAGAGTCGCCACAATCGAGATTCCAGGTAAGGTCCTGTTCGAAGCTGTCAACGGGCGACGGTCGAGGGCAATTAGTCGGCACCGGCGCGCATTAATATATTGGTACCTGGGAGTTGAGCACACTTTGCGCTCTTGGGAGCTCAGTACAACCATCCGACATCACACCGCCACCGCAAGGAATTTGTCAACGTACGCAAGCATTATGAAAGTGGAGCACGAGCACGCTGCTGAATACGAAGGAGCCCGTGCTCTGCTATCAGCTTGAGGGTTCGATGTGCTCATGACAGTCAAGGAAGTGGCACCTTAATAGATGCAAGCGCCGCGACCTTCCACTGCATAGCTTGGCTGCTTGGCATCGGGACGCATGAATCGCAATCGGCAGTAACTGTCATTGACATGATCGGTACCTCGTCCTTGGCTGCGGGAGTTATTGGCTGCGGGAGGTCGCTTTGAGCCACGTATCTGCTTGTGCAATCTTACGCCCTCGGGGCCACACGACCATACTTAGAGCCAGAATGGACCCGTCAACTGAGTACGGTTGTCGGGTCAGCATATCACAATCTAGGCATCCTGAACGTCATGGCAGACCGTTTTGCAGGAGTTCCAGCTCGAGGGACGCTGCCACGAATAGTCGGAACGGGAGGCACCCTTTCTAGGATACATGATTCTGGAAACGAGGTCAGCACCGAGCAGGCCGGATATTTGAACAGCGACCACCGACCCAGTGCTGTGTGGCGTCTGGTAGTTAGGCACTTGGTGCTAGTCCTTACCACATGACCACCTGGTCGGGCTAGAGCATCCACTTCGAACGACTCAACGTATGACGCTTGCTACTTACCGTCTGCTGGGTTCGACGAAATGATCACCGGAGCGATACCAACTACTTAGGGAGGATTGTCAGATTTTTCCGGCACTCGGTCAGTCGAGGAGCCGCAACGGGCCACCTGGCACCTGCCATACAAACGACAGCGTTGCTATGGAACATGGCCTATCACGTGGAGGCAGCGCAAAACTTATGTCTTCCCAGATAGCCTTGAGTGCTCTTCCATTGCTGTGGTTCGCTCTGCTTTCCATGAACGGTCATGATAAGTCTTCGGAACGTTGACTGCCCCTGTCAGTAGTGTTGCACGATTTCTGACCGTGGAAGACTCGCCTCTCAACGTGGACCCGGGTCGACTGTAGAAAGCAGACTCGGATCAGCCCACAATGGTCCATGCCCCTCCGGTCCTAGGTGGTCTTCCGACGACACCGAGGTCCGGCATGACTTCTTCAGCACGCAATAGGGACAAGTCTATGTTAGCGCGATTGATATGACCCACTCCATTGGCTTCGTTGTCTAGAGATCGCTGCCTTGCATCTGGAGACAGCTGGTATTACTTACAGATGGGCGCGGATGCTCTCTACAAGTCGCATGGCGTCGCCCTCATCCAACTGACTTCGGACCTCCAACTCCCGCCAGTGAATCTCCTGCTCCGTGAGCGGCATCGTCACACGATCACGGCGTTCGGCCGTGTCACCTACTGCACCAGGGGTTGTGCTTGCACTCGCACCCGGATTAGAACCACTCCGAGGAGCGGGAATGATGTGGTAGTGGACCTTCAAACGGCGGATGAGAAGGCACCCCCGGTTTGATTTCAGTCAGCCAGCACTTTTATCAAAGTCAATAAGCGATGGGAAGAACTTACGTGCGGAACAGCCTGTGCATATTCTTGGTTACACACTACGTTCAGGGATGTATTTTGCAGGGCTGCAGGTGTTTCACATGTATCAGCCGAGTCACTTCTCCTGGACAAGAACTAAGGGCAGCTCCACAAAACTGCAATCGTGTGCGCCGCTGAGGGCATCGAACAAGGAGCATCGGACACGAATATAGGACGAACCTCCGGCAATAGCGCGCGAGACCTTGGAGACGACCAAACCGCATGCCGCTGCGAACTCGTCCGGTAGTTCTGACACGCGCGGTATATGCAGCTTCGGTATCACGAGCGTGTGTCCAGGCCGCAGGGGTGCGATATCTGCGTCCACAGCGCGCATTTATCCAGGTTGCCAGGTCACATCGAGCCAGCGTGCATAACGTTTCAAGTCGAAGGACACGGGTTGCGATGTCAGCAAGGGGAGCTCACCGTCTCAGAAAGGCTGGAGAGGACCTAGGATAGCAATCGTCTTGTCGTCCTCGTATACCTTGTACGCGAGGCTCTTGCCATGTAGAATATCGCAAAAAGGACAGCGCGGATGCACCCTCCACGACTCCGGGAGAGCGCCCCGTTCCTCATGCGCTTTGAGCACGTAAGAGGTCATCGTGTAGTATATACAAGCGTCGAACTCGACGTAAGGAGGGTAAGAGTGATTTGTGAATGCGCGTTCACGAGGATGAGAAGAATGTAAAGACACGAGATGGCGTGAGTCGGTAAGCCGTTCCCGACGGCCGTGGCGGCCGCCCAGCTGGGGATTTGCCCCAGCTCTCTCCCGCCGGCATAGCGCGTACCTGGACATGACATCCGCGCAAGCCTGCGTCCTGTTGCCGTAAGACGGTCACCACAACTCCTGGCGCCCTTTTTTCTCTTCTCATACTCCGTGTTGCATTTCCCCTGGGTTTCTGGACCTGTCTACTACATAAGAACATTGTCCCACACCAGGACGGCCTTCAGATACGACCCTAAACACGCCGTAGCCGGCCCCGAGATATATTGCCAAACTGTTGCGCGATATCTTCGAACAGACAAAAGGCGGGATGTCCAGGGGCAACCGCGAGCCTGCTGGGATCGACAACCACACCGAGCATGGGGTGGACGAGGTTAGTCCTGTCGCCTACGCTTACTGCTGATGCCTGATCATGAACGTACATGTGTTTGTCCCTATTGCTGCTAGTATTACAAAAGAGTCGGCGCGACATATCGCAACCCTCATTTTCCAGGTGTCAAGAGTTGTCTGTACTCATGGCTGAACCGGTGCGTCAGTTTTTGCTTGACAGTCTGCGTTTTTCATCGCATCGTCGAAATGTAGATGGTGGAGAATGAGGCAACCACATGTCGAAGGGAAGAAGTTCCAAGTGTTCGACATGGCTTGTGGTTCGTCTGGCCTGCTCTTCTCCTTCTTGTTCTCCGGCTGACCTCCCCATCAAGGCAGGTGAACGACGCGACTCTCCAGTTGTCATCACAAGCTAACCGCTATCCGAGTCAGCGGTGAAGCCACTCTAGCTGTATTGGAATGGTGGAGAGACGGTCGTGCCGCGTTCAACGCCCGCCAAGGCAGTCGCAAAGGTGAAAGCTCAGATTCCGAGGATGAGGCAGCGCATACATCGCCCATCGTGCAAGCCCGTCGGATTCAGCCTATCGGACCTGACATGCCAATGCCGTGTATCCTTGCTGCCGATCCGGTGAGTATCACCGTTCCTGTTTGATATCGTTTCCGTGGTCTCATAGCGTGGTAGTATACGGAGCAAGCCTTCCATACTCGGACCTCTCTTTACGCACACCCGCTTTCCTTCAAAGACATAGCTGAGGGCAAGCTCCCTGAGATCGCATCCAAACCCGTCGGCGCGCCGAAGCCGAACAACCCGCCGGAGATATCACCTGAGAGCTCGCTCCACGGGCACTCATCTTTGACTTTGAGAAGCACGACGAGCAGCAGCAGCAGCGGAGATCTGGATATCATAGAGATGGTGATATGTTCGTTCGCGCTACACCTGATTGAGAAGCCGTCTGAGCTCTTCGCATTGTTGTGGGAATTGAGGTACGCGGACTTCTGGTCGATTGCGTGACGCTGAGAAGAGATAACAATGACTGATATATCATATTGACCAGCACGAAGGCAAGATGGCTAGTTGTTCTCGCTCCCCACAACCGCCCCGAGGTGAGGCTATGCGATGTCCCATGATATTCCACGTCAGAGTGTGGCTGATTGACAACTACAGATCAAGGATGGATGGGGCTGGTGCAAATGGGACGTCGAAACGTGGTCTGAATGCAGAATGTCTGACTCTGTCGGAGAGCTTCTGGAAGACAGGTGCGCACATCGCTTTGCTGCGAGAATAATCGCCATGTTGACACATCGATTGCAGAGTCCACTGCCGCGTTTATCGCAGCCTGAACGTCTGAGATGAAGCGAGATAGATCGAATGTTCAGCGATGGTAACATATGGGTGCGCATCCGTTCGCGCGTGTAATAAGTCCTTGTTGGCCGTGTAGAGCACGACCGAATGTCAACGTGTTGTGTAGTAAACTGCACTGGACGCTGATATGACTTCGACGTCTGCCTGTCGTTCGGCAGTTTCCGCAATCGATGCCCAAGCCCTTCGCCTGCTGCTTCCTCTCCTTTTCATTTGACTGTCGCTGCGTGGCTGACCGTGACATCCTCGACAGGGCATCGTACGTAAATTGGGCCTGGAGTCTCTAGGGTAATGTGCTCCCGGCGGCGGACGGAGCCTTCTTGAAGCCACCAAGACGATTGCGCGGAAGCATCTGCATATCTGCGACCAATCATCCTGCACCCCAGAGCCATTCGCTCAAGGGGCGCTCCTCGTGCTATACCAGGTCGCTTCGCTTGCCGACTCGTGTGCGTCGCATGTCCGCTCAAACCGCGCTACAAGACGCTTAGCGAGGTCGCTACCATGGCGTTGTTCCATAAGCTCGTGACGGGTTCCGTCCTGCGCGTTATCGCATATAGCGCTGTTGCGCACGCAGGGGATCACGAGCTGGGTTTCGAATGGATACTCATGGAGCGCTGACCGGGGAAGACTCCGGACGACCTGTGGTCTAAAATGTTTTGGGACGTGAAACAGTAGCTCGTCAAGTGCGGCGTTGGCAAGATGCCAGAGAGTCGTCGACTGTCCGGCGTATCGTATAGATGCCTATTTCCCGAGGACATCACTGGGACAAGCAGTTTGGTCAGTACGTCTCACGCGCACCCTTCGCCTCTAGTCACGGTTGGCTTTCGGCTCGGTTCGCTCTTGTACAGGTCAATGCACCAGATACGTCCCACTCGTCCAACGATGATGGCGATCAAGAGTCGGCTGCAGTACGCAAACATGGGTTAAGAGGCTCGCGCTCTTGCTCCCGCTTGTCTCCCCTGGCCGCTGGCGACTCCCCGCAATCCCCTCGCGAACATTCGGTCATCCACCACGATGATATGGTCCTTGAACGTGTATTCCCACGGAACCTTGTCCAACATTGTTTATCGTCCGCCTTTCCCTTTCAAAAGGGTGTCAGCTCTCCTTCCGAATACACCGCCTGCGCACGATGCGCAGCCACTGCGCGAGGGGTACGTGACGAACGAAGACGGATCCCTCAACGAATGTTTTGGAGCATCACATGAGACCAAAGACGGCTTGGAAGGTGTACGTCGAGATGGAGCGCGCATGCCCCGATCGGAATTCCAAGTACCGCAGGGAGATGCCGCGTGCCGAGTTCGATACTGCGGCGGCCACTTACTGCGACAGCGAGTTCTCAGGGCTCCTGGTAGAGAGATGGCGGGATCAGGTGAAAGCTATGCGATCGGAGGCGTTCAGTGAAGGCTTGTCTAACAAGTACGGATATTTCCGGGCAGAGCTCTAGTACTAACAAAGCCACGATTGGTCTGTCACGCTCATACGTCAGGTTTGTATGTCCACCCTGCCGCCCCCAGATTGACGTATATATATATGTATATTCAACCAGGACGGCACGGGTCTCATCACCCCTCTGCCTTTCGCGAATGCTCACCATTATCTCCAGACCATTGTGGCGCTCAAAGTCCACACGCCCATCTCATATAACGCCCGTTCTTGCCGGCAATCTTGCCGTGTATCTCGAGAGCCACGGGAGCGAACAGAGTTCGATGGCCGCACGGTCTGTTCTTCTCGAAGTCACCCCGCGGAACTTCATCACCAAAGCTAGCCCTATGTGGCCACGTCCTCGTCCCATTGCTCTCAGAAAGTATAAATACCCAGATACCAACAGCCACATCGCCAGTCGACTTGGATTTCGATTTCTTCATACCACCAGGCCGCCCTCTCGAACTCAGGGGGACAACGGAGACATGTCTGAAACGCACCGTCCGGGTTGGGCCAAGCCACTTGATCCGTCCCTCTATGCTCCAGATGAAGAGGAAAAGGGCTTCATGAAGACGACGACAGGCATCCAGGACGATGAAGAGCTCAAGGCGCACATCTTGGCGGTTCAGAGCAAGGCATTTGGGGTTTGTGAAGCGCTATTTGTGTTGTACCAGGTATTGTCTCACACGCTGGCGCAGTTCTACAAGTACCCATGCATCCGTATGTTCGAGTTCATGCGGTGCGTATTCTACATCTTTGGCACCGTGGGTGTCGCGGAGGCTGACGGAGTGGATGGCCCATAACAGGCTCAAGATCGCCCGGCTTCCTGCTTATCCCCAGTTCATTGAACTGGGAAAGCAACGAGAAGGCGCGATCTTCCTTGACATGGGGTGCTGCTGTATGTGATTCCATTGCATTGCCCTGCTTCGGCTTCTTGCCTTCCTTTGATTGTGATGAGCGTGGTTCTGATGCCTCACTCATAGTCGGAAATGACGTCCGCAAGGCTGTCCTTGACGGGTGGCCGATACAAGGGGCCATCGCGTCCGACCTGAGCAAGGGTGAGCGTCCTTCCTCGTGAATAGTTCTGAATTTTGCGTGTTCACGGGACCGGGTCCGCAGACCTTTGGGATCTCGGACACGAGCTCTTCCGCTCCACTCCTGAGACCTTCCCCGTTCCCTTCCTCAAGGGTGACATCCTCGACACTTCCTTCCTCTCCCTTGCCCCAGTGCTCCCTACCTCCACCAGCCCGCCCGCTCCAGCGCCTCCCCTCGACGAGGTGACCTCCCTCAACCAGCTGCACGGGAAGCTCTCAGCGATCTACGCCGCGGCGTTCTTCCACCTCTTCAAGTTCGACGGTCAAGAGCACGTCGCGCGTCTCTTCGCCGGACTCCTCTCGCCCCTGCCTGGATCGATGATCTTCGGGGTGCAGGGTGGGCGGGCGGTGAAGGGCGAGTGGCGTCCTGCCGAGGGCACCCGGATGAATTGCCACTCACCGGAGAGCTGGAAGGAGCTCTGGGAGGGCATCTTTGCCGAGGCGGGCGCAAAGGTCGAGGTGAAGGCGAGGCTCCGCAAGGAGATCGGCGGATTGAGCATGTTCGGGACGTACCCTGAGAACACGGAGCACTATCATGTGTTGGAGTGGTCCGTGACAAGAGTGGAATGAGCGGGAAGGGCGAAGGGTCTGACAACTGAGCTAGATTGGGAATACCATTGAACGTAGCACAGTGTAGATGTAAGTCTATGGCGACATGACATCTGAGTAGTTGTCGCGGTGATGCAGAAAATGAGGACTCGCCGAGTGCGTTGATACCCCACTACACTACAAGTCCTGAAGCCCTGATGATAGGTGGAGGATCCTAGATGTCAAATAGGATATGTGACCATCAGCGAGGTGAGGAGCTCCATAGCGTCGATGCGTGCGTCGTCTCGACGGGATCATACGCTCCTCACCGCCCTCTGTCATCCAAGGTACTTGACGAGACGTCATGTCTTGATGCGGCCAGTGTATAATCCTGTATAACCCCGTTCGGACCCTCCATTAGGATCGAGCATCGCGGCAGGTTGTATAATGTAGTCCGTCAGCTCCGAATGCCGACAGCATAGGTACGAGGCATCGCCGGGGTGGACCTGCTCAAAAATGCATATTCGAGCACAAGTCGAAGGAGTAGCTAAGAGAGCACTCACGCATCCTGGCCAGAAACCAGCCTTCCTGGTACGCTGTCCGCCATAACACAGGGGAAGAAAACGAACCAGTTCAGTCGTGATGGGACGGATTCACAGTGGCCGGCATATGTACAGCACGACCAGGTTGGCTGCTTGAACGGATGCTGAGCGAGCAGTGATATTTGTTGTTCAATTTATGAATGCGCGATCTGCTCGTGGAAGATGGGGGCACCACGCCCTAGACACGACAGCCACATTATTCCGTGTGTCACAGATGCAATACACTGACTTACTGGTACTGAGCCGACAGTCGAACATGTGTAGAAGAGCAGCAGCAGCGGTCACCCGTCTCTTCGTAAAGATTGCCGGCTCACGGACATTTCATACTTTCCGTGGCGTTCGCACGGTCAGCATGAGCGACGATCTACCACCTAGGCACAAGCAAGGGCGGGTACATCGGCAATGCGAGCCACCGGAGACATCGCTCGCGACACTAGAGAGACAACGCCTGTCAACAGTGCTCTTCTGCAACGACGGGGATGCTGCACCACAGTACGCACCAGTCACCCAGGTGACGGTCTTGCGGTATCCTGAAATGACTTCACAACAGCAGGAATCGCTATAACAATCAGGCCTCGGTCGGAGAGAGGGCTCGTAGGACCCGTTGTGCTGGGCAGTGTTATATAAGTTCGACTGCTCCTGAAAAGTCAGCTAGGTGAATAACCGATTTCCCTAGCGGACTCGAGTCATCCGTCGTGCTGGGTCGGGGCACTCCCGATTGTGTGAGGAAACCTCAACACGCAGAAAATGAGTTTGTATGCGCCACATAACACGGTCTAGGGCAGACCGCCAGTCGTGAACAAGCATATTGTTCAGACTCGCGGCACACGTACGGGACAGCGCCCTAAACATGGCACCCGGGGCGCTGAGGCGCACCGCGCAGGTATTCTTGACCATGAGGCTATGCTCCAGCTCCACCACGCGGCTCAGGATATCCACCCTCACAAGCTGTCACGGTCGTGCTCGGGGGTTCATGAGCAATTCTCGCTGACTGCGCGCAGTCGGTGATGTGCTGTAGCGCAGTCGGTAATGTACTGTAGCGCAGTCGGTAGTGTGCTGTCGCTCATGTATAAGCTTTAAGCGAGGGCTCCGCCATCACCACCACCGAAGGCATTGGAGAAAGCAATGACGCACAACATTTTGTCGCGCGAGGAACGGGCTGACGTGGCCGTCTTGCCAGTGGAGATTTTTCTGCACGGGGACCTACGGGCACGGTCTGCCTGCGCATGCAGCCACACTGCTTCGTCCGACTCGCGTTTATGGAGTAGTGCCACGTCGGCTCAAGAAGCCTCGGTCGTCTAGTGAGTGGATGTGAGGTGTGCTATTCATGTCGCAGATCGGATGTCACTCACCTTGCGCGCGTATGTCCGGGAGTTGTACTGGAATGCAATGTCGGACGCATGTCGGGCCAGGCCACACAGGCGCGCCTCATTCTCGCGTCGCAGGCTAATGAGCAACGAATCTCATTCCATATAGCAAAGTGTGGTCGAGTGATACGCGTTCAGTGGCTGAGAGGGATCGACGGCCGTGGAGACGACGTCCGCAACACGAAGCTTGAAGGAACGAAAAGCGAGGCGACGTACTAACTCTGCAAAAGGGTAACCTGGGTAAGTACGATGGACACTCGCCTGGGAAGTCCCGCATATCAGTCGCCGGCGCCAGTTTAGTCTTCTGGTCTATTCGCGCAGGTGGCATGATTCCTCGGACGCTGTAGAAAGCTCTTCAGTGGTCCCGCACGGCGTTCCAGAACAATCCGGTATGTCTGGCCCCGTGCGCTAGCCTACGTGTACTGGAGTGACTCCCTCCTGCCACACAGGAGGCTGGTCGACGGATGGACGAGGCTAGACCGCAGCACAAGCGACGGACGGAGAGCTGATCGGCGCAGCTGGGGTGGCACTGGCACAGCAACGCCTCGGAGCATGACGCGACGGCGCAGAAGCGGCGCAAAGACGAGCTCTGCTCGATCGCCGCTACTTCCATGCCGCCCGCTTGCCCCGAGTCGCTTGCCGAGCATGGCGCGCGTGCGAGTGGGTATATATACTTCTCTTCGACCCTGGGGAAGCCTCTCTCTTCAGCGAACCGTCTCATTGCTTTCGTTCCTCTAAGCTCTGAGTAGTGTCTGTTGCTGTCGCACCAACGCTCATCCCCTTCTTGCACACGCCTTCCACGACACACGCTATGTTCAAGTCCGTCATGCAGCTTTCCGTGTTCTCCTTCGTGCTCTCCCTCCTCGCTTTCGCGTACGCGCTCCCGCTCGCGGTGCGCGACGTCTTTGTCCCGCCCGTGACGAGCCCGGATGTGGGCACCGTCTGGACGATCGGCTCCCAGCAGAACGTCACCTGGTACGTGCCCTCGTACCTACTCCAATGGACCCGGCCCTGGTAGCTGACCTCCATCGATCCAGGGATACGTCCACCGCGCCGCAAAACATCACGAACAAGGTCGGGCAGGTCATCTTGGCCAAGGGCGGTAAACTTGACATCAGTGAGTAGCCATGTTCGTTGCGGTTGTGTGTGCCGAAGCGATATCAACCGGTGGTTCGACGTCCTACAGACCACCCTCTCGCATCGAACTTCTCCATCCTCGATGGCTGGGTCACCGTCACCGTCCCCAACGTCCAGCCTGACGTTGACTACACCGTCGTCTGTGAGTATCACACTTCTTGTCAAGTGTCTGGCTGGTTGGAATTTGACCGATCCTCCGTGCAGTGTTCGGTGACTCAGGTAACGACAGCGGCGAGTTTGCGATTGTCCCCGCGCCCACGTCGTTGCTCTAAGCCCGTCGTGCCTTTCCATACCTTCTTCACGACTTGCACATGCCCTTCCATGAATGCGTCTCACGTCGCATTACCTTACCGCACTTGATAATGGACCTTTCTGGACATTCGCGTGTAGTATGATTCGGACTGGTTTGCTGTTGGACACTAGCCAGAGGACTTTGGATTGTGTGTACATAGTACGCAACACCAATCACTGTATCATCATCACATCGCAGACCAATACACATCTTCCCGTTTACATCGTACCGCCGCGTTGCGTCCCTCGAGCTCGAGGAAGCCACCCAGAGTCCGATCGGACGTTCGTATAACGTCAGTAGTTGCCCATGCGTGGACGGGAAGGTGGGGATCATGAGGACGTGTGGAGCACGCACTCACCTGCTCGCTGCCGCGCCGAAGGGGTTTGAGGTGGGCACGCGGCGAGGAAGGTGCAACCTGGGAAGAGAAGGGTTGAGCAATCGGAAGAAGCTGATGAGAAAGCAGGCCGGGGACAGGTGAGTCTCAGATGCAATAAACAGGTCGTCACGCCCGCCTCGAGTGTGTCGAGACGAGTTGGGCTCATTAAATCATTCGTGTTATAGAATCATCGACAGGATAAGACAAGAAGTTGGACAATGCACTCACATGCATGTCTAGGTAGTGGAGCCCTGCTGTGTGAAGTGACGTAACGGCCGCGTTCATGAGAACAGGCTTATCGGGACTAAGCGAGTGCGGCTCGTGCTGCCACGTCGGTAGAGCGGACGAGACGGCGATCCCCCAGCGATATGCAGATGTGACTTGCTTACAGGCCTTCACCTGGTTGTGGTGGACGAAGCTAGAGCGGTGGATGTTACCAGAACCTGGAGGGCTGCAGTCAGCAACTTGCGATGGCACATAGAGGAGAAGCAACGAGACTCAGACACAAAACATGAGAAATCACAATGGCACCGAACGAATCAGACGCCATTCAATTTGTATGCAACAATATTTAGATCATCGCCTCGACCAGGAGTTAGGCAAGGAAGAAAACTAACGTACCATTGTGCCTCCGAATCAGCGATCGCCTCAGCTGATCGTTCCCCACTCTAGCTTCTCGTTCAAGGTTCTACGAGATTGTACTAGCGATGTCGCTGCGCCGCCTCTGGGGCTCAAGGGACTCGAAGGGCAGACGAAGAGACAAGGAGGGAACAAGGGAGCAAACGAATCGCCACGAAATTTTGAGGTGGCAGCAACGCGGACACGTGACACCACGCGGTACACGAGTACTTGTTTCCACGGTTCGCGCCGCGCGTCTGGCTCTATCGCGATCACGCCCGCTTACGCCTGGTTCGATTCTGCACGCACGCAGGCCGACGAGACACACCTTAAGACAAACCTCAAGCTAAGACTGACAAGACCGAGACACCCGCGAGGCCATGTCGACATCCTCGACGAGCAAGCTCGCTCGCCCCGTCCCCTTCACACCCAAGCGCACCCACTCCCTCATCCCCGACGACGCCTCCGACTCCCGCCTCCCCCGCTCCACGACGCCCTCCCTCCTCGCGTCCTCCAAGAAGTATAAAGCCCCACTATCCTCAGAGTCCCGCACCCGCCTCACCTCCAAACCCGGCCCCCTGTTCGTCCCGCCCACGCCCTCGCGTAGTAAGAGCCGCGATGGGAGCACTCCGGGGAGCGCGAGGCCGAAGACGCCTGCGTCCCCGCGCAAGGGCACGGAGAGCCCGCTGCTGATGCCCCATGTGAGCGAGATGGACGTGAGCAGGATCGACCCGGAGGAAGCGCTGGTCGACTTTGAGACGGTGACGGAGGTGGGGGACGTCTCGGCGGACTTGGACGAGGTCGATGCGATGCTGAGGGAGGATTATGGGAAGGAGGACAAGGTGCTGGTTTCGATCAGGTGGGTGTTCTATGCTAAGCTACTGGCTATATGCGTGGACTGTCGTCCGCGTGCAGCCCGCAAACACATACGACTGACAATCTTGCACAGGATACGGCCCTCCGAAAACCCGTCCGCATGGGACGTCACCACCTCCACCCAGCCCCGGACGATCAAGCTCCTCCCGCAGCACGCCAAGTCCGCCGCGACCCCGCCCCAGGACTTCCGCTTCGACGAGATCCTCACCGGCTCCGAGAACAAGCCCGTGTACACCGCCGTCGCGCGCTCGCACGTCTGCGCCGCCATGGACGGCTACAACGCCGTCGTCTTCGCGTACGGCCAGACCGCCTCCGGCAAGACGTTCACGCTCTCGGGCGACGACGCCCAGCCGGGCATCATCCCGCGCGCCATGAAGGACGTCTTCGCGTACATCAAGCGCACCCCCGCGCGCGAGTACCTCCTCCGCTGCTCGTACCTCGAGATCTACAACGAGGCGATCCACGACCTGCTCGCGCCGCCCTCTAGCTCCGTCTCCCAGCCGGTGCAGATCCAGGGCACCGGGCCGAACGTCGTCCTCACCCCGCTCAGGGAGGAGGTCGTGACGAGCCTGAAGGGCGTGCACGAGGTGCTCCAGCGCGGCGAGGGGAACAGGCGCACGGCGAGCACGGACTGGAACGAGCGTAGTAGTCGCAGCCACAGCGTCTTCCGGCTCGTGATCGAGAGTAGGGAGCGGGGGGGCGGGGGCGGGGACGAGCCGCCGAGCGGGCGGACGACGCCTGGGTTCAGGCCGCCGACGCCGGGAGGCCCGAGGCTACAGGCGAAGGGGGGGCGGAGTGTGCAGACGTCCGTTCTGGTCAGTGCGAATATCGCGTTCGCTTCGGACGGGAGGGGGGTGTCTGACGTTCTCTGCAGAGCTTGATCGACCTCGCGGGATCCGAGAAGGCGACCTCGGACAAGGACAGGACGAGGGAAGGCAAGTACATCAACACCAGGTCAGTATATGCGCCTCCTCTCTCTCTCCTCCAGACACCTCACGCGTCCACTGCAGTCTGCTCACCCTCGGGACGGTCATCTCGACGCTCGCCGAGAACGCAGCACGGGGCAAATCCGACCATGTCCCCTTCCGCAACTCCAAGCTCACGCGCATGCTCCAGCCCTCGCTCGCCGGCAACGCGCGCATCTCCGTCATCTGCACAATCAACCCCGACGTGTCCGCGGTCCCCGAGTCCACCTCGACCCTCCTCTTCGCGCAGCGCATCAAGAAGGTGCAGCTGCACGCGCAGAAGAAGGAGGTCGTCGACACCGACGCCCTGCTCGAACGCTACCGGAAGGAGATCGAGGAGCTGCGGAAGCGGCTCGCGGAGAAGGAGGCGCCAGACGGGCCCGTCAAGGGCAGGAGGCTGAGCGCGCGCGAACAGCTCGACGAGAGCCTGGCGATGCACAACTTGAACGCGCGGATCAAGCAGCTGACGAAGCTGATCCTGACTAGCCAGACGGTGGATGAGAACAAGGGCGACGAGAGTCGGCCGGCGAGCCCGACGAAGGTCGACTTTGACATGTCGCCGTATCAGGTTCGTGTTCCACAGTTGCATCTGGAGGTGAACCGGTACTGAGCGCGCTGCAGCTCCAACAGGAGCTCCTCGCAGCGCGGCGCGAGCTCGAGACGCAGGCGACGCAGATCCTCTCGCTCGAGGCGGCGCTGGCGACGCGCCCGCAGCTGCCCCCCGACGCGCCCGATAGCGAGAAGGACAAGCTGCTGCACGAGCAGGCGAGGACGATCCGCGAGCTCGAGATCGTCGTCAAGGGCTACGAGGACAACCTCGGGGAGCCGCTGCGCGCGGTGCGCGAGGACGTCGAGAAGGAGTGGGCACAGAAGCTCGAGGCGGAGACGCGCCTGCGGCAGGAGAAGGAGGCGTGGGCGGACGCGCTCGTCAAGCAGCTCGACAAGGAGCGGAGGGTGAGTCCCGCACCGCGTCCCAGACGACGACTTCGGGCTGACGGCTGACTGCGCTCGCTCCGCAGATGCGCATTAAGCTCGAGGAGGAGCGCCATGCCCTCGCGGCGTTCGTGAAGAAATTCGACCAGCTCGGGCTTGGAGGGCCCGTCATGCCCCTGTCGAAGCTCAACCCGCCTCTACCGACACCTGGCGGCGCAGCGGCGGTGTTTGCGCAGCGGCAGAAGACGAAGGTGTCGCAGCTCAAGGAGCATCCTTTGGCTCCGCTCGCGGAGACGGAGTCGCCTATCCGGCTGGCGAGCGAGGCGTCCCATAAGAGCTTGCTCGAGGAGGAGTGGGACATCGGCGAGGACGTCGACGTGAGCATCGAGCTCGAGAAGAGCGGGGTTGCGATGTCGCCGCCCAAGACTGGTCTCGCGCCTGCGCGGAAGGGCTCGCAGAGTCCGACGCGGGAGATCCTTAGTGAGAAGGAGAATTTGCCTGTATAGACTGTCGGTTGTTTTCGGACATGCTTTGCTTTGTTGCTACGGTATGTCGCTGTCGCTTGAGTTCCATTTCTTTCATTGTGAGCTTGCGATACTGATGCTCTCGTGGCAGACTATATTGCTTATGTCGCATCCAGTGCGCAGTGCGCCCATGTATACCACGCATACACACACATTGCACGAACTTGCTTGATATGTACATTTCTGAACATGACCGCGGACAATTCCCTATTCTCTGATCATAACATTTGGTCCGCATAGAAGGAGGAAATCAAGTCGAGATGTGTTCCGGAACGATCATGGCAGGGAGGTGCGCGACCACCTCATGTAGTACACCGCTTCCTCTATTGGCCCCTGGCTCAATCCCAGGTTCAAAGTCTCCTTCCAATCCTCCTCCACCTGGAAGCCCCACTTTTCATAGAACCGTTTCGCCCCCTCGTTCTTCTGGAAGACGATTAGCGACAGCCCCCGCTCGCCAAATTCGTCCTGGATGACCTCCATCAGCCGTCCCCCATACCCTTTCCCGCTCTCCCCTGCCCTGACGAAGAAGTGGTCGATCTCGTCGGCGTCTTTGTTCGGGCGGCCGTCCGGCTTCACGGTCGCGTATGCGAGGAGCTCGCCCGTGTGCGATTCGAGCACGTAAGTTTTGCGGGCCTTTGGCGGGAACAGTCGAGCTCGCAGTATATCCCGGACGGCGGAGAGCGCATAATAAGGGTCATCAGAAAATTTGACCCCGGGCACGCTCGTGTCCAGGGAATGGACGAAGAGAGGCGCGAGTTGCTCGATGTCGGACTGAGTGGCTTCGCGCACGATAGGTGTCATGAGGATCATGGGTACCGGTGAGGGCTGTTGTTTCCACCGTCGTCAATACTGGACTGTACTGAGGATGACTTCGATACGTGCCTGGCTTCGAGGTACTTGTCGGTGGTATGCAGTGCTGCGGTTAACAGGTCGTGTTATATAGCACGGCCGCAGGCTTGCGTGTCATACCGGGGGCATTCGATTGTAACGGTGCGCAGCGGGCAAACTGCGCAAACTGCAGCGTGGTCGGTGTATGGTCCGAGAAGTCCCACATGATGGGGCTGCGAAAGCTTCCTATGCTTTATTGGATAATGGAGGAGATACACCCGCAGCTGGACCCTGCTGTTACGGTTCGGCAAAACAAGCCGGGAGGGTGGCAGGTCCGATATTCTCGGAAAACACGATCCGACCCGACCTTGTTACTGTTACTCCCACCCGAGAAGACCTGAACAAACTCGTGAATAGTACGTAGAAACTACTTACATCATCACTCGCATAGCACTAACCCAGAACTACACCTCCGCATCAACGCCAACGTCAACGGCCTCGTACTTCCTGAATGCGTCCATGAACCTCGCCCAGCGCCCATTATTCCATCTCAGGACGTCTTGCCACTCCTTGCTATCCTTCCCGAGAACCCTCTCAATCCAGATCAAGAACGATGCCACAGTGATGTCCGCGTACGAGATGTCGACGCCCGTGAAGAACAGCTTCTCCCGGTTCCCATAGGTGCCAAGCCACTCAGCAAACGTGTCCAGAGCCCTCTCGACGCCCCTCCAGTGCCGCTCGCGCTTCTCACTCCCAGCTGGCGTCCAATCCTCAAGCTTCTCCCCATCCATCGCCTCGCGTGTCCTACGGAAGTACTCCGCGCTCCTCGGGTTCAGCAGCGCATTCGTCGGGGGGAGCATGATCTGCCTGAGGTCCGGCCAAAGTGTCTTCCAGAACACCGCCTCGAACGCGGCATGCAGCGCGTCTGTCTCCGGCGGGATGAGCGTTGGCTTAAAGTTGGGGTACGTCTTCTCTAGGTACCGCGCGATCGCGGCCGACTCAGAAATCGCACTCTTCGTGTTCGGGTCGTAGATCGCGGGAAGGGTGTATATGGGCGAGCCATCCGGTCCCTCCTGCGTCGGGAGGGCGCCGATCTTCCTCGAGACTGCTGCGATGTCGGGGAATTCGACCCACACAGTCGTGTACGGGAGACCCTTGATGTTGAGCACGTATCTTTACAGGCGGATGAGCAAATACGGCCCGGGTTACTCTTTCAAGCCCGTGTCGTTACGCACCTGGTCTTCCAGGTGTTCGGAGACCACATCCGGTCCTGAAAGGCATCAGCAGGAATGTCGTAGAAGACTATGGGCTCCATCGCGTTGGCGATCTGAAGATTGAGGGTACGCCGCGTGGTGTCCGTACTTGAGCTGAGTCCTGTTTCGCACTCATGGGTTCTTATAACCTCGACTGACAGCACGATTCCCACTGGGAGTTGTGCCGGCATCCAAATCACATTACCTGCGAGGTCCGCTTCTCCTGAGTCATACTGTCGACCATGGTGCTTCTCAGCTGACAGCTCTGTGAGACGTCTCTTTCGCGCGCGCTATTAAGACCGGACGGTGCGTCGCCTGAGGCGGTCGACATTGAGTTCCTTCTATACTCCCGACACGTAGGTATCAACTGGGAATGATGGCCTGATCACTTAACATTGGTGCCTTTCCAAGAAGCCCGCACCCTCGAATATTATTCGTACATTACAATTCAGTGTCTGCACGGAAGTAAGGTTACAGCGTAAGTCGCAATACCCCACCACCGGCCTAACGGGTCCTGCACTTCCGAGCAGGCTCAGTAAGCGTACCCAGTTGGATGGCGTGGAGCGCCACTGACCTGACGGTTTACGTTCATTCAGCACGTCTTCATACCTGAAGTCGAACCTCCTCGCCGGCGTCGACCGCTCCGTACTTCTCGAATGCATCCAAGAGCTTCCCCCAGCGACCGCCATTCCATGCAGCTATATCCTTCCACTCTTGGCTGTCCTCCCCCAGGGACTTCTTGAACCAGGCAAAGAAGGCGGCCACGATAACGTCCGCATACGTTACGCCGGCATGAGCCCCCAAGACGAATGTCTTGTCCTTGTTCTCATCGGCCTCGTACCATGCGTTAACTTTGATCGCATCCTTCCGCAATTTGGCCCAGAGATTCGCGCGCGTCTCAGAGCCCGGAGGGGCAAGATCCTCCAATTTCGCACCAAGCGCCGCTTCGCGCGTCTGGCGGAAGTAGGGCTGACTGCCAGGCCGGAGGATGTTGAACGCGCCGGGGATGATGATCGGAGCATAGTCGGGGCGGGGAATTGCTGCCGAGAACGCGTCCTCAAAAGCAGCAGTGAGCACGTCCAGCTCTGCAGGAATGAGCTTGGGGGTGTCTGGGTACGTCTTGTCGAGGTAGCGTGCGATCTTCCCGGAGTCGGAGACGGCGGTCTTCGTATTGGGGTCGTAGATCGCCGGAAGCGTATACAGAGGAGTACCGTCGGCGCTTTTGCCGGTGGGGGCGGCGCCGATCTGCTTGGAAAGAGCAGCGATATCCGGGTACTCGACCCAGACGGTTCTGTAGGGAACGCCTTTGATGTTCAACGAATATCTGTGCTCATCGGAATCATCAATGAGACATCACAAATGGCACCGTGACTCTCGACGCTCACCTCGTCCTCAAGGTGTAGGGTGACCAAGTCCCAACATTTATGCTGGGTATGTCGTAGAAGATGATTGGTTCTGACATTTCGTCTGAGATGCGGATCGCTCAAGACAACTTGAACGCGGCCTGATTCTGTGATCAGTCCAGTACATGCACGGGCTTCAGCATGACGGCAACAATGCAAACCGGTCTCCAAGATGGGTAGATGACCTACCTTTGGATGCAAGTCCTTCAAGTCCAGGGTACGACTGGAATTATGTGCTATAGGCGTCTTACTTGACCAGCTCAGGGGTACTATATATACTGGGGGATGTATTAGGTAGATCAGTAATCGCGAGGTCCAGCGTCTTCCCACGAGACATAGGTCTAAGATGACGTGATCAACCTGGGAGCAGCGGTACTACTAAGCAGTGGGACCGGGTACTATACGATTACTACTGCCAGCGTCGTGCTGTCCTGACTAAGGCATACTGTATGTTTCGCTGGTCAACGAGGATCATGAGATGACTGGACCCCACGTTAACAGCTAACTGCAAAAACATGTTGACTACTAGTCCTATATTACGTATATGTATGTACAGTCGTATACGGGTCATACGTACAAGACCATTACAAGAAACCACAACGCCTCTACGGATACAAGCATTCCAGTTTCCAGTGTCAATGTGCAAAGGTACGCGCGCCCCCCGGTTGTACTTCGCGCTCCTTGATGAGGAGCACGCATATGCCCGAGATGATAAAAATGACGATACTGGTGTAGACCGGAACTGTACGGTTGATGGCGAGCAGGGACCCGCCCAAGATGGGTGCGATCATGCCGCCTCTGTACAAAGCTGTTTAGTGACAATCGAACGTACGAAAAGCAGCGACGATACGCACACACGAGAGAGGGCAGACGCGATGCCGCAGGCGGTGCCGCGGACCTTCGTCCCAAAGATTTCTGGGGTCCATCCATACAGCACGGCATACATCGCCTGATGAAGCGATTGTCAACATAGAAGCGCGGCGCTGTCGGTCGCGAGAAGACGTACCGTAGCACTCAAGCTGATCCCAACCGTACTCGCACGCACCAACCACGGATGCTCGACGACGGCAAACAACCAGCAGAAGACAGCGGTCATGAACGTGCTTCCGGCGAGGGACCAGCGTCGTCCCAATGGCGATTCGATCAGCCATGCGCCGAGCTGATGAGTTTAGGATCCTATTCAGCGAGCCGGACACGAGATCTCAGGACGTGGCAAACTCACGATCGCTCCTGGACAGCCGCCTAAGGAATATATCACGACGTCCCACAAGCTATCCTCCAGCGACTTCGGTGCCCCATTAGGATCGATCCCACGCGTCTCAAGCAGCTTCGGCAAGTACACGTTGAACATCGTGTACGCTGCACACATGCACGTCAGCACCAAAACTGTACGCGCACGGCCATTCTGAGAGTGACTTTACTCACCTAGCGACAGACCGCACCAAGCCGCCCACACGAGCAACGTCGTCCGCATCCACTCCGGTGTCAGCACCATCGCAACGCGGTCGATCCACGCCAGCGCCGAGCGCCGCATCCACCGCGGCAACATCCCGCACAGGGGACCGCTTTTGCTCTCAATGTATGACGACGCGGTCGATAGCCTCCGAGACAATCGGCGACTGTTTCTTGCAGCACTTGACCCCTGTCGCGACCGGGGCGGTCGCGGGACCGCAGGCGGCACTGTGTCCGTCTCTTCTTGCGCAGCAGACATGAATGGCCGCTGCTCTTCTGGGGCTGATGCTGGAGGTAGGACGGGAAAGCGGGGGAAGACCGCATCGGATCCGGGGAGGGGCGTGCCGAACTGGTGCGCGTCCAGGGAAACATCCGGGCGGCCTACGGAATTGTACGAGTTTGCGGATTTGGGAGAGGTGCGAAGCGGTTCAATGCTCTGCCCCGACGTTGAGGCGAACTTTTGCGACTCCTCGTCTGCGCCCGCGTAAGAGTTAGAGGGCAGAGTAGGCTGGGTCGCTGGTGCAGGGACGGAGTCGTCCACGTCTTCTGGATCTAAGCTGAGCTCGTCGCCGTTGAATGCGGAGATCAATTGGAGGGATTCTATGGCTTCTAGTGGACGGCCAGCATGCACGAGGTACCTTGGCGACTCGTGCAGTCGGAAGAATACCATGCGGGCAAGAAACATAGACAGCGTCTATAAAACGCGTTAGCCAGGCTGCAGATCGGCGCAGTTACACTAATGCTTACAATGAGCCCTAACGCGGCAAGGAGATATTTCCAGCCCATGTTTTGAGTGGATGCGTCGCAGGGCGCGCGGGCAGGTGGACACGAGTGGCTAGGGATGACGAGGAGACCAATGATCGCCGCCAGTACCGCGCCAAAAGAGAAGAATACTGAAAGTGCGGTGACCAGCCATTGCTTCCCGTTAGGCATATGCTCCAAGAGTAGTGTCCCATCAGTCGGCATCGAGCCCTTCCCGTCACAAATGCCGACATTGGGTAAGTGACATGATCCGTATGTTAGCAAGCCAATAACGTACCCCGACGGCGCTGCCGAGAAAGAAGAGCGCGAGGCATAGCAACACAAAAGTGTTAGCGACGGATGCCAAGACCCCGAACACAGAAGTCAAGAAGAGCGTCGCATTAAACGCCGTGGTGCGACCCATGAGGTCGCTACCTGATGAAAGACGTAATGTCGGTCAAGAAACGGCAACGATGGGAGACGCACTCACATGTGCCCCATCCCACGGCACCGAGCATCATCCCAGCGAACATGGAGGACGATAGGAGGCCAATGTAGCTATCCCGCACTGAAAGATACCGATTCAGTTTCAGATTTCAACTAGAATCACACCAGGACCGAGGATGTCAGAAAGCTTGGTCAACATATACCAAAGGACTTCATGGCTTCGTCACGTCAGGACAATACATATTCGACTCTGCGTAGGCCGGAGTGGGGGATGCATGACCAGGTCCCCAAGCACGGGGAAAAATAATAGGGCACCAGTACGTTCTGACCCGCGAGGTCGTTTGGCAGAGACAGGGCATACAGGGCATACGCGCGTTCTAGCAGTGATCACACAGACGGTAGCTTACTCACCTGAAAAATGTTGCTGCACCCGAGGGAGTATGATGGCTACTGCTTGTATCCACATCTGCTCAATCGGTCAAATACGCCGTTCCAACCAACCGAGTCCACGCACGTTATCCGCCAACCAACCTGAAGTCCGAACATCAGCATGCGAATGCGTGATTCAAGGAGCAAGATACTCACCGAACCCACAGAGGCAGAGGAGCGTCCACTGGTAACTCCCTGCAGCCCAGCGACCATAAAATCTCAGCCATCCTGTCATCTACACGACCAGATAGCTACTCACCCATGCCGATGCGGTCAATCGTCCTGTCCAGAGGGGTCCTCCCATCATCCTCCGAGGCGTCAAAGTCCATAGCCTCGAGATCGACGTCGGAGCCGTCCTCGTCGTCGTACTCGCCCGCGACCGAGATATAGCTCATGCGAGAAGAGGCCCAGAGACCGGAGGCGCGTGGATTGATTGCTGACATTCTTGCGCATGAACTGCTGAGTCGATATCGCGCAATAGCCTAGGGTAGTATCGTCGTGCCCCGTTTGGGAGAACTGGGCGTTCTAGCATTCACTTGCCGAATGGTAAGGTTCAGCCAATCACAGCCGTCTGAGATGAAGACGATTAGCGTATCAATAGACTCGGTTAGAAGGCCAGCTAGAGGATGCTTACAGATGCTGAGCGGGAAGTTTGTCAAGAAATGATATAGCAGCGGCTAGAGAGTCGGAGAGGCATCCGAGGCCGACTGTGCATGTGAAGTACATGTACCGGCATCCGCACCGCCGTCATCCCCATCCGGTCAGGTGATCCCCTGCCATGTCGCGTCTGCCAGCCGCCTGCCTCCAGTGCAGACGGTCTATTCACACATCCTCATCTTCTCGAGATTCTGTGCGATGCCTACTTGCGACGATTCACATGCTGGTATAAATCAGAAGTACTTGTATCAACAATCACATTATGACCTGAACACAGTCCTCATAACTATTCGTCACTGGCACCTAGCATCCACGAACGAGATAGCGCATCTCTGCTCCGAGTTTCTGCCTACGGACCTCATCGCCGACATGATCGTATACCTGCGAGAAAGGAATTGACGTTTCTACTCGTGCTGACGCTCTGACCGGCCCTCCCGCTATCCTTATCTTGTCGCCTGCTCTTGAGACTCGCCTCCATATGCAATCTCACCAGTTCTTGCTGCAATGTCCCGATGATCCTGTCTCTCGCACGCCTGCCGCGACTGAATCACGTCGAAGTCTCCGTCAGTTCATGGCCCTCTACGGACTGGCTCGCGACCGTGGATATCGTGCTGCAGCACATGATGCTTCCCGAAGCTCGCGGTAGGAATACTCGAACTGGGGGGCGATGACTGGGCCAACGCGCGCATCGCCGGATCTCACCACCCTGCCCGTTAAATTCGTGGATGCGTCGATTGGACTATTGACACGTTCGCTAGTGAGGCCACCCCGGCGATCTCGGAATCTTGCGGTCAACTTGCGCAGGCTAACTCTTCGCTACTGCGGCAGCTGCAGTGACTCGTGTCCACCACCTCCCATCGTGTACGCCATCGACATAGCACCCCTCTTCGAACTCGACTCAGAGCCCTTCGCTGTTGCGAAGTCCTCATGTCGGACGAACCTCTCCGCGACATGTCCCACGCGTGGCTGAACATCAATAAGAGACATCTGACCTTCTCCCGGTGTCTGGGCCTGCGGATGCGCTACCGCGGGTCCCGCAGGAAGCCGCGAGGTCCACAACAGAGTATGGTGAGTAGTTTTATATTGAGTGCGGAAGCCTTCCAAGAGCGATCGCTGACATCTGGAGTGCTGCCAAGCCTCCGAGAGAGCCCGAACAGCTCTTATATCATATCCAACTCTTTGAACGCTGGGATGCAACGTAGCCTACAGTCCATCTCGGTGTTCGGAGGATATTTCGAACTCAGGGTGCTCCGGAGACATGCCTTGCCCGTGTGCTTAGAACACACACTTCGACACGTCCCTTACGCTGCTTCTGCGACGAAGGGTCTATGGTCGATCGAGAAAACAAGAACCTTCAAGGAAGGCAGCGTCCCGAGAGGGTGGCGCGCCAAAGGCGTAGGCCCGGGCGAACCTGTGCAGCGGAAAGCGTTCGCGAAGCTGTACACCGTGTCCTCGATCGTCTTCTCGATCTTGAAGTCGCCTGGCTCCAGGTCGGTGCTAAAGCACTCAGAGCTTCCAGAGAGGACTGTCGAGAGGGTAAGTACCAGCTCGGATCCAGTGGACTTGACCATAAGTCGCTTGGCGGAGCACACGCGGTGACTCAGACGCGCCTCCGCGTACTAGTACTACATGGTTGCACGCGGTCGCGATGATCCCTAGAGCGCTACATATAGCATCGAGTCAAACCTCGTACCTCGAGAGGCCTTGCTGCGCAGTGTGGCGGCTCAGCACCCCCAATGCCTATGCCTGGCATGAGAGTATGACATCTTAGCTTCGACGGCTCCTTCTCATCTTGCTCTCTCTTGCTCGAGCGATGCCCAACCTTCATGGCTACATGGATTCACTCTACGCGCTGCCGCAGGACTTACATTCTGGCTCCAATCCTTTCGAATTTGGTCTAGGCTCTATTCGATGATTCCGATCCACGTGCAATACATCCATGGGACTCTGGGAGTCACAAAGAACTTCCTTTACTCATAGTCGCACGAGAGAAGTCTCTTGTATCCGCAAGTCATGCAATAAATATGCATTGGGTTGAGCGAGCAGGAAGACAGGTCACAGAACAAACCTTCTTGATGTAGTGCCCCATCGCGGGTTCCGCCGCCGCCGATATCGCACAAGCATATGCTTGAGCAATGGATAATACCAGAGGCGTCTCGATCCACCGAGAGCAGGTATAGCCATAGCTCATTATGATCAGCTGGTCCTTGGCGATACTGGCTCGAAAGATCTAGATATGGGATTCTATATCTGATTTTTGAGCACCTGTTACGGAACAAGAGCGAGTAGATGAGTATGCGTGGTCGTTCATGACAGATCTACATCGACATCATGCCTTCGCCGCATGTCGCGGACTCCGACTAATGATGCCCAGAACACATATATTCACAGGGCTCGCCTGTCGTCTTCAATCTGTAATGCACGCCAGCTGCCCAACTTACATAGCACATGAGACGTAACAAGCCTTGATGTGATTGGACGAGCCTCCTACTAATTGCTTCGCGTAACAGTCCATGGACGTCGGATATACGCCTTTGAGCATGCTTTGGTAGGCATGGGGGCTCAATGCCTGTCGAAGACACCGTACCGGCGGCGCACATCGCTCGAGACTCAACCTGTGCTTCCAATACACGAAATACGAAGTTCAACGATATAAGCAGACGATGCACCCGGGGAAGACAGCCTATGAGGCAGAGTAGAGAGGGAGGGAGACGGTTGTTGCCCGGACCATCCTAAGTATCAACCGACATGAGCGCCGCAGCGCACGCAACGCCGCTCCTTATCCACGCTGGTACATGAAGAAGCGTCGAAATCTCAGCGCACAGTCGCCCCAATCTCGGTATGAACGACGTACAGAAGCGCGAGGAGACCTATTGGGAAGCAGAAGATTGCGGTGAGGATCCCCACCATCCCATACCTTGTCGTCACGTCGTGGTTTCCCTGTGCGCACAATGCGAATACTGCGGGCAAAGGATCAAAGTTCAGTGTCCGTGGCCGACGCGATTCCAATTCACCTACATTGCTGCTGATACTGCACGCCCGGGCCCACCACGTAGACATTCTGTGGCATCGGCTGAAATCCGGACTGGGGTCCGATGGAGCCCTGCGCATACACCCCAGGACCTGGGTTGAATGGCGGCTGCCCTCCCTGTGGACCAGGTGGTGACATGTACTGCCCAGATGGGTATTGCTGGTGCTGCGGCGGGTATTGTCCATGACTATATTGCTGGCCGAAGTACTGCTGAGAAGGGGCACCATGCACGCCCGGAGTCTGAGTGGGTGGAGTGTACGGCGACTGAGGTTGAGAAGCGTTTCCTGGAAAGTCAGGGTAGATTGGGGCCGCAGACTGAGGCTGGGCCTTCTCATTGATCATAGTGGTAGCGAGATTACTCATGGCAAATGAAGGTGCGCAGGGTAGGACGAAGGAGTAGAGTTAGGCCAAAGGTGACCCCAGGAAAGTTATATGGCAACGGGGAACGGTATCGAAGCCCCAGAAGATAGGTCTGACAGTTCGAGCCTATCCGAATACTGTTAGTCGTGACCACCTGAAGGGCAACGGATTGCGAGAGGATGAGGCACCAGGGGTGAGAACGACGTCGGTGGCAGTACGGCATAGCATAGTACTAGTAGACACAAGAACAAACGTAACGTGAATATGCCTGTCATGTCAGGTGATCTGTCCTCGATCGCCGTGCGCGCAGGTTTCGTGTATGATGGACTTGGAGTTGTGGCCGTCTTCGACATCGCTCATGAGTTGCGATCACGTGATTGTTTTCGCGCGCACGCCATATAGAAAGAACAGGACGTCAGCTCAGGACGCGACACCTGTGCTTACAACCCACTCTGCCTCCTCCCCCATCTATTCCTTTGAGCGTCGGTTTCTCTGAGGTCTTCCTTCTGACATCCAGCGGACGACTACGAGCTCTATCTCCTGACCTGTTTGCAGACATTGTTCTGCACTTTAACACCTTCGCGGAATGGTTTCGTCAGGGCCAGAGCGATAATGTATCGTTATCAATCACCTGCCGATCGCGTTTCGAAGCGGCGTTGGATACTCTATGGAATACGTTGCCCGCGTCTTTTTCCATAGTCTATACGTTGCCACGAAGTTTGTGGGAAGTTGGCGATGACGGCTGACGTGGTTCAAGGAATCTCCTTGTACGTGGAATCACCTTGATGGCCTCTATGACTTCAGTCTTTTTGTTCAAATTCTCCAAGCGATCTCTACAATAGCCTCAGCCTGGTGGCTACACTCTCTCTTCGTGACATAAGCTATTGGGGTCCATCATCTGCAGTGGAGAGGGGCCTACTCTGACAACCACTTTTCAAGCATGGTGAACATTCACAGTGACGCGCTGCACGCAATGAAGAGCTCCATGCCCACACAGCACCTGTTCACCAACCTGCGGACTTTGACCTGTAGTTCCATCCCCGCGTCTCTTTTTCGTGTCTCCGTTATGTGGAAGCTTGCGTTCGGTATGATGGTGTAGCGTCTGTTCCCGAAGAGCACGCTACGGATCTATTCAAACAATTCACAAGCTCTTGCACCCAGCTCCAAGATGTTTATTTAGAGTCAAGCGCACTCAGCAGTACTCTGATGGACGGGATTGTTGAGGCCGTTGGTGACGCAACTAGCCTGTAACCATGATGTTGCATTTGACACACTCGTACTTCCTCTCTTCACTAGCCTTCCCACTCGAGTGCCTCATTATCACTGTTGAGAATGCAGAGAATGCTGACGCGTTTCCAGATTTACCTAAGCAACCGTTCCCCGTCCTGCGCGAGCTGCACCTCTACACGGACCCGGAGAGCGTAAGCCTTCCTCGTCATCGGCTACATGTGGTGTCATCGACGGACGAATCTGGAAACCTTCAAACTCGGAATGCTTGGCAATACATCTACTTGTTCTCCCGTGCTGTCAAATCGCTCCTCTCGCCTCACGACCGTCGCTGTAGATCGTGCTTTACCGCTCGCCGCTTATACCAAGACGCGAGACCCCTCGCCGGTACAGGTCCTACGGCCTTCGCTGAAGTCCACTAACATCGAAAATATCGACCTCTCAACATTAGTAATAGATGTCGACGACGTGCTCATAGCGGCTGCCTGGCCACGCCTCGCTTATTTCCACCTAGACGTGGATAAGCCATAAAGTGTACCTGCCGCCCCCTTCTCCTCACTTCTTGGCCTGCTCCCCCTCACACGCCAATCCGAGAACCTCGTCATACTGGGCCTCGAGCTAAAAACCGATGTCCCGCCCTCGCAACTTGCCGCAGCGGCGAAGGCAATTTACGCCCAGCATCTGTGCTCTTGGCGACTCGCACGTCGGCCGGTCGCGATGCAAGGCCCCGCTGTCAGTGGCCGCATTCTTGTTCGCCTTCAATTTCCGCGCCTGTACGCCCTCTCGACTCATTGGCGCTCGGTCTTCCTGACATCTTGCGCTGTTGAAGGGGAAGGCGGACTGCGTGGGGTTCGCTGCGGAACGGAGCTGCAGCGCTCCTTCCGGCACGAGGTCGAAGACATTTTGCAGAGTCTTCAGGAGATCCGTCACCAGAAGCAGGAGTGGGGCGCCGCTCAAGGGCTCCACTCGAAGATGCCGTCGCCTGGACGCTCGACGGGCGCGGAGAACGAAGAGGCGTGCGTCGAAAAGAGGTGACCTGCTATAGAAGGGTGAGCCGTGTTCTTCTGAATATGAGGATACCGTATGTTGACCAGAGATCAATGCGCGTGCCCTCAGCTATCCCGCCTGCGCCCTTCAAGCAGATTGGCCGCCCCTCAGGCAACGTGACAACTAGGACACCTCGCGCGTATGTGCGGGGGCCAACCTGGGTCTGTTTCTTTAGTGTGGATACAGTATACGTCGGACGTTGGACATGCGATACATACAGTTGCCTCCCGCGATGACCTCATACGACGTGCCGCTGGATAGTCTCACGGACACCGACTATATGCATGTTCGGGCCCTCTGCGCAGAACTTGCTCCCGCAATGCAAGCAGCTCGTCGGCGATGTAGTCCGTCAGGAAGAGGAATTCGTGAAAGAAGGCAAGTACAGGTCCGACCCCGATTGCATTGGATTGGTCATCTCTGATCAGGTATCCAGGTATCTAGTATGGTCAGTGCAAGTGTCGCCGAACCATTATGCAAACGAGCATCCAGGGGATATAGCTGTCGACGCTTCGAAGTCCACTCGGGACAAGCCGACGGCGCCAGACCGTGTCATGATACGTCCTCTTGGTGCCTCTCCGGGCCGCAATGTCGTCGACAATGACTGGCTCGAGGTACGTAGTGCTGAATTCGCCGTCTCCACGTCCAAACATGATAACCATCTCCACGACCGGGATCATACCGCTGGAGAGGATTACGGCTTCTAGGAAAGTAGGCATGGCGACCCCTCTTCTCGCGCCACCCAACCATTCTTCTGAACACCGCATGAGCAGGTCTGGATGTAATACTCGCGGTCATCCCGTCTCGACGTTCTCATGAAGCACGAGACAGGCCGCTGCCAGAGTTCAAACCTGTCCCATTCGCACCACAGGCTTGCGGCACAGCGCGACTATCGGGCCGTCATGTACCCTCAGCAACATCAGCGCAGCTCGAATTTGACCACCGACGCCACGGCGCTGGCGGCTACAGAAGTCCCTCGTGCTGGCAGGCGTGGTTCCCATTACCGTCTGCCAAGCCACGTATCCTCCCTTCAATTGCCTACATCGACACACGCCTCACTTCTCGCAGCGTCCGGCATCGCTATCATGAGAAGTTCCGAGAGCACATCCGCAGCGGATGCTGCTTTTGAGCGCATACAATCCCCCCATTTCCGGCATATACCTATTTTTCGTGCGGTCTAGGCTCGCGATTCCGTGACTCCGACAAGCTCGCGCGGCTGCGGACCTCCCGCTTGAAGGAATGGGCAGCGTCTCCGCTCTCTTCGTTGCCGTTCGTGGGCGGGCTCGTGTCCTATCTGTTTGATCATTCATTGCGCGCAGTCACACCTGGGTCCGATCGCACGTTGTTGCAAGCCGTTTCCCGCACACGTTCCTCGCAACAGCTCCCTCACTGCCCAGCCCTGTATGTCTCCTTGAGGCAGGTCTCGATATCCGGATGTTCGATGTCTAACCACTATGCCGCAGATAGGCCATATCATCGGGCACCCTATGTCAACGCGATATCAGCAGAACCGTCGTAGCGGGGAAGCGGATGCCAGATTCTAATTATAGAAGCTCCAGACTACGCCGGCCAAGGGCCCCCGCCGAGATACGGTGACAGCTTGACCGCGCACGAACGACGCACCGCCCGTCTCATGTGTTCCAGGTCGATGCGGTCACTGGCGTTCAGGCGCCCGTGCCTGCCCCAGGACACGCTCGCGCACACTCCCCTCATGCAGGTATGTCATAGTGGAGAAATATACATACTCGTGCGTCAGGTGTACACTGCGGACTATGGAACGAAGGGCTCCGACAGATACTAGTCGTCCAGTGTCTATGATACAATAACTATCGGAAGGGTCCTGTACGTCATCAATCGGCCGTGGCACAACCTGGCTGTGAAGGGGGCATTTTCTGCGCTCAGCAGCACATCTCGCACGGGCAGCCTAGGGAATGATACAATCTCAATATATGCGTCGCGAACGACTGTTTGTTGTGAGGAACTTACAGATGATGTCCGCGAAGCACTCGCAGCAGTCCTGGAGGTAAACAGGTGCGTGAGAACGAGGAGCATATGTCGCTCCCAGACACCACTCACTTTGCAGCACTCTGGAGGCAGGGAGTAAGTCAGATCTGACTTCGGGATAAGAAAAGGAGAGATACGCACCGAAGCAGATGAAGCACTCGACTATTCCTAGGAAGCAGTCCTGATGCGACAGGTCAGGACGACGACGAAGAAAGGGGTAGTGATCTCGTGTACGCACCCTGGCGGCGCCACCACCACGAAGGCGTTCAGCGAAGCTGCGCTTGCGCTGGCATTCCTCGGAATGCGTCTGGTTGCCCTGCCTGGCGGGAGGGTTCATAGCGCCTGCAACATCATGCGAGTCAAGGTCGGGCAGATGCACAGCGGCAACGAGGGTACTCACTCATTTGCACGGCCTGAGGTTGAGCAGAGGTGGTCATCGCGGGCTTTGGTGCCTCCATTATGATTTGATATTGTTTGGGGTGAGAGTGTGTTCGGAAAAGTACGGGAGCGAAGGTACGTGCAGCAACGAGGGGGGAATGTCAGAGCAGGGGTTTATATATATGCGCACTGGGGCCATCCGCCCGTATGAGGATGGGATCGTTTGACGCGTGAGGTCATATCCGAGCTATTAATACTTGTAACTGCTACCATTTATCCAAGTTTTGCAATAGGTGAGTTGTTGTGGCGATATGGCCGAGCGGTCTAAGGCGCCAGAATCAGGACGATTTGAAAATACGTCTTCTATCTGGTCCTCACGGGCGTGGGTTCGAATCCCACTGTCGTCACTTCGTAGTGTACGAATGGTTTTTTTGTGCATATCGCGGTTGTGTTGATGCCTCAACGACCGAAGCTCATCATCGGATCAGCTCACCCACAGCCTTTGTATGGATTCACCGGACACGTTTCGGATGTCATACCACCAAGTATCAGCAGACATGAACTCGAACCCGGATCCAAGAAATGGTCGTGGTCATGCTCGCGCTCCGGTGCCAAGCTTCATAAATACGTATGTTCATTTATGGAGGCCCTGCAAACGACGTCATCAGGCGGCATACACGAAAGAATGTCCACAGAGGGGGGCGTGAGGCCACCGAGCGACCTGGCGACTTCCAACACTCGTGCGCAAACGTCCACGATAGGTCAATTGACGTGAACATCTGGCCGAAGATGGTAGGGTCCTTCTGCGTAAGACCGTACAAAGACGTAGCAGATCGTCGGAATGAATGCCGAGCATGACCGAAGACAGCGTGCCTGGGTCCGTCGTACGAGTCTACACGCGACGCATCACACACCAGGGGTTCCAAATGTTTCAATTTCGCTGACTTCAAACGAGTGTAACAGAGCAGTCGGTAGAGCGTAGTCGTAGCGGCAGGCAGTAGTGGTAGTAGTAGTGGTATAGAGTCCATGCGGACTGTCCAAGCATTCAGTCTCGTCATGGAACACGCTCCGTGGTCTCCGCGGCGGTACACGTTCAAGCAGTCGGCAAAGCGGGGAAGGAGAAGCTCGACGCGGAGGGAATGGAGAAGGAGGTCGCCGACTGAACAGCGGAGGAAGCCGAGGTAGTCGAGTTGGTAATGGTGAACTTGGGGGAGGCGTTGCCGGAGTCACCGAAAACTGTGCAAAGCCGATCACGCATGTCAGAGATCGGTCCACGAAAGCACAGCGAAGAGCTGTACTTACCGACAATCACGTAATCGTCGCGAGCGGGTACTTGGGGAACGTTGACGGTCACGGACCCGGCGGTAATGGGGAAGTTCACCGCGAGGGGGTGCTCTGTAGGCGCGCATCATCAGCTAACCCTGCCACTTCCGTACATATACTATAGGTGAAGGAACGGAAGAGACGTACGGATGTCGAGGTGCTCGTTAACATCACCATCCTCAATGTAGCCGAGGAGAATGAGGCCCGTCTGGTTCTGGTTCTCAGCCGGGATGTTGGACGCGTCCCAGGTGATGGTTTGGGAGGAACCGGCTTGCCACACTACGCCCGCGGTGGGGGCAGTGATGTGCGGGCGGAACACGACGTCAACGTTGCCGTTGGTCGGTTCAAACACCTTTGCCGGGGCGGCGGACACCGCGGCTGCGGCGGCAGCAAGCACGGAGAAGGCGGCAAGGAACTTGGTGGAGGCGAACATGTCTGTAGCTGGTATCGGGGTCGTGAAAGGTATAACGCGACGAGACAAGGAGCGACAGGTGACGGGCAACGGGCAACGAGACGAGAGGGGAAGGGAAGCGTGAGGACAGAGCAGGACAATATGAAGTTCCCCCATTACCAGTTGGTCCCTTTATACATGCCACCTCACCGAGCCTTGCCGTCGGCTGTTCGCGTTTGGGGGTTCTATAACCTGGCGCTTCTGTTTCGAAGCGTGCGCCGACGCTCGCAAGATGGCGTACGTGCCTGTGTGTACGCGTCGTTTAGCAAGGACCGGCGCTCGGTTGACGGAAGAGTATTGTTGCAGCGTAAGTACTGGTACTTATGCGTCGGGTACTCTAAGTATGTCCTGGAGAAGGGTTAGTCCCTTCGGCGACATAGTGCTTGGCCCGGAGACTCCTACCTCTCGCGTGGGGACTTTGTCCGAGAGGCGGCGTGCCGCATCTCATGAGCGTTGACAGAGCGCGGACCACACAAGCGATGTGGAGCGGGATTCACCGCGTTTTAGGCCCTTCTGGTTCAAGCGCGGGTATGTGAGCAAGTATCAGCGATTACCAGCTAGTTGAAGGGTAGTCTCGTGACCAGACGTTCGGAGCTCCAAGCGGGAACGAAAAATCGGAGGTTCCCGAGCACCTTAACGTCTGGTGGCTTTACCCCCGTGACTCCCCGCTCGGTGACCTATGTGACCTCCCTGCCCTCTCTCCGGGAGTCCGAGCTGTCCTTGCGTGCGCGCCTGCATGCTTATCTCCTGCCATCTTTGAGCTGCGCTGAGCCTACTCTGCACTATCTATGATATCTGCAAGCAGTCAATTCCCCTGTAATCCTCTGTCTCTGTTATAGGCAATACACTGTGGCTTCTCTTTGTGTGCGCAACCCGATAACATAATGCGTCTGAATTCAGGAGTGCGATGCACCTATCGCCGTGTCCACCGATGCCGGTCACCTTGGGCTTGTACCCCTTCGAGGTTTCCTTCTCTTCTATGGGAGTATCATCGCTCAGGTCCGCACTCTGTCCAGCACCAGAGTAATATCACCAGCGGTGGTCGAACTCCTGTCAATTCCGTCACAGGTTGTAGCGGGTAATTTCGAGAGGAGCGGACATCATGGAAAGAGGCATCCTCAGCAATGATATCATGCATCTCTCGCAGGGTGCTCTACAATACGTGTGGACGAGCGCGCGCCATGCAAGGGGTTCATGGTCAGTAGCTCGAGGAGTCGGAGCGACTGCATGGTCGTCTACAGCAGGCCGCCACATCGCACACTGAGGGCGACCTCCGGCTTTCTCGGACTGCCCCAAATGGGTGTCGATATGTCACACAGGTCACCGAGCGGGGAGTCACGGGGGTAAAGCCACCAGACGTTCGAGTGTCCGGATGCCCCCGATTTTTCGCATCCGCTTCACACTCCGAACGTCTGGTCACGAGACTAGTTGAAGGGGTGCGAACGGCAGACCCGGTCGAACGCCTTATTCGATGTAAACAGACATAAATAGAGGACATACTGATATGTAGTCTATGTCTCAACTCCGGCATACGCTTGCGTCATGAAGGCATTGCAAATCGCCTTAATGTAATAGTGTACTATAGTCTATCCGAACCTCAAATCGACTTGCAGGTTGCGGCTTGTGAGTATCTTAATATATGTCTACGGTTAGCACCCTTACTTACTGGGAGTAGTCAGGCGGGTTCAACCAGAAAGCCTCAGATATCAAGCTGGCGGCGCTCGACTTTGCCGATTTTGCATCTTGACCTCCTTCCATCACCTTATCTGGGTACGGCCTCGAACTCATGCATGGGTTCCCAGACACATCTTGCTCAGTAAGTGTTCTCCTTTATGCCTTAGTCAGGCTCCTTCTGACTCGCATGGAATTCTATCAAATGCCGCTTTTCAGAGGTTCCCTTGAGTCACAGGCGGCGGCGGCGGACTTTGTGGAAACTGGCAATAGGTATGCTTAGCCCATAACCTCAGGAACTATACTCATTTGTGTGCCTATGGACTAGCTCTACCATGGTTGTGTGGTCGTTGTTTTGGGCAGCGGTGAGTGCTTATACGCATGTCCTCTCATACTTGTCGTGGCTATATGCTACCTGTTCAGACCACTCCTCTCGCGACTTCTTGACTACGACTAAAAGTATGGTGAGCACTACCAGACTATATGTCATCTCTCGTCTTAACTGTCACTGGAATGAGCAGTATGAAGTAGGGTGTAAGACTGCGAGCATGCGAATCGATGGCCCACGATGGACTTGCGATATCACTAGTACTGTAGGATTTCCGTATTTACGATATGATGTCGCCGTAATAGCTATCATAATATGCATTTTCGTCGTAACTTCTATTCTAGGAATATGGGATAACGAATTGAAATATATGATGATTTAGCTGATATTCAGGACGGGTCTATACCATCGAACAGGTCGCCTGATCCAGCCTGAAATTGACCGTCTACTTGAACCTTCGACCAGACCATCTACTTGAACTGCAACCTCATCTCGGCAAGTGCATTATTCACAGGTATTCTGATTTGTTTAGAGCGTGAATTGCCTGTTAGTTACGCCTCCAACCAGACTCTGAGTACACATCTATTCGCAGCAACTCGCCCGTGAACCAGGAGGGCCCAAAACGCGGTGATTCTGATACAAGCCTCCCGGGTATGGTGTGGCTGTGCTAATAGACGGCTCCTACGGTCGCAACGATCAACGACCTCAAATACATCCGACGAAGGCTGCACTGAACGAGACATATTCGATTGGATCACAATACACGGGGAAGTATATCGAGTACTTGGGTACGAGACTTTGCCTAATCTACATTGCGATGGGTTGCGATTCACAGAACTATCGACAGCGAACAGTGGATGAGGTATGAGAGATAGGGATCACGTTGGGTACATACTTCGATAAACGTGACATAGACGTGGTGACAAGATGACATATGCGCAACAACAACAAAACTGGGGTTCGAACGCAATTTCGAAAGTGTCCCATCAAAAATCGCTTCCAAGCGCGGACGAAGAAGAGGGAGTGGCGCTTGTGCGGCTGCGGGGGTTCCGCGGGAACAGCTTAGAGGAGCTGAAGTGCTTGCTCTTCAGCCAAGCCGTCCTGCGCGACACACGGTCGCGCGAAGGTGAGTTAGACATGTTCGAGTCGTCGCTCGGTGGGTCTGAGCTGGTAAACGCCATGCGCTTGACACGGCGCAGGGACGGTGAAACAAGTCGGTGCGGTGTCACCTGGCCAAGATGTGGATCATCGTCAGATGGAGGCATGTCGGAGACGTCGATTGCGGGAGATGTGGCCATGATCGAATCATCTGTAAGACATAGAAGCGCAGATGGTGAGCGGTGAAGGGCGGCTTGAAGGTGGAAATACGGTACTCACCACTACCAAATTGCGGGGCGTCAAGGAGAAGTCGGATCGGAGAGGATATTCCCGCGGCTTCCTCCCGCAACTCCGCCGCACGGGTCGTTTTACGTCTCTTTGGAGTCTCCAGTTTCTGAAAATCAGCATTCTTGCCCAGAAGTTTAGTCGCGGACCGCGTGCGCCTGATCGTTGGCTTCGGATCTTCGGCCGCGGACTGCGGTTTCAATTCTGCATCTGCCTCCGATGCGTGTTCAATGGACTCCAAGCTATGTCGGCCACGGGCGCGTATCTGCTGGACGGAAGGAACTTCGACAGCGTCCATGAAGACCCCCTTGCGCTTGCGAGAAGCAGGTGTAGGCGTAGCATCTACTGCTGAGGTTTCCGACTCCGCATCGGATGCGACAGAGGCGTTGTCGTCATGACTTTCGGCGCTTGATGTCTCGATCTTCGCAGCGGACTTGCTGGGTAAGGCAAGCTGCTGGAGGGTGTCCGAAGTATCGTGCATTGTCGTATAAACTTGCAAGTTGGAGAATGCAGATGGCGCCAGTGGGGATGCCTCCAAACGACCTTTCTTCGACAACTTCTCGTCGAGACTAGCCATGTCCTCCGTATCATCGTAATGGGGCCGCTTTCCGAGGATTGACTCGAGGAGGAAAGGAGAACGTGCTGCCAGCCGCTCCGTAACGGATGCGATCGCGGACCTGGGAGATCGGTTTTCCTTGTCCTTCTTCGCAGCAGATCGCTTCGGCGTAGCAGGGGAATGATTGGGAGATGCATCCACCGAGGGGGAGACATCCAGTGGAATAGCGCTGAGCTGATCCTTGACGTCCAACTTCTCCTGACGGCTGGGAGAGGTACGCATGACGGGGCTTCTCTTCGGAGTAGACGGTACGGGGGCGACAGGGGAAGGTTCGCGAGAGATGGCAGACTTGAGGAAAGGTGTTGATGCACGAGCGGGTATGACAGGAGAGGGAATGACAACCGACCCCTCGTCTTCGCTCTCCAGAGCAGTGTCGTCCTCGGGAGCGACTTCGAGGGATGGACTCGGCAAATCGTCGCAGATCACAGTCATGTTCTCCACCTTCATCGCGTCTTCCTCCTCTTCCCGCTTCGCCTGCGCAACAGCGTCGAGACACATGGCAATCGACTCCGGATATCCGCAAGAAGGCTCAGGGAGCTCAGCATAGGTAGCCTGCCAGAACTCTGAGAACGCGTCGACAGCTCCAGTGTGCTTGTCCCTCCGTCCATAAAACGGAGCAGCGAGCAGGGGCCCTAGAACATCCAAGACATTCAAGTCCTTCGCCAACGGCTGCATACTCACGAGCACAGTTTGGTACAGTGGCAGGATCTGCGTTTTCAGCAGGTTAGTCGCGACAGAGGAAGAACAGCGGCAAGCCACGTACGTCAGCCACATACTCCTCTTCGGAGCACACCTCGAAGTCATCTCCAATCCACGCCCGTAGGCCTTCGAGAAGCAGCTCCAGCACTGAGGAGCACAGCTCCTGCGGGCACGCGTCGATGACCCTCGTGAGGGTGCGCAGGAGCCACATGCACATGACCTTGTGCCGCGGGGCCGGCGGATAGGCAGCGTTGAGCGTGTCGTTCGCGAATTCGAAGATCTCCGTCGGTGCCTGACGCGCATCCGCGATCTCGACATTAGAGAGGAGCAGGTCCGCAACACGCACAGCCGACGGTGTCGAGGGACTGTGGCCCGTCGCGATGACACCTGCGAGCTGGTCGATGAGGGTGATCGCGTCGATCCCGTGGTCTAGGGCAGCGTCGATCGCCCGGCGGAGAAGAGAATCCCAAGTGTCGAGATCATCGCTAGCCATTTCCCAGCAACTGGGCTCGATAAAGGGCGCAGACAGAAGAATGATGGCCGCTTCCCAGCTGCGCTCTCCAGACGCGTCGCCCGAATTCCACCGATCGACGAATGCTTGCCATACAGACGCGCGAACGTCCGCGTCCCAGTCCGAGTCGCGGCGAGCCTTGTGCAGCGAGTTCTCCCAAAAGGACTGCACGACATTCAGGTCGCATGCGAAAGCAGCTTCTGCGCACAGACATGCCCATTGTTCGCGGACTTCGTCGGAGCACTGGACGTCACCGACTAGGAGTTCTTCATTGGCGTTGAGGTACCGAAGGACACATTCCGCGAGATCGCCAAAGACTTCCGGAGGAAAAATCGCACGCGTAATGGTGAACAGGTCGCGGACGAGGAAGAGTTTGACCGCAAAATTCCACCGTGACTCAGGCAGCGGTCGGTCGGTGCCTTTGACATTTTCTGGCAGACCGGCTTGTTTGACAGGAGAGGGAGGAACGTCATTATCGTCGTCTCTGCGCAGTGTGAAGTCCAATTCGGGGTCATCGAGGATGCCCACGAGAATGTCACGTGTGTTCGCAGCGAGCTCAGCAAGACCATCCAGGTCATCTGAATCTGAAGAGGAATGAGCCGCCACCCTGACGCATCTCACAGCAAGGGGTCAACGTACCGAGAAGAGGGGCTGCTTTGCACTTCAGCAAATTGAACCAGATCTCCCTGACTTCGGTCTGCAACGAGCTTAGCACATCCCCGCCTACCCGATCAAGAAGATACCCACCGGAACCTCCTCGCTGCCCCACGACAGCCTCAACACCGCCAACCCATCCCTCCAGATTGCGACGAACTCGTCCCACATTCCCTCCGCGGATATTTCTTCCAAGGTCAACGTCCGCACGTCCGAGATCTGCGGGCACTGCTCGATGAGCGGCTTCACCGTCGATGACAGCGTCTTCCACTCCGCAGTGAGCAGTCCTGGGTTCGCCGAGAAGAAGTCGTGCACGAGAAGCTTGCGGTGGTTCCAATTGGAATCCTCCGTCGTCCCGTACGCGAGCGACGCGGCGCTGAGTAGGTGGCGCGTGAGGTCCATAGCATCCTTGCATGTGACGCCACCTTTGCGACTCATCGTGCGCAGAACACGGAGGGCGCCAAACACGGACATGTCGTCCATGACTTCCTGTCCGAGCAGCGCACCAACGGTGCTGACACCAGCACCCATGTCGACGATGGAAGGAAGGAGTCTGAAGTTGTTGCGAAGTACCTCGTCATGCCTTCTCCTCTCAGAGACAACGTCCTCTTCTGTCGCTGATTCATCTTCGCCGTCCGACTCGGTGTCGATGGCGACCTTCACATGTGGTGGTCGGCAGAATGCCCACGTCATGGAACGCCAGGCAAGGCATCCAAGCGCGCGCACCGAACTTTTCGTATGACGCATTCCCAAGGAGAACAGCGCGGAGATGGTACGCGTGAGTTCTGGGTGGAGGTACACTGTCGGTCCAAGGAGGACGATTAGGTGAGCGATGACGCTGAAGGCCCACACAGGACCTTGCGCCGAATGTCTCGGCTCGGCCGCCTGAAGCGTTGTACGAAGAGTGCGAACGAGGATCGAATCCTTTGATGGACTGGCCTCGAGCTTCTTCGACGGGGTTGCAGGACTAGCGTCTGCCGGCTTCATGAGGCGCGACGCCACAATTGTTGACATACGTGTATGCGCCTCGCTTGGAGGCAGAGACGCGGCAGCAAGTGCCAGCCCACCGAGGGCGTGGCATGCCTGACCACGCATCGCGAGTGTGGGCGCAAGCAGGTTGTCGAGAATCCTCCCGAGAACTGAAACAAAGGACGGCACAAAGATCGCTGGCTGGTAGAGCGCCAGGTCATGGACAGCCTACCAAAGTGGTCAGCGCATATAGTCAAGGGATTGCCACCGGGCATACCTTGAGCCCATCGCTGACCGAGCCCTTCTTGCCCTCCTTGCCAAGTTCACCACCGATTCCGCGACGTAACGCGTAAGCGATGCGGTTTTTAGCCGGCTCAAGGACCTCCGCCGGTAGACGCTGTACCTGGATCAGCCAGATTGCCAGCGCGTACGTCTTCCGAGCGTTCGGGGTCGGAAGCTCGTTGACGAGCGGGATTGCGAGGACTTGGGTGAAAATATAACCAAGTTCTTCCTCTGGAAAATGACATAATGTGAGTTCCCAGGTTATCACGCGGTAACCAGCACTTACCATTGAAGAGGTTATAGAGAGACGGAAGAGTAAAGATTACACTCAGCAACCTCATGACTGCGTGGCATATGCCACATAGGTCGCGGGCACGCTTGACTTGCTCCTCGGACATGCCTCGCTTCTTTGTCTTCTTGGGGCTGTCGCGTGGGGAAGGGAGGCTTGCCGTCGAAGGCGGTTCCCTCGACGGCGAGGAAAGTGGGTCGATCAAGCCCGTGGGCGCGGCCCCTTCAAGGGGATCAACAAAGACCTGATTCATATCACGCACCATCGCCTCGATGAATGCTCTCCGATGTTTCCTGAGGGGTTGAAAAAGCGGCCATGACGCGTCTGCGTCAGTGTTCCCAGTAACACAGTTTCGGAGACGCGCCGCGAGACTAGTGTAGGCCTGGATGAGATCGCACAATGATGCTTCTGGAGAAATAATGCGAGCCATAGGACGTTCAAGGTAGTGCAAGTCTGCAAGGGGGTCCTCTGGTTCGGGCGTCGACTCCTTCTGAGCCGCATCTTCGTCAATGGGAGGTAGTAACGGGTAGGTGGTTTTCTTGAGAATCGACCGCGACGGACCAGCCTTAAACGCGCTGGACTTGGCAGAGGACGTGCGTGGTGGGCTGTCTGTGATAGGATGGAGTTTTGCCGTGTCTGACCACGAGACGCGTGCAAAGCGGGGTGTACGATTCTCCTTCTCGTCTCTGTGGGACGTGCCGGGAGGGGTAGGGAGACTCATCGTGTGTCGTGGGAGATTGAGTGGGAGGAGGCCAGACAACGCGTGATGGACGCTGCCGGCGACGGCGACGACGACGACGACGAAGGTGAAGATGAAGAGTGTGAAGGGCCACGGTGGCGGGAGCGCGCGCCAGCGCTTCCTGTGCCTAATGACCTATTTGGCCGTATTGACGCGATTTTGTTGACGCGTCTGTCACATGGGTCGCGTCGCGACGTGTCCTCTAGACGCCCTCTTCGACCTTGTACCCAGTACTGGTACTAGGACTGGTACTAGGACTGGTACTGCCAAGTATCGAGCAGGTGGCCTTCGAGACAGGGAACACTCGATGGACTATAATCATACAACAAGCAACATATCCAATCCCGGAAGCAGTCCGTGAGGTGCGCGCCTCGACTTCGAATGGTTATGCATGTTTGGTTTGCTGAATGAATTTGCAGTTCTCTGTACGATAAAACGACACCCTGATCCATACCGGCAGAACTGGAAGGTTGTGCTGTTACGACCGATTGCGAGTCGTTGGTTGCAACAGTCAGCGGTAGTGGATTCATTCGACCCTGTGATCATAGAGGTCTCGACTGAGTCCATACGGGGTAAGTACACTCTGCGTACACTCTCGCGTTCTTCATGAGTGATTCGATTACTTGTTCAGATGTCGAACTCCGCTACCTCGAGTCGTGCAAGCCGAACTCCGATGTGTGGGGACGGGATTATGTAGCAATGGTACAACGCCGGCCATATCCCCGCCGAAACATCCCCAATTGTGCCACGAATAGCTCTTCTGCATACACTGGGTATACAGGCGATGAGAAGGTTTCGTTATACTCTTTGACCGGTCACCCCTGCCCTTCACTCCGCGTAACTCTGGCGCTCCGACAGCGATCATCCCGAGCATATAAAAGGCTCTATGGACTTCCCTCTCACCTCAGTGCTCAGCCTTCCTGTTTTTTTTCCTGCTCTTCGACACTTCTGCTCACTCCTCGTCCATCCATCCACCCTAGCACGCTTCACACGATGTTTTTCGCCAAGTCGATCCTTGCTCTCGCTGCCCTGGCCACCACAGCCTCTGCGGTTGCTCTCCGTGCCGCGAACGACGTCTTCTCTCCCCCTGTCACCTCCCCCACCGCTGGGGAAGTGTGGACCGTTGGCTCCGTGCAGACCGTCACTTGGGACACTTCCAGCATCCCCGCCGCCAACCAGAACCAGACTGGGCTCATCCTCCTCGGTTTCGTTGAAGATGGCTCCACCGATGAGCATCTCGACATCGGTACATGGACATATTTCTGCTTGCACACAAGCCTGTGCTCACGGACCTTGCCTCACTTCTTACAGAGAATCCTCTCGCTTCAAACTTTCCTATCAGGGATGGCGCGGTCAACGTGACTGTCCCTCAGGTCGCCACCCGCGATGACTACATCGTCGTCCGTACGTAATCCACGACTTCTTGCTGATTTCTTCAGGGCTAACCGGATTTCCGTAAAGTGTTTGGTGACTCTGGAAATTCGTCTCCCAAGTTCACCATCAACTAAGCCAGCGAATCGCTCTGTCTGCTATTACGCTGTCTGTCGGCTGTTTCAAATTCCCCGTAATTGGTACTCTACCTATGTTCTACGTATGAGCACGAGGATGTAGTCAGAGTGGCATTGTTGCTCTTGAGTTCGCCAAGACCGTGTACAGCAAGGCTAAAACGGGCCTCAACTCAGTATCTCGGAGTCCTGACTCAATAGGCGTGCGCCAAAGCGCATATGGCTCAACGGTACAGTGGTGTTCGTCTCTCCACACAAGCTACGACCGGGCCTAGCGGTGCAGCTAACGCTTTGCAAGGAAGTCTAGTACAAATTAGACATTGCAAAGTGAGTAATTGAGTGCCGTTACTCGCGATAATCCGATTAGCCTGAACCTATCGGTGACTACCACGCTTTTATTGACATAAACATAGAATGTCGTCCTGAAGTCTAACGGCGGTCAGACCTCCCGAACTTCCGGCGACACCTTCCCGTCATCCCGAAGCCCAGATGTCCCATTTGTACCTGGTTTATGCAATATCTCCCCTTCTTTTCACGTACAATCCCGCGTTATGTCCGACTAAGCCTTCTCGGGCGGTGCTCTCATGACCCGCGTTACGAACGGAGATGACATGCAAAGCACCCGCAGTGTATAGCACGTTGAATTTTCTGCTTTATTTACCACCAAAAGGGGGTCGGCGATTCGCTGTGCTCGGCTAAGACCTATATAAGAGGGCCGCTCTCCGGCGAGGTGAGCGACTTCTACCCGTGTCCTCAGTAAATCATGCTTGCGCTCATATGGGAGGCTGCATCACCTTATCAGGCCCTCGCAGGGACGCTCCTAGGCGGAACTCTGTTAACCATCACATGCATCGTTGCACGTCTGTGGCAGACCAACAGGGTGGGCGAGGGGATGCCCCCGGGTCCTCCAGGACATTGGTTCTTTGGGAACACCCCACCGAGATCTCAGTAGGCTCTCTTTGAATTTGATCTTGTTGATCACCCACAATAAATACATACGCAGCGCATACTTGTACTACAACGAGCTGGCTAAGACATATGGCCCGGTATTCACTCTGCGATATGGCTCCAAGCATGTCTGCGTAATCACTGGACATCAGGTACGCGTCTTCCTGGATCCCTGTTCTTCGCTTAAAGCCTAATGGTTTGCAGGCCGCAACTGATATCATGGTCAAGCAATCCCACAAACTCGCAGACCGTCCACAGTACATAGCTGCAGGCGAGGTACTCTCGAAAGGCATGCGTGTACTCATCACCAGAGCCGGGCCGCGTCTACGGAGACTACGAAAGTGAGTGCGATGCAGACGACATTCGGTCACCCTTGACTGAAGTGGATGTGATCGCGGCTGGTCACTTCGTTCTGCTTTCTGACGTACGGCTGGAAGCGCTCTACACGCAGCGCTCCAGGCGCGCGTCTCTGTCGCGTACGTGCCCACCCAAATGCAAAACGCGCGCATCTACGTGCTCGACATTTTGGACGCACCTGAACATCACTTGGATCATGCGAGGCGGTCAGTCCTTCTCAAGCGATGCCAAGCAATAACTCATTCTCTCCTGCCATAGGTATGCGGCGAGCGTGATCATGTCCGTGACATACGGAAAAACCACCCCGACCTCGTACTCTGATCCCGAGGTCAAACAAATCAACAAAATTGCCGCACGCCTAGGCGACGCCCTCAGGCCCGGAGCATATCTCATCGACACGTATCCATGGCTGAGATACGTCCCAGGCATGACGTCCAAGCTCGAGCAGTGGCATAGAGAGGAGATCGGCCTATACCGAGGCCAGGTGGATGCAGTCAAGCAACGGCTAGTTCGTTCCGCGTTTCATTGTCTGGAGAGGTTCCTTGGGCCGTACTGAGCTCGGGTCAACAGGCGGAGAACGAGGTGCAACCGTGTTTTGTGACTTACCTCCTCGATCATCAAGAAGAGTATGGCTTGTCGGATGACGAGCTTGCCTATGTCGCCGGTTCGATGTTCGGTGCAGGGTCAGACACTGTATGTGGTGCGCCTACTCCGTAATTGCATGCCTGACGGCAGACATAGACGGCCGGCGCCCTTGGCTTTGTCGTGATGGCGGCGGCAAAGTACCCGGACTCGCAACGCAGGGTGCAGGCGCAGCTTGATGAAGTCATTGGCCGAGATCGCTGTATGTGAAGCTGTCAATACCTTGCTGTCTGACGGCTCATTCGGATGCTGGGAAGCGCCTACCTTCGCTGATCAGGACGAACTGCCAGAAGTTTGGGCCTACATACAGGAATCATACAGGTGGCGGCCTGTAGCCCCCGCAGGCATCTCGCACGCAGCAACGGAAGATGTCTTTTGGGTAACATCCTTACCACGGCTTGAGTACCTAGACCCTGATCTATTTCGCTCACCAGAACGAATACGTGATCCCCGCAGGGACTGAAGTTATAGGTTGTCATTGGTATGTCGTGTAGTATCATGAAAATGGAGCTTCTCACTGAAGTCATGGGTCTAGGGCGATAGGTCGCGATCCAGAGGTCTTCCCGGACGGCGACAGCTTCATACCCACGCGCTGGCTGGACCCAAAGGGACATATCAAGGAAGACTTGCGAATCTTCAATTGGGGCTTCGGACGGAGGTGAGTACTTCGCGTAGTTAGCCATCGTATTGCGAGCCGATGGTCTTTCAGGCTATGCCCTGGACAGCATCTTGCAGATAGGTCGCTCTTCATCAACACCGCGCTCGTTTTGTGGGCATTTGAGATTTCCGAAGACCTGGCGCATCCGATCGATAATATGGCCCTCAAGGATGGTGCGCTTGCGCACCCGGAACCATTCACTGTAAATTTCAAGCCGAGGATCACTAGTTTGAGGGAAAAGCTTGCGTCCTACCGAGATGATTCATGATTGCCCCAGGCTGCCGGACTGGCCACGGAGCGAGTATTGAGCTTTCACATACTATTATGGCTCGACTTCGCAGATTCCAGGCACTTCTTCCCCTGTATCGTGATGACCTCTTATGCTATCCTGTGAAGCAGCTCTCCACTGGCAAGCTGAGGCAGGGAGTAAGATGGTGAAGGGCGTCGCAGCGACCGCGGACGGTGTATCCGTGTTCTCGAAGACCTCCCAATGAGCGCTTAATGATGTAACGCTCTCCATGCCAACCTGTCAATCTCTCATCACGTATCTGTTCCTCCTGCGTGCACTGCATATTTAGCCTGTCCTCACCCGGCCACGTACCATCCACCTCACACGTAGTTCTTATAGTGTAGAATCACGTTCCTCGGCCCATTCAATCTCTCAGCGAGCCGAACTTGTGTACTGGTAGACTAAGCGCCATAGGCAGTTCGCTATGAAAGTTGCTGTGGTTGGTTCAGGCGTATCTGGCCTCGGCGCAACATGGGTAGATGCTTTCAATTCAGAATGACATGAGGAGAGCTCATCCTACGCACAGCTCCTGAACGAATACACCGTCCATGAGGTTCATCTATTCGAAGCGGACTCCCGTCTAGGCGGCCACGCGAACACAGTCATCTTCGACCGGCCAGGGAAGAAGCCGACTGACGTGGATACGTGAGAGACTAGCTGGCTTGTTTGACGATTCCGAGTTTCCCCTGACCATAGCGTCCACAGTGGTTTCGTAAGTTTGCATGGGTCGCTGTCGTTCGGCGTACGGAGCTCAAACGTCACGAAGATTGTCTTCAACCCCAGCACTTACCCAAACTTCATCAACTTCCTCAACATATTCCCGGACTTAGCAGAACGCATTATCAAGACAGAGATGACCTTCTCCGTCTCCCGCGACATGGGGTTCTTTGAATGGGCCGGAGATAACCTCCTGACTATCTTCTGCCAGCCGTCGCGTCTCCTTGACTTGCAAATGTGGCGGTTGATATACGACGTGCTACGCTTCAACGTCAGCGCACAGAGGTTTATTATCGAACTTGAGAGCAAGACTTCAGCAGATGAAGAGATTTCTATTGGGACGTACCTCCAGCGCCATGGATACTCGGACTCGTTCCGGGACAACTACCTCATTGTACGGCGACCCGATGACTTCCTCGTTATGATCCGTTAATTGACATGACTATTTCCAGCCTATGACCGCTGCTATCTGGAGCACTCCGCCAGACAAATGCGCTCTCGACTTCCCAGCGAAGACACTGGTTCGTCGACTTATAGACGACGCATCCAAAGCGCATGATGGCTGACATGGCTGTCAGATACAATTTATGCTGAACCATCATCTTCTACAGATCACAGGAAAACCAAAGTGGCTCACGCTTCGCGGCGGCAGGCAAGTAGGCTTGATGAGCCAATTTGTATGGCCGACTGACGAGGTTCTGCTCTAGTCGCACGTATGTCCAAAAGATCATCTCCCGACTGTCACCGTCTCGGCTGCATCTCTCAACTCCTATCAAGGCGCTGAGGTCGGCACCTCTCTCCGACCATGCTTCCCAACCTCATCGTGTGGAACTCACCACGGCGTCTGGAGAGAAGATGTTGTTCGACCACGTTATCTTAGCATGTCATACGGACACGACCGTAGAAATACTCAAGGAGGGCGGTGGGATGACCTCTGAGGAGACTCGTATATTGGAGTCGTTCAAGTGGAACAGGAATGAGGCTGTACTACATTGCGACGAGCAGGTCAGAGTTATCGAGACCTTCGTGCTTCCTCCCCTAGCCTCCTCACCGTCTCACACCATGCATATAGCTCATGCCAAAGGCTCGCATTGCCTGGTCATGTTGGAACTATCTGACCAAGTCCGTTACCGACAAGGCCGGAAACTACCTTCCGAACATCAATCAGGTTTCTTTGTATGTGATTTGCCCCAGACCATGTGCACAGTACTGACCGTCCTGGCCTTGTAGGACGTGTGAGTATCAATTTCGCCACGCATGAATTTCACACATCATACACACTAACGGTGAGGCTAGACTGGATGAATGCACTTCAGCACCTTTCGATGAAAGACCACGGCCCGGTGCTCGTAACGCTCAACCCGCCATTCGACCCTAAGCCGTCCCTCACATTCGGCCGGTACAAGTACGACCACCCCATCCTCAGCGAGAAGGTAATGCACCCACCTAAATCCGCCTCCATTCCTCTGTACCTACTCTGAGACTTCCGCTGATCTGATCTCTCCCATTACTTACAGGCCATCCGAGCGCAGTCCCTCCTTCCAAGCATTCAAGGCACCCGGGGGATCTCCTACGCCGGTGCTTGGACGAAATATGGCTTCCATGAAGACGGCTTCACCTCCGGACTGCGCGCTGCCGCTGCCGTCGCGGGGCCTTCCGCCAAGCTACCCTTCGAGATCGTGCCCGCCGATCGTCAGCCAGACCGGAACGTGCTGCGGCTGGCACGGGCGTTTGACTTCTTCGAAAGCTCGGGAGCGGCGTGGCTTCTTGGAAGCCTCTTTGTCTTCGTCTTGGCTCTCTTGAGGCGTACGGTGGAGGGACTGGGTGTCAATCTCAGGCACCTGGAACAGACGCACGAGACGGCTGAGAAGGCTAAGGCGAAGGACGAATAAGCGTTGATCGCTTCTACTGAGGGCCCGAGTAACGGTTCGAGCGGATAATCGAGTTCATTAGGATAAGCTGCGGATGTGATCAGTGCTGGGGTCGTAGGTTCAGTACATGCCATTGTATCAGGATGCTCATGAGAATGTAGATGACCGGGGCTACGTAGTTTGTGCCGGAACCGACTGGTTTGGATGCGATACGAAGTCATATGCGAATTGAATGACGTGATCAACGTAACTGATGAGGAATGAGGAGACATAAACACAGCGAGACGAACGGAAAGAGACTGCTAAATAATACAAGAGGCTATAGCAGCTAAGCGTAAGTAGATGAGAGAATAAGAAAGACCATTATGCCAGGCATTGCTGATATAACTCTACACAGAAGAAAGCCAGCGTCCGCGATGCACCCGCATGGGTCTGGCATCGTCCATCTAGTCTGGGACATGGATAGCACTCGTCAACACGAGAACAGCAAACGAAAACGACAACACATCGCAATCTCAGAGGAGCTGCACGATAGATACCGAGGTATCCAACGAAACCACTCAGTCAAGCCTGCCCCTCCTCACGATTGTTTCGCTTCTGGACCAGGCAGGCTGAACCGCACGGTGGTCCTCGGAGACTCCTCATCATCGTCACCGTTCTGCCCGCTCTCGCCCTCGGCCTCAGACATGCCATGCGATGGCGTATTGGGTGAGGTGGGTGACACAATGCGCGGTGTGGACGCGCCTCCCCGCCCATCGTCCACGAAGCGCACCGATCGTGCGGGCGACATCTCTCGACTGGGAAGTTCGGAGCGGATCGAGTCGACACGTCGATGTGCCAGGCGCAGATGCGGGTGCGGGCCGATCGGCGTCGCAGTGCCCGACGCGGGCGAGCGCGGAGAGCGGGGCGACCGCACCGCAGAGCTACGTCCGCGCATCTCCTCCGACGGCGTCTGTGCGCCCTGCGGGAGGTCCTCGTTGCCATCGGTGAACGACTGACTGTGCCGTCGCGTGTGGTCATATTCTTCGCTGCGCGAGCGGTGAAGAGCGTTTGGTCGCTGCCCAAGGATGCTGTGACGCATGCCGGCAAACGCGCGCTTGCTCTTCGTCTTCGGTGCTTTGATCTTTGGCGATTTAGATTTCCTCGACTTCTCCGGACCCCTTCCAGCGGCCCTGTTGCCGCTGCCCGACGGCTCTCCTGCGCTGCGGTCTGACATCCAGCCCTCGTCTTCCGGGGACTCTTCATCAGTGCCCCGAGCACGTCCTTGGCCCTCTCGTTCCTGACGCCTTTGCGAGTCGGGAGGGGAGGTCTGAGGGGACAGAGCGTCACCCAGAGCGTCCCCCGCACGCTTCACCCGTTGCTCCATGTCCTTCGCCTCGTGTCTAACGCCCTCCTCCGCAGAGCGAAGAATGTGCTCCATCTCATGCGGAGCATTCCGTAGTTTCCCCCGGATCTCGTCCACTGCGTGACGGGAGGCGTCCTCGGCAATGCGCAACGTGGCCGTGTGCGTCTCCGAAGGGCCATAGACGTTCCGCTGAACCTCCACCTCGACCTAGAAAAGTCGCGGGTGCGATGATCAGCGGTCGCATTCATCCACGGCATAAGCGAGTCACAAAGAGGACGAGCGGACATGCTCGGCCGACCACTCACTTCTGCTCCTGGTGCTGAGCGGCGCTCGATGACTCTGTGTGGGCCTTCCTTCCACTCTTGCACCTGTTCGTCGCCGTCGGGAGGATTATCCGGAGCAGGCACTGGCTTCTCATGCGAAGGCGGCGACTCTTCGTCGATGGGCTTCTCCTGCGTCTCCGAGCCATCTACGGGGGTGATGCTTTCGGCCTGCCCGTCGCGATTGATGATAATTTCCTCGCCGGGCTGCACGTGTCGGATCTGCGTGGTCCACTCGGGGATAATAGATCGTCGGCGAGTGGAACCGAACGTTCCGAAGGTGTCGTGCCTTGACCAGGTGCGAGAAACGGAGTGCACGCGGCGGCCGAAGGTGAAGAAGGGGATAGAGAGGCCGTGGACAGCAATAGAGCACAGAACCATGAACGCAACGATCGGCTGGATCGAAGCCGCGAGCATTTGCTGCTGACCTACTGGAGGGTTCTCGGGAACGGGGAGCTGTTGAGCGGCGAGCGTGGAAATGAAGACAGCGCCTTATCAAATATACATCGCCGACATCAGTGGTCATAATTTCTCGGGAAAATTCAGCTGATAACGTACCGATCCCCATAGGGCCGAAATGACCGCTGAAAACAGCCTCGCGGAACGTCTTGACGTCTGGTATGAACTTGTAGAGCCCGACGATTATGGGTAGCCTACGCAGGATAAGGACCAATATGCCGATGACGAGAAGACGCCAGACGGAAAGAGTGAGTGTCTCATTCGAAAAGTCTTTGAAAGGCATCCAAGCGCCCACGAAGACGAAAGCCGCGATGTTGAAAATCAAGTCGATGACAGATGAGAAAACAGACTCCTCTGTCTGCTTGTTGAAGAAACCATCCCAGGCGAAGGCAGTGCCACAAGAGAACGCTGCAAGAAGGTCATCTGAACCGAGAAGCGTCGTTGCACCGATAGTGAGCATCGCAAGCGACACATACTGGGCGACATACGACTGCCTGTCAATAAGATCCTTTCTCTCGCAGAACTTCATCAAGTGCCGGAATCCGAAGCCCAGCAAGGCGCCAAACACGATGCCTAAGACGACTTGGTCTGCCATCGCATGTGGCAGGCCACCAAATCATTAGCGGACAAACGGACCGGGCATAAGATGGGACGTACAAAGCCAGAGCAGCAGAATCCAGTCGGACACTGCTCGACCCGTTGACGGGTCGACGATAAGGTAGAGTGCGAGGAAGAGAAATGGAAATGCCGCGCCGTCATTGCAGCCCGACTCCGCGGCGAGTAGATGACGCAAATGTGCAGGTACATGCTTGTCGGCGTATTTTCCACCGACGACCGCCGCAGCGAGGATAGGATCAGTTGGTGTCAGGCAAGCGGCGACGGCGAGAGAAGAAAGGAAGTTGAGCCCGGGGATAAGCGCATATATGAGGGCACCAGATACGAACCAGCCCTAGACGGAGTACAGAATTAATCGCGGCTCGAAACGAGCGACGGTGCGACATACCCATGTCATACAGGGACCCAGCAAGAAGAGTAAGCTCTTCCAATGTCTTTGCATGTAGGCTTTTGGTAGCTCGACGCCAATGGCAAAGACTCCGATAGCCAGGATTACGCGGGTCACTTCGAGGGTAATGGTATTGATGGTTTCCCGGTCTCCTCCACCCCATCCTCTGGGATCAAATATGTTGGCACCATATGGTCCTGAGCGAGTGAGTTGCAAGTCGCAAGTCCATGTGGTAAAAGATGTCGCTGCTTACCTATGACCACTCCAAAGAGGAATGCCCAGATCGCTTCACCTATATATAGCTACACCAGAACGAAGTTTAGCACAAAGGGAAACTTCGCTTGACATAGTGAATACGCACCCTTTCACGAATGAAAAGGGAGAACATGCCAAACTGTGCGGCAGATCAGACGGGAACCCAGGAGGCTAGGAATGAGAGCACTCACCAATACTACAAATCCACCCAAGGCAGCATAGGCGATATGAGGGATGGAAACCTCGAACTACAAGCTGATTGAGTGCCAGCAAGGATTCGAGCCGACATAACACTCACCGGGTTGAACCTCATGATGCAAGTGCCACAAACGTCGTTTCTCGAATGGTTACGGTCCGCCTCCAACTTTGAGGCCCGAGGAGCGACGAGAACGAACAGATATGATGATACAAGTCGTAGGAAGAGTCGTGAACAATCGTGGTCGTGAGGACGTTGTGGGTGACGCTGAAGGAAGAGAGCGGAGACGATAACGGGGTACCAAGAGGTCGAGCCCGGGGCTTAACATATGCTCTGGAATCGTGAGGAATGCCGAGCGGCGCGCGGAGTGCCCAGCCGAAGTTGACTTCGAGCTTGCCGGACTCGGTGGGTCACCCTTGTGAAGATCGCCTTCTACTCAGCGTCCCAATGTGTTCCTGGTGCACAAGGCAAGAAGAAGACTGGAAATGAACAGAAGATGACGAAGAGCACGGGGAAAGGGTTTTATGGACGAGCGTTGCGCTGCGTTGAACCTGCGTCGAGGCCGCCGGCGCTCCGTCCCTGACCAGCGCCTTCTCCGACAGGGTCCTCCAATCACAAGGACGCATAGATCGACGCCCCGATCTTTGTCCACAACGCCGTCGGCTGCTCCCCCGACGCTCTCGGCCTTGTCGACGTCTTCTGGCTCCTCGACGCCTGCTGTCCAGTCAGTCCCTTCAGCGGCACCTCCGTCCTCACCCGCCCAAGGAGAAGGCCACACCGACGGCGATCGATGCGTGGGTTCGTCGCTCACCGCTCCCGAGGACCCCCCTCTGCCGAAGGGCGCGCTCTGTCGCCCCGCATGGGAACGTCGAACCGACAGTCGCCTCATCCTGGATCACACGACAGACACGCGTAAAGACGCAGCCCAGAGTCGTGCTCAATGCCCCGCCCTCTGAGTAACATGATTGGGCAACCCCGCCTCGCGTGCCCCACCCTGGGAACGCTTGGGGACCTCGCTTTTGCTCGCTAATAGTGTTGTGACTGTTTCATCGCGGCCTTCGGACTCGGGCCCATGTACAACAGGATAACTCGCTCGCCGCGCACCCCCAAACTCACCCCTGGCTTCTACGGGGATTATCCTGAATTAATCTGCTACTTCTACTGGGCTGTCTAATTCAGCAGACGTTCTCTGTGGAGTCAAGGAGGACGCTCACTTTGTCATAGAAGCTGCGGAACGAATCCCGAGGTCATATCTCGTTCCGCCAGGCTTCCCGCACGCCCTGGTGCCGTAATGAACTTGGCTCTTGTCGACACGAGGTGGCAGTATAACGGTTGGCTTCCCTTATCGCCCGGGGAGTAAGCGTTTGCGGGTTTGTCGCCAGGAAGGCGCAGAGTGTCCTGGTTTCTATCTTTGGACCGGGGAGATGCGCAAACTCTGCGACCCGGCGGTCATGAGCTCCGCGAAACTAGTATCTCGCCATGCTCGCTCGCAACCGCACCTCGAAGTCGTGGCATGCCAAAAATCCAAAAAGCGTCCTTTCCGCCATGAAACGAGGGTCGACTGGCAGCACGAGGACGGCTATTCTGTTCGGCCTATGTGGGTTGGCCTCCCGGACCCGCACCATAACCGACGCGCATTCTTTGCTTGTCATCCTCATTCGGATGCGTGGGCAGCCGAAGTCATACTGAGTTCTGACGCCCGCGAGCGCGTTAAAACCCTTTGCGGTTGGACATCACTCTACTGGAAAGCGCCGCCCACAACGTGTGGGTTTGAACGTCAGTGACGCAGTGCTGTCTGGACTCTTGGGTCACCGCAATTCCTCGCCGAGAATCTTTACCTTCTTATGAGCTACGATCTTCTTCGGGGAGAGCCTGCTCATATTGAGGAGCGGATGCGTACGAGGAAGCTCGAGAAGTACCCGTTTAGTTGTACGCCACTTTCACCTCATGGGTGCCTGGAGACCTCATTCAGCTTACGCAGTCCTCGTAGCGAGGGCGTGGTCGATCCACCCTGCCTGGTACGACAAATTTCCTATCCCGAGAGCGGCTTCTCGAACTTCTTCCGAGCGCAGTGCTACGGCAGTGAACGGTACGCATGTGTACGTTGCAAATTGCGGAGATAGTGCGGTCGTAGAGCTTCGCAACTACAGTCGTCGACATACGTCCGCGGAAAACACCTGGCTGGCGATGCTCAGCACTCATTGCAGGGCTCGCCTCTGTTCAACATATGCTTCTCTAGAGCGCCATCACGCTGCGATCTACAAAAACAGAGGACGTACGCTATTACATGCGTGCCCCTCGATACCCGACGGTACGCAGCGATCAGCTATGTCCGACTGGCGTTTTTGGTCTAATGATCACCATCTTCTTGTTGAAGGACCATTCAGCGAGCGGTGGCCCAGTGCCTTCCCGATGCGCCCATGGGCACGGCGAGGACAAATTCTGAACCCTTTGTCTGGTTGGAATTTGTTGATGAGAACATATCATTACATCCATGGACGGAGCTTATTGTGCAGTAGCTGCAATCGGTATTCCATGCACCGGGCGGATTGCGACGGCCTGCGGTCGCCCGTCACCGGTATGAGAAGCGACACGAACGTAGTACCCTGGTCATTTGGTACTCCTGTGTCTTCCACTTGCACCGGTCTATACGCGACACGGAGTCGCTGACTGGCCAATCAACTTCGTCCATCGCGTCGGAAGTTGGCCCTCCAGCGCCAACAATACCAAGGTACGTATCCTCGCCTGCGGGTCTCATGTATGTCCCGAATTCGACGGCTGTGCTGATCGACTGCGGCATTCTGGCAGACATCAAAACAAAGAAGGGTAGAAGATAAGATATAGATAAAGGAGTGGATTTGTCACATCTTATACAACAGGACCGAACAACCAGTGTTACCCTAGATGACGACCAGTCGACCTCGCGCTCGAGCGAGGGTGGTCATGGTGGAGGAAGCGAATCGCTGTGCCAAGTTTTCATGATTTGGCACCGCAACGCACACAGCGCTTTTCGACATCCGTGCTGAATGTATCGGTAAGTCAAGCACGTTCTACGAATCACATGTGGAGACCTGTAGAGGTATTAATACGTACAAGAGACAGATGAGACCGCAAGGGAATAGGACGATGGCACAGATGATACCGCAGATGCCGTACTTCTTGGTGTAGTCATGGTTGCCAGAGGCACACATGTTCATGACTGCGTGGGCGACACCAGGTGAGCTCGACTGTCTACGAAGAGAAGGATAGGATATAGACTCACGATTAGCCTGGTACTCCTTGCCTGCGTCCATGTCGAATGCTATAGGTTGTAGGTAGTGACGATATTACGTGCGAAAAGGTTCAGTTCTGGTTCTTAGGACGATGAAGGGTGAATATAAGGTGAAGAGAGTGCAAATAGGTAGCGGGCTCAGCACAAAGGCAACAAGACGAGGATCCAGAAAGCGGAGGAGGAATGAACGATGGAGGGCAAATGTCGACTAACCTGAGTTTATATAGGCAGTCAAACCCCCTCCGCTTCTTCTGCCCATCAAGCGCTCGAGACAGGTTGTGGCCCTCCAAAATTGCAATTCCAGAGGCTCCCCATCGACCGTCGCCCTCCATCGCGCCCCGTACGAGTATCGGCTCAATCAACCTGTCAAGCGTGGCGTCCTAGGGGTGGTACTGTCAAGATGCCCCTGATACATCTCTCCCCCCTCCGCGCCCGCCGTCACGTCCCCAACTTGCATTCCACCGCCCGACAGGCATCGTATCCGGTGTTTGATACCTTCGGACGGTAGCATTCATGGTCGAACGGGCGAGCGGCCTCTCATCTCTAAAATATGATGTCCCTCTCTATCGCGGATGAACGGCAGTGTGAAAACCAGATGCAGATGTGAAATAGGAACGCAGAAGTAGTGTAAATACCATGTACGTACAGTAAATCCTGGGAATGGGTGTGTTTCATTGCTTCCGCTTACTCTGGGCGGTCCTGCGCGTGTCCTGTCAGGAGCGCCAGAACGCGAAATAAACTACTAGTCGCTCCCAGTGATCACCAAGACTAACCACGGTCGTTCGTAATCTCATGGCCTCAAATGAGCATCTGTGAGTCATCATGCTAGCGGTGCCGGTTTCATCTATATACGGCGTAGATATTTCGCCTGCAGGTCAGACGAATATAGCCTTTTGAAATCCCGGAGCACTGTCGCGTCTCTCCAAGGCTTCACAGAAGAAGAATACCCGAAGCTCAGTTTGATGATATGATTTGAGGGTATTACATCAAGGTCTATGCACGCCTAGGGCAGACTAGGTACATTACAGCGGCTTGCGAACCGGTAGCGCATTCCCGAAAAACATGCCCAAGAACCTCCCAGCTCCGCGCTCGGTTGCTACGGGCCAATGCTGCCCTGCCACCCTGTTCCTCGACAGACTTCGACCTCTATCGATGTCATGCAGAGCTGAATTGATGAGCGCGGCATCTCACTACAACATGGAAATCTTCAACACTTTTTGGCATGCGCTGTAGAGATGAACGAGAATGCATCGCCAAGGGTGACCCGCCTCTGAAAATTGTGGTGGCTTGGGCGCTAGATTGCCTCATGTGACATTCGATCAATTGTTTTCTCGCCAAATCGCCGGTACGTGCAGTGGTTGCAAACGATATGCACAATGGCATGGTGCACAGGATCATTCAACGACCAGGAATGCAATTGTAATACAAATGCCTCTGGTCTGTTCAAATGCCTCCGAGATACACTTGGGTGTATTGCCGTAATTCGACATTGGGCTGGACGGGCTGATAGCAGGATCTGATTGATATCTATGCAGAGCCACGACACGGTTAGCATCGATGTCTTCGCACATTGGGGCTTGATTTCAAAGGCAATGTATGCGATGCGGAGCGCAGATGATGCGCTGGCTCTCCTCTGTACCACATCCTGATACAGAATCATAACAGTGGGCCCCTAGAAGATGATGGATTCACTTGACGTGCTCCCCTATTATAAATAGCTTCCGATAGGCATTATGTTACAATACATGACCAGTCAGATCAGATGAAGAGACCGGGGATACGAGGTTGTAGACATGTGATCAGCGATATGCGATTCCGCGTAAGATCGCAAACCACACGGCTGAACAGTATTGCTAACAAGTAGATCGCTTCCCCCGATTATGCAACGCGAACGCCGCAACGTACACAACGTTTCTCCCTGTCGCATCTGCCCAAAGTGAATGAAGCTCACTACGATCAGTCATGGGGTCGATAGATGCACGAGGAGCGGATCACGTACAGAAGCGCAAAGAGACCGCAAGGGAAACATACAACTGCAAGAATTATACCGACTACACCGTACTTGGTCGTCGCGTCATGATTTCCCTGGGCGCACATCGCAAAAACTGCGTTCCCGTAAGTCGGATCAGTATTTGAAGACCAAACCAGTGTCGTAACTGTCGACGGATGTAGTAGGACTCACGTTGTTGCTGGTATTGTGTGCCAGGGCTAGCGTTCATTGTTGAAGCAGGAGGATATCCCGGCTGAGGACCAACGGGTCCTCCAAACTGATTTGGGCTGTACCCCGGCTGGGAACCCATAGGACCTACACTCTGAGTTGAGTTGTACCCCGACTGGAAGGACTGCTGGTGGGCGGGGCCTTGTGGCGGAGGCGCCAAATATTGCTGTGAAGGATCGCCTGGCATCTGTGGAGTCTGTCTTTGTTGATTGAATCCTGCCTGGCTATGGGATTGAGAGGAGTGGGAGTAGGAAGGGGGAGGTTTCTCTTCAATCATTGACGAAAGCAAAGACCGATGGGCGGCAGCAGGTTCAAGCAGAAGAAATAAGCGCGTCGGGCGACGGACTATAGAGGTAGGACAAGAGTATAGTGAGAGACAACGAGAGAAAGTCCAGCTCTATAAGCTGGAAGGGAGATGTGAAACTTTGCAAGGGTTGGAGCGGAGAGGCCGAATGTGGAGGTAAGCGACAGGTCATCGAATCTACTCCTCACGGTCCCATGGACACAGGAATCCTACAGTACTTGGAGCCGATCGAGGCGGTGCCCGCTGTGAGAATAGCCCCAGAGCAGAGCGTCAGCCGTCAAAGTCACTGGCAACCAAACAAGGGTCTCCTATTGGCGAGTTTACGGAACAGCCGCGTAGCCTACTTAGCATGAGGATGGCTCATGTCTCTGAGTCATTTCGCCCACGCACGCCATCTCGGCAGCGTTAGTATGCAGGGGTGCACTGACACAATACATAACTCCAGTTGGAGGAACGCATTGACTCGGTGCTATCCTTGAGGCGCCTTGCGGCGTTGTGCGTCGACGACGTATGGCAGTGTCAATGCTTAATCGAGTCATGGCTCAGAAGTGCTAGATCGCAAATTCTAGCACGACTATACTTACATACTTGTTTTTCGGACGCATCGGGCGTAATCGCTACAAAGGCGAGGCAGATGACAGTCGGCCATTGTCAGACAGCTCAGAAGAAGGTAGAGTTGTCTGGCATGTTGCTGTCGAAACTGTCCTGATCCCGATGACGTCCGTAAGGGGAATAAGACCAAGCGTATATCATAAGGTATAAAAGCGAGATGAGACGGTGTGTAGGATAATATGTTATAAGCCGCAAGAGGGAATCATGCTATAGATGTGACGCAGACACTGTCAGTGGCCGAATTGATGTAGAAGTCCAGGACCTGTTCCCACGACTATGTCACACGAACCCCGCAGCGTACACAACGCTTCTCCTGATCGCATCTGTTCGAAGTGAATGCAACCCACTGCGGTCAGCCTGCAATATAAGAACAAGCAAGGGCAGAACACATACAAAAGCGCGAAGAGACCGCAAGGGAAACATACGACAGAAACGATGATACCTCCTATGCCGTATTTGGTTGTCACGTCGTGGTTGCCCTGAGCGCACATCGCAAACACTGGTAGCGAACGATAGGTGGATTAGCACTTGTACAACCTAGCCAGTGCCGCCAATGTCACGGATGTAATGAGACTCACGTTGCTGCTGGTATTGTGCGCCAGGGTTGAGACCAATAGTAGAGACAGGAGGGTAACCTGACTGGGGGCCGATGGGACCTACGCCCTGAGCCGAGTTATACCCCGACTGGAAGGACTGCTGGTGAGGGGGACCTTGTGGCGGAGGGGCCATGAATTGCTGCGACGGGTTGCTTGGTATCGGTGCAGAATGTCCCTGAGGGTGGTACCCGGCCTGGGGCTGAGAGGGATAGGCGGGGTAGGTAGGGGGAGCCTTCTCTTCGATCATTGCTACTGCGAACGAGAAGCACAGAAAGAGGAGCAGTCGTCGAGGAGAGGCGAGGTAGAGAGAGGCACGACAGGAGAAGGACTGGCTCTACGTGCTGGAAGCAGGACGGAAGACGTCCAAAGGGGTAGGCAGATTAGGGCGGGAAATCAGAACTGAAAAGTTGAAGCATATATCGGCGACCGTCTCCTCTCCTTCGGGGAGACAGCTACATGTGACCGAGGCGGTGTCTGTTGTGAGAGCAGACTGCTAGCGGCTAGCTCAGCGCTGGACGTCAAAATTCGACATCAACAGCAATATGTACCTGCCCCTATTGACATAATAGCCGAATACTCGATGAACGTACCGTGTTTAGCACGCGGATGGCCTACGTTCATCGATGCCCGCGTATGCCTTCCTGAAGCTGTGTTGTCAGCGTTGGCAGAGAGAGGCTGTAGTCCACCAGAACAACACATCTGTTTGGGGTGTTGACGTGCGATCGTTGAGACGTCGTGGCGATATGCAAATTCATATCGGCAAGCGTTCCCTCGATTGAAAAGGTAAGGCGATTTTGTGAGCGCCGACTTGCCCTAGAGACCCATGCACTGAGAGATGCTCGGCCATAGCCCGATAACTCCGGAAATTGAGAGGGATCGGATCTGACTACTTAGTGCCAGCATCGCTGCCCCTTGGGCGTCTATCGGGTACTGCAGCCATGATATATGATATTGAAGCTGTCCCCGCCAAAGGAGGGCATCGGTCTCCGATCGCATTGATACCTGCAGTAACTGTGATTATTCAAAGGATGCTGAGCCGAGTACTCACTCACCCATATGCTGCCGTCAGGACAAAGTCCAGCCAAGTGAAAGCTTGAAAGGGGACGGAAGCGAGATTGATACACCGAGCAGAGGCGCATCAGTATATATCGATCAGGGAGGTATGCACGGCAGACTACTTACATGACGCGACCCACGATCACTGTCAGGCGTCGGACATGTCACCGTGCCTTCTAACCTATTGATGATAGATAGCGCAGTAGCTTACTACGAGTGCAAAGGGAAAACGCCAATGTATCTGATTAGATTCGACCATCGAGAGACTTGCAAAGCATGAGCCCGGGGTCGTAGTGCGCGATGATGAGGAGTGCAGTTGCGCAAACGTACGACAGACAACAAACAGAGCGGCGATTGACGACTAGGAAGACGAGGGCAGTGGTAGCGTGAACGAAGGGAAAGAATATGCAGCAGAATGTGGGAACGGACAATGTTACAGGCGCAAATGGCATAATAAACACAGGAACAGATCGATTAGATAGGTCAGAGAGGGAGTATGGCTGAGGAAATCTGAACCAGTTCTTGCAGATCATGATGCCCTAGAGAACGTGAGCGAAGCTACTCTACACAACATTTGGGCGTGCCGCAACAGAAAGTAGAAGGTAAGCGGGAGCAACCAGAATATCTATGAGATACGAGGGGTATCTGAGAGTGAGCTTCACGGCGGGTGGGCAAGACGAAACTGACGCACAATCTAGTGATACATATGTAGTCCAGATTCGGTAACATCGAGAGCCGAGAGCCGCGCGATCACCATGCTTCGGCATAGTGATGTCCAGATGTCGACTGTTAGAAAGAAATCCAAGCCCAGGTGAGATCTGGAGCACTGAGTCAGCGCGGAACAATCTGGAGGACGACGTACGGGTGACACTGGGCTTTTGTTCTCCGACGTCTTGCTCGGAGAGATTGGAGACTCTCCTGCGTACTCCGGATCCAGGTGAACCGTCCGCTGGGTAACCTTGCCAACCATGAGGAAGGTAGGCACCGTTGTTGTCTGAGCGTCTTCTGTACCGCGTCCTCGGCTGACTCGTCGCGTATTGAGCCTGATGAGGTTTCAATATATCAGCCCATGCAATCGATATGAGTGTTGATGGGGCACATACGCAGCGAGGAAGGAGTTCGCGTAGACTATGTGCACGATAATGGGTGAATCTTGTCCATACGCAAGAATCTAATTACACTCACCCTTGCTGAGGACAAAGTAGAATGCCATGAAAATAAAGTTATTCGGCATGAAGTTGTACTGCAAGCGTCATCAGTATCATGTTTCGAACGTTTGAGCGGGCGCAAGTGGCCGTTGATATCAAACACGCTCAAAATCCCAAGTGTAGGATTGAAGGCGTGCCGAACGTCATGGCGCACACGACGTCAAGTTATGAGTATAGGCTCACTAATATCAATGTCGTCAAACTGATCGCACTGCAAGAGCAATCCTACATCAGCGCTGCCACAACCGCACTTCCGGGGCACCAACGCACGCTGTGATTCCTCCAGTGCTGAGGGCATAAACAATGAGGGCGTTGACCATGGAGTCATCTCTGCAGGATCGTCGTGACAGTCAATTACGTTATGCAGACGAAAGATGCGGACGATATTACGCACTGGCGGTGCCCCGTGCGTAGGCTGCGGAGGAAGTAGCAGAGGGAGACAGCGATGACAACATCTGTCGCCACGCCCAATCCTAGGGAAAGCGAGCCAATGGTCTTCATGCTGCCGAGGTCTTGGAGACTCTTGAGACGGAAGCTAAAGACTGGGATGAGCACACCAGTCTCGATCGAAGCCGGGTGGGCAGTACTCACCCACGCACGGTATACACTACGTGGTGCAGACAGAGGGCGATTTAGGGACGGTAGAAAGAGTAGCTCGTGTGCACGGAGCTTACCACATGCGACTCCGACTTCTCCGAATACTAGTAATAGCTGAGGGGAATCTCAGGGTCGACTGCTTCAGAACCAACAAGGAAGTACGCACGATGCAGGCGGTCACGTATATGTTTTGCTTGCTAACTATGACAGTACTTGAGCAAGACACTTCAAAAAGTGCGGCTCCGACTTACACCGCCATACGCGCATGGCAAAATTCCTGTGGATCGATGAGCAGGAGCAAAGCAATCATCGAGCAGTAATTACTCACACTTTGACTATCGTCCCAGTCGCAACCTACGCGGTGACAATGTCAGTACGCCGGATCCCGCTCACGTTTCGTCGTTCACTTACTCCAAGTGTTATTTGTAGCTGTGATCCTCATGAGCGCCTTGCATCACTCGATAATCGCACGACACTCACAACGAGGGACCATACAGGGGGCTTCAACAGTATCGTCAATACACCCCAGTTGCTGCAAACCTGTGCTGAGCATCCTAGACGCACTGGGATCAATCGAGTGAGAGGATCGAGACATACCTGACTGTGTAAGTGTACACTGCGTGGGAGATGAGTGCTTGATCCGCGAGCTCCAGCAACCTATGCACATCGACCGCTGTCAGCACCTCGCACTTCGCGCCATGGAACACTCATTCTCACAGAACTCCGGCCACCTGTAACAACCATGGAGCGTCCAATCAGTATCCAAGTGCGGAAGCTTCGACCGCATATACACAACAAGAACGCACCAAGAGCTTGTAAAACGTCTTGTCCAATGGGTACCGCTTGAAGTAAGAGTACGACTGCATACACAGGACACCTAAGCACCTGTATCGACAGGGGAGAAGGAGTAAGCATCATCACTCCACGATGTGCGGCACACGGGTACGGGTTGTGGAGAAGGATTGCGGCTCGGCTTAGGCGCGTCGTTTGACATGGCAGGGAAGTTGGAGGGGATCTCGACGACAACTGCGATGGGATACGTACAAGCTGGATGCTGCGAACCCGGCGAAGGCCGCACCGAATGTGTTGTCTTTGTTGAAGTTCACCGCCATATTGAGCGTACGGAATCGACAGACACGTATCCAGGAGCCAGTCACCGGTGCAGAAACGGGTTACGGGAGGGCCTCGGAGGAGGGGCCTAGAGAGCGAGGACAGAGAGAAAAGGGGAACGACACAAACGAGAGGAGATAAATAAGAAAGAATGTGGGGTGCTTCCTCCAAGCTAGGTATCCGGGGCGAATGGTAGGTCCGCGCCCGATAGAGACCGACGTATGCAACCTCTGCGCCGGGGGGAGAAGGTATCAAACTTACGACCAGGAACGGGGCGACGGATGGAAGATGAGGCCCAGATGGAGAAGGAGCGTCTGGCCATGCATATGCTCGGGGATGAGCCGGCTGGGCTTGTTCCCACTCAACAAAGAACCCGGAACGATTTTCCAGCTGCCATCGCAGCGCGACCTCTTCCAGAACCAATGCCCTCACGATTCATCGGGCTGCGCTGAGGACCGTGTGGTTTTGTGAGCACGCGCAGTCGCGCGCGGGGTAAATTCAGCGGAAGATAGCTCACCCGTCCTGATCACCTAATCCGGGACCGCTTCGCGTGGTCTCACAGGTCAGATAAGAGATCTGCGCTATGAATTCAACGTAAGCGATGCACGCTGAATGGCACGCCCTGGCCGGCTCCCCACATACAACGGCAGAACCCCGCATGAGCATGCAGCTCGTCAACTGACCTGCAATTTTCCGTCTTAGTCCGGCTGGGCTGGCATATGAAAACGACGGACAAAGCTACTCACTTACCTGGGCAAATTGGAGAAGCTCCAGGCAGTTTCGGACAGATCCTCGAGCACCGGGTCCGACTGACGATGGCGTTTGCGGTCCGGATGCGATACACAAATCACTCCTCGACTATTTCCGCCTTCACGATGACACTCCCAGCCTCGGCGCCTCTCATACCGTCCTCCGGCAAATCTTCCCCCGAGAGCACCCCCATCGTGCAACAATCCTTCTCCCCCGCGTCCAGAATATCTGCGCCTCCGTTCGCCCGGTCCCTTCTGTCCACCTCCTGCGCTCGCAGCAGGGCGACCGGGCTTCCATCATCACGTCTATAATGAACCCGAGCCTCTTCTGCCCTGACGACCGCCGACGCTAGCGGGAATCCAAGTATGTCTGCACTGGTGGGTGCGTCCCCATCCGCGTCTTGCGCTCCGACTATACAACGGCGAACGCCCCCAACGTCTGTGCCGGTGGCCTCAAGGCGCGTTGAAGAAGATTTCGGGCGTGCATCGCCCAACGTAGCGCAGACGAGGAACAGTGCGCTATCAGCCACCCCGGTCCGCGCATGACGCGCAACTCCGCCAAGGACATGGGCAGGCGTGAGCACGCGACTGATACTATTGCCAGCCTCTGTGGCGTTGCGACGCATGCGTTCGTGACGCGCTGCGAATCCGACGCCTTGGTCGCGAAGGGCAGCCTCGTCGCGACGGAACGCATCCACGCCCCGTTGCACCAGCTGACTCACGAGCGAGCGCAGCGCGACGGCGAGCAGGGCGGATGGCGCGAGGCGCGCGTTCAGGGCCTCCCGTGGCTCATCCGTTACCCCGAGCCTGTTCAATGACGCTAAATGGATCGGGCCTAATAAAGAGGCAGATGACGACAGCTCGCTTTCGTCGTCGTCGTCTTCATGGTGCTCGTCTTGCGTCTTGCGGCGGGTTTCGGGTCGCGGCAGTCGTTGGGCTGGGATATTGCGCGCAAACGGCAGGCCCGTCATACCGCGGATCGCAACGACAAGCCGCGGGTCCGCCACCTCCACTAGCGCCGCATTCATCTCCGTTGCTGTCGCCGCCCGCGGACCCGACGCTGGGAAGAGATGGACAGCTGAGCGCGAGGATGAACGTCCTCCCTGTGCCTCTTCCTCTTCTTCCTCTTCCTTCTTGATCGCGCGCGGCGTGAAAATCGTGGGATGCAAGCCATATGGCGTCTCTCCCATATCCTCCCCTTCCCCTAAGCGCCGTCCGAGAAGGGTGGCCACGTCGACCACAAGCGGTCTCGTCCTCTCCTGAAACGTCGTGCACACCGCGAGGCCATGCGTCGCGGCACCGCGCGCCGTCGCGATCGGAAGCGGGGAAGCACCAGGTCCGTCCACTACAGTGCCTGGCGCGAAGTCGGCAGCGGTGGGGTGCTGCGCGCGCTCGAGCCCGCACGCGCGACAGTACGCGGGCGACAGCGTTGGCGGCGGCTCAGCCTCGTCCCGCGTCCTTCGCGACGACCGGCTCCTCGTGTGGAAGTCGACGAGGGGGCCCGCTGCTTTGCTGCTGTTGCGGGGTAATAGGCCCTCGTCTTCGAGCCAGCGGAACACGTCGACGGTCGATAGCTGCTGAAGCGGGAAAGCGGAGGCAGAGCTGGAGTTGGGTGGTGGCTCGGCGGCGTCTGTGCCGGGCTGCGCTTCAGATGACGATGGCTTCTGGGAAACGAGCTGGATGTACGCTTCGCGCAACGCTCGAGCTCGGCCCATCTGGCGTCCGCGAGCAGGAATTGTCAGTGAGCATAGCTATCACATGCAGACTAACGATGAGATCGTGGAAGCAGCGACTGACCTCAATTGCCTTCCGCCTGCCATAATGGAGGCTGAGGAACTGGGCCGGGGTGGAGACGAGCGTGTATGGTAGCTTGTCGCCGCCTGTGAAGCTTCGGCCCTTGGTATCTGTGGCATTCCGGAACAGCATAGTTAGATAAATGCATGCACAATTGACAGAGTTGACGAAGTTTGTTGGTGGTGTGCATGACCGCCACAAGACGCATATCCTAAGGCGGGGACTGTGAACATATATGGCATGTTGTGGCACATACCTCGCATCGTCATAGGGAATCTCGGCAGGAGGGACTTCAGTTTCGCAACCCATTCTAGGTGACGAATCACGTCAGGACGCCATCTACGAGCAGCCACTCGAAAAAAGTCCGCTCACCCGGTGCCGGTTCCTCCTCTTGCTCCTGCTCCTGCCTGTCATCGGCTCCCTGGGGCACAGGCGATCGCGCGTCCCATATGTCCCACTCCGCCTCCCCCGCGTCCTCGCGGACAGGCGGCAGCTCCGTGCGCCGATCTAGCTCGACATCGAACACCTGCTCCTCCCCGAGCTGCGGCGTCGCGTATTGCATCGGGTCGAGCTGTTTCCAGAAACGAGAATCGAAACCTCCAATCAGCCAGCCGTCCGAACGCGCGCATACATAGTGCGCACACAGACGCAGACGCAGCGAGGCCGAAAACACGACGCACCTCGACCCAATGCTCGACCTCCGTCACGGGGTTCATCGTGCCCGCCCACGCGAACGCGAGGCGGGCGAGGAACGGCCGGTCCGCCGTGCCCGTCACGACGAACGGCGGCGCGGAGAGCGTGACGGGCCGCGCGAGGGGCGGGGGCGGGGGGTCCGTCGCGGATGTGACGGTGAGCGTGCTGAGGACGGCGGAGATAGGAAGGGACTGCTCGTCGGCGCATAGAGGGGTCGGGCGTGCGAGGACGTATGTCAGCGGAGGAACGGGGGAGTGGCGGAGTAGAATGAAGGGGCTCACGTATGATGGGGCGGTGACGGTGAGACGCCAGCGGTGGGTGTGGTCGGGATGGTCGGGGGGCCGCCTAGCTACGAAGGCGGGAAGAAAGGGTGAGGGGACGTCCGTACGCACGTGAAGGCGAGACGTGCGATGCAAGGGGGGGGGCTTACCGGGAGGGATGTAGAGACTGTGGTCTGCTACCTGCACGCGGGCAGCAATATGGAAACGCGTGCCCGCGAGCGTGTGGAGACTCGACGGGTGCCCTTCGGCCTGCGGACCCTGCGCCTCATGCCCGTGCACACTCTCGTCGATCGCATTTGTCTGCAGCTCCGACAGGGGGACGACCTCGTCTAGCTCTCTGCGAGCGACGTTGCGGTGGACGTACCGCTTGCGCCACCTGCGCCTGGGCTGCAACCCAGAACCAGCAGACACATCCTCGATGTCCACCGGATCGTCCTCTTTCGCCCGTACGTGGATCTGTCGTTTCTTCGGCGCACGTCCCAAAAAGTGCGCCAGAGCAGGCGTGTCAGCATGGTAGCCCAATGTCCGCGTGACGGTCGTCGAAAGCGCTGCGGCGTCGTCGCGCACGTCGGGGGCGGACGGCGCACCAGGCTCGTCGTTGACGTCTGACTGGGCTGGAGGCTGGGCAGGCGCCGCGGACTTGCTTGACCCTGGGAGAGGGGGGAGCCTAGCGCTGTCGCCCGCACCCACCGCGATCTCAAACAGCCTGCGAAGACTGGGGAGGGAGATGCCCGCGACCTCGATGCCGTTTTGTACGACCCATTCGCGCTCCTCCTCCGGAACGAGGACGGCGCAGCGCTGGACGCACTCGTCGTGGCTGCCGTACTCGAGCTGGTGGCGGAGCCGGCAATGGTTGAGCAGGCCCTGGAGGGTGGAGAAGTCGAAGCGGGCGCATTGGGGGCAGGCGAGCTTGGCGATTTCTGGAGGGGATGTGGTGGAGTTGCGGAGGAAGAGAAGGCGTTTGGGCGGTGGGGGAGGGACGCGGGAGACTCCGCGGGTACGTGTGGAGCGAGTGAGATTCTGGGGAGGCTCGGGCGGAGCAGCGGGCGGGGGAGGAGTATTGGGAGGCGGGAGTGGGAGGGCTAGCCTGTTCTCGCGGCTGAAGATAGGATCACAAGGAGCTTCGATTGCACCGAGGGCATCAAGAGAGGCCACGCGGAAGTCTTCCGACCCTTGGCCGAGACTAGTGTGCTGCAGGGACTGTCGTAGCAGCGTCGCCCATGTGAGGCGGGAGTGGATGGCTTCGGCAATGCGTTGACGGATGGATATCTCGAGGTCGATCTCCTCGAGTGCGATCTGCTGGATGGTAGGCCTGTAGGCTGAGCAAAGACTGGTTAGGATACGCCGAAGCGATGAGACTGGGCGAGCGCACCTGCCGTTCTCTGTCTCTTCCTTGGCCGTTCATCGCTGCTGCGAGCGGCGTCGCTGTCGACGGAGGGCGAGCCCAATGCTCGGTGCATCCTTGATCGACTTGTAGTGGGGAATAGCCGGATGATGGGCGTAGGTGCGCGTCTGCATTGCCATTTCTGAAGGAGGAGGGCGCCTAGTGAACGGACCATTTTGCGCCTCCGGTCTGTGTTTTCTCGATCTTACTATAATCGTGTCTCGACCATCTCCTGCTAGTTTCAGAGGGATGAGTCTCTCGTCACTTCTCCTGCCTGGCGCGAACAAGGGCAAGGCGAAAGCCATTGACAAGGGGCTGGACGACCTTTTCCGTGCGAGTGTCTCCGTAAGCCCATCCTGGTCCTTTATGTCTTGACATGCATCTGAACAGAATATGATCAGGCACCACCGCCACGTCCAACCACTTCCATATTCAAACCAATTGCCAGTGTTCCTACGCCAGCAGTTGAGAAGAAACGAAAGGCGAACGACGACACGCCCACCACGAAAGCAAAACGCTTGAGGTCGCAGACTGCAGGTGTGCGCTTTCATCTGCCATACGTGAACTATAGGCTGTGCTGACTCTTGTTGCAGCCATCCCCTCTTCATCTAAGGTACCCGTGCCCGCGAAGAATACCAAATACACGAAAGTTACCAAGCACGTAGAGGACAGGGAGAGCGAGGATGAGGATGAGGGGAACGAAGCAGAGGATGATAGGGAAGACGAAGACGTTTCTGGGGCGGGCGAGGACGACGAAGCATCCAGCGACTCCGGGGATGAAGGACATCCGTCCAAACTCGTGCACGAATCGCTGCAGAAGGGCGGCATACAGACGAACGGGCAATCGCGACACGGAAAGCAAAAATACATCCCTTCGGTAGAGACCCCTGAGCAGCGCGATGCGCGGACGATATTCGTCGGAAACGTTGCAGTCGAAGTCACGAAGTCTCGAGTACGTCTCTCCTCAAAACACCATTCATTCGCGTGCAGCTACTGATCACAGCTCGCACAAACAGCCTGCACAGAAGCAACTCAAGCGCCACATCCTCTCCTTCGTCCCCTCCGCAAAAATTGAATCCGTCCGCTTCCGCTCCATCGCCTTCAAGAAGCCCACCGCCGAGCTTCCCGATGACAACCGCAAATCCACGCACTCCGACAAGGCGAAGCCCCGCGAGCACGCCCGCGCCCGCGCCACGTCCTGGCGCGCCGACAACGACGACGAGGCCGCCGCGGCCCTGGCGAAACAGTACCTAGCCCCGAAGGAGAAGAAGCGGATCGCGTTCATCAAGCACGAGATCCACGAGCACGTCGATGCGGTGAATGCGTACGTCGTTTTCGCGCATCCGCCGTCGGCGGAGGCGCTCGCGAAGCGGCCGGCGAACGTCCCTCCGCCTGCTCCCGTGATGGATCCATACGACGCTGCGAGCGCGTGCGCGGAGAAGTGCGACGGGAGCGTGTTCATGGGGCGTACGCTGAGGGTAGACGTCGTGAAGAAGGGTGCGCGGCCGAGAACGGATGGAGAGGGAGAGCATGAGGCGAGGGCGGGTGAGCAGGCGATGGCAGGAGACCCGAAGGCAACACTTTTCGTGGGCAACTTGGAGTTTACGAGCAAAGAGGAGGACTTGAGGGCATTCTTCGAGAGCGTGGTCACCGAGGAAAGAGGGAAGCCAGGAGAACGGACGGGTGACGAGACCAGCGATGAAGACGAGAACGAGAGCGATGAGGAGGATGGGGGCAAGCAGGACAAGCCTCGCTTATGGGTCAAGCGCGTCCGCATCGTCCGCGACAAGGACACGCAGCTCGGGAAGGGCTTCGCATACGTCCAGTTCGCGGTGAGCACCACAAATCTCCCTCTACTCGCTTGACATGCCGCCGTGCAGAAGCTCATTCCGCACGCCCCTCTCAGGACCGCCAATGCGTCGACGAGGTCCTCGCGCTCGAGCAGGCCAGGCTCAAGTTCGCAAAGCGCAAGCTCCGCGTCCAGCGCTGCAAGACCCTCCCCGGCGGCCCCAAGCTACGCGCCGCCAAGCCTCCCCCTCCCCCTCGCCCATCCGCGTCCGCGTCCGGTGCCGCCCCCGCTAAGGGCAAGTCTTCCCGTGCCGACCGCCCCGAGCGTGCACCCCGTCTCGTCCCGACACACGCGCCCCCGAAAGGCGACCCCTCCCTCGGGGCCAAGCTCGCGCACCTCCCCAAAGAGGAGCGCAAGAAGGTCAAGGCCACGGATGCGGACCGCGTCGCGCGGCGGCTGGCGAAGAAGCGCGCGAAGGCGCTCGCGGAGAAGGGCGTGAAGTCGCGGGGTGGGGGGGAGAGGGAGCGCGTCCGGAAGCGGGGGAGCGAGCGGAAGGAAGGGGCGCACGGGCACGGGAAGGAGAAGCCGAAGAAGAGGGTGAGGAGCGGGAGGGCGTTGATGAAGATGAACACGAAAAAGTAGGAGCATGGGGCAGGAGCGGTAAGGGTTGTTGGGTCGGGCTGCTTGTCCATCTCTCAGGTGTCCCGTCAATGTGGAGAATCCGACCGAGATATGTGCATGACGGATTATGTGCGCTAATGATACAACAAGTGAGGTATACAAAACGAAATGTACCGTAAGTGCAACCGTGCGATAGACAGCAAAACGACCCAGGAACACAGCGCGACAAGAGGGGAGAGGCGGATTCTACTTTTTCCTGGGCTTCTTGCTGCTCCCTGCCGCCGCCTTCTTGTCCTCCTTCCCGTCGGCCTAACCAAAGCCCAAGTAGTCAGTCGCTGTGCAGCCGAAACCCGGTGGAGGTGCACCCACCTTCCGCTTCGTGCCCTTCGTGCCCTTACCCTTCTCCGCGGGCTTTTCCTTCTCCTTCTTTGTCGGCGACGCCTTTGGCTTAGCAGTGAAGAACCCATCCAAGCGGCCTTGCTGCTTCGCATTGAGGTGTTTCGCGAGCTTCTCGCCTCCCTTCCTCACGCGCTCCTCGCTGTTATGAGTGGGGAGAATCAGCCACGGCCCGCAAGACGGCGAGCGGCCACCGCCGAACACGGATACGCACTTGAAGCCCTTCTCCTTCACGAGGAAGTCGACCAGGCCCTCGATGTCGGGGCTCTTCCACTCCAGCTCGAGCTCGTCCGCGGGCGTCACGTCGGGCTTGCTGAACAGCGCCTTGGCCGCCTCCCAGGGCCACTCGTCGGGGATCTGGACGCCGCCCTTCTTCTTCTTCCCGCCGTCCTCGCCCGCATCCTCCTTCTCCGCCGCTCTGTGACACAGTCAGCGAAGGTATAAGCGTAGGGAAGACTTGCACCAGCGCGCTCACTTCTCTCGCAAGTGCGCGACCACCTTGCCCAGCGTCCCGTGCTCCCGCAGCAGCTTCAGCGCGCCCTTCGGGCCGACGCCCTTGATCGGCTCCAGGTAGTCGCACCCGAGCAGGATGCACAGCTCCGTGAACTGCGACATGTCCATCTCCAGACCTTCCAGGGCTTTCTCCAGGCTGATCTCTGAGATCGGCGTCTTGCGTGCCTCGGAGAACGTGAGGTGGCGGAGGAGGATGGGCGCGCCGAACGTGAGCGTGTCCATGTCCTCCGAGCCCGCCGCGTAGACTTTGCCGCCGCGCGCGAGCTCCGCGCATTGCGCCTCGGCCTCGGAGGGGGCCTGCGCGGGGGTCAGCCGTCGACGGCAGAGAGAGCAGACAGCGAGAGACGCACGACGACGAAGGGGATGCCCATCAGCGTGAGCAGCTTCCTGCACTCCTCGTTGTGCTCCCGGGTCACCTTGACCGTCCGGCGCGAGAACCGGTCGACGTCCTCGGCCGTGCCTGCGCGCGCGTGTTGGTTGTGGTGGGAGGGGGAAGCACGCAGACTCACCGGTCTCCTTGGCCTCCTCGCCGTCTTCCTTGGCCTCTTCCCGCTTCTCGAACCGCTTCGAGAGCTGCGTGGGGGGTGAGGGGGGCGGTCGTGTGTACGATTGGGATACGCACCACGCCAGACTTGAGCTCTGGAGGCTTGCCGTCGAAGACGTACGCGGGCTTGATGCCGTTCTCGACCATGCGGATCGTGCGGTAGAAGAAGCCCATAAGGTGGCTTGCGATCCGTGTCAACAGCCGTGGCATGTCGACGGAAAGGGCAACGCACCTAGTCGTCTCTCCGGCGTCGTTGGTCAGCAGCTCGCCGTCCTTCTGTCGGACAGCGATGAGGAACTGGTATATGGACATGGACGCGTCTATCGCGACTTTGCGTCCGAAGAGCGTCTTGATTTCATGTTCCTGTGGGCAGCAGGGGTCAGCGCGCCGACAGCGACAGCAGAGATCGTGGCTCGCCTGGAAGGACTTGGGGGCGTGCTCCGCGAGGAGGGCGGTGAGACCCTTGATACCCATGCAGGTCTAGTTATATGATGAGTGTAGCAGTCAGTGAGGAGCAGCAGCGGAGACAGACACAGCAGCTGGGCCTGAGGTAAGTTAGCAGATGGCTGGAGCAGACCGTCGGACGCGTCTTCCGTGATTGCGCGTGACACACTGTGACGTAGCGCGTTACTTCAGAAATGGCAATGCAGACGCGCACATGCGCCCGTGCCACCACCATCATCCGGGCTGTTCCCCACTACAAGTCATGAATCTCCCTGTACGTGCAAGCCTGATGACGTCGACAACTAATTGCGGCATTTGGAATAATTGAACAGGTATGCATCTCCCTACATAGAGCCTTGTGAGGTGAATACGACTCAAAAGTTGTACGTCAACTTTCAAAGCGGGAGACAAAGATTAATGAGTGACTCGACCGCTCGGTGTAGGGATATGCACGACCGTCTTGGTGTATCTGATCAACCCTTCCAAAATTGGACACGTCGCCAGCTTTGGAGATTGCGCCGCGGGTGAGCTCTCCTGTGCTCTCAAGTCGAAAGTTCGAAGCTCACTGATCTTGGAAGTCTTCTGTGTCCAGGACGCGGCTGGGCCTAGAGCACGTGAATATTAGGCTAGCACTACTGCTCCGATTATCAAGCAATCGCCCGTGTACAGTCTGAGCGTCCCAGTGGGTCTATGTGCATTGCTAGCGGCGACAGTGCAGCTTTTTCTCGTATCTGGGGCGCCATCGTGACAAGAGGTGGCGCACTGTGTTTTGGGTTCTGACGTCAGTTTGTTTAGTGTGTTGAGCTAATAGTGGCACGCTATTCAAACAGCCATATCTCTACACCAAACGCGTTCTGGCCCTTGCGACGTCTCCGTTCCATCCCGCGGTCAACATCGAGCGCTTTATGGAATTTAACTTGACCATCCAGCCTTGACCATCCACATATCTCTCAAAGATGGCGACGTGATCCTTTTCCTCCCTGCCGATACGCTCCTCCTCACAGGACACCTTCGTTGTCACATACTGCAACGGTCTGGGTGAATTAGCGTTGCCACAGGTCGGCTCTCAGAGTCTACCATGTTCCCACATAAGCATTGATACTGTTCTTGACACGAAATTTGTTGGGGAATTCTAACTTTCAAACTTACGAGACACGATGGTTAGTGACAGTGTAGAGGAAATCTAGAATCTCACACGCAAAGGGAGGTTTGGCGACATGACCGCTGTTACCGTGGCGCCGTGATCATCTGACCAACTGTTATCGTTACATGACGTCGGAGGATATGAACTGCAGCAGAGCTGACTGACCAAGTGACCTGTCAGCGTCCAAGGGGGCTTGCGATGATTTCTTTGCAGGCCTTCTCGTGGCATATGAACTCCGCTCAAGTAGAGAATATAAATAGCGGGTTGAACAAGCCACCTCGCGTTCGACCGAACCAGTACAGTAGGAGCCGCCCTTGTGCAGGAGGCCAACGGAATCGGCATGTCGGAGACGCACCGGACAGGTTGGGAGAAACCCCTCAATCCGTCGCTGTACGCACCAGACGAGGAAGAAAAGGCATTCATGCAGGCGACGACGGGCATTCAGGACGACGAAGAGCTGAAGGCGCACATCATCGCCGTACAGACCAAGGCATTCGAGGTATGTAGGCCTTCTCTATGAGGCACGTCAGACCGCAGTATCTCACACAGTCTGCGATAGCTCTACAAGTACCCATGTATCCGTCAATTTGATTTTATGAGGTGCATTTCACGGCGAGTCGAGCCGATGACTAACAAAGAGCTGACGAAGCACGAATTACTTGTGACAGGCTCAAGATGGCACGTCTTCCTGCCTATTCTCAGTTCATTGAGCTGGGAAAGCGACGAGAAGGCGCGATATTCTTGGATATGGGATGTTGCTGTATGTCAGGTGGACGACGTCATTGGGTTCGACCGTCCTAAACTCACACTGTCTTCCAGTCGGTAATGATATACGTAAAGCTGTTCTCGACGGATGGCCGATCGAGGGAGCTATTGCTGCCGATCTGAGCGAAGGTGAGTCGCTTCAGTTCAGCGTCAGCTCTTGCCTCACGAAACTCACTATAGAGCTCTGGAATGCCGGACATGAGCTCTTTCGTTCTACACACGAGACGTTCCCAGTCCCCTTCTTCAGAGGCGACATACTAGACCCTGCCTTCCTAGCCTCAGCGCCGGTACTTCCTACGTGCCGCACACCTCCGGCAACGAATACACTGTCTCTTCCCGAGATGAATACCTTGACTCAGCTACAAGGGAGAATCGCCGCAGTCCATGCTAGTTCATTCTTCCACCTCTTCAAATTCGACGCCCAGGAGCAGGTCGCACGCCGTCTAGCCGGGCTGTTGTCGCCCATTCCTGGTTCCATGCTCTTCGGGACACACGGCGGACTCGCAGTCAAAGGGCGATGGTGTCCTGACGAAGGCACAAAGATGGACTGTCATTCGCCGGAGAGTTGGGAAGAGCTGTGGGTAGGCATATTTTCCGAGGTCGATGCTGAGGTCGACGTGAAGGCGACAATGCGGGAGCACATAGGTGGGCTCACCGTCTTCGGGACTTACCCTGGAAACGCCGAACAGCGTTATTGGCTAGATTGGTCCGTGACTCGGGTCTGAGCCTGGCGACGAACGTCAATCTCGTTACACCCAATGCACTAGCTGTAACAATGGTTGTGAATCCAGTTATCTCAGTGCTCAAACCTACGGTTCCCCAATCCACTTTGATACAACCTGGTCCTCCACGTATATGATCCGTATTGTCTGTGCTCACTACGTTACGAGAATAAGCATTCAAGAGAAACATCGCTCGCTTTGAAGGATGTGAAGCAGGTGAGGACCGCTTACCATGGAAATTATTGATGTATAGTCATCAGTCCTCCAGCTCCAGAAACATGCCAGACGAATGTGCCCAAGCATGGTGCGAATGGGTGTGAAGCACGGCGGTGGCTGCCCATGGGTTCTGCGCACCTTGGTCGGTCTGTGCGGTCACAAGAACCTGAGAATCTTCCGAAGCATGGGTATCGACTCGCCCAAGTGACGATTAGACTGCTCAGGTTATGTAGGCTAGTAGATTACATGACATTAGTTTAGGTGTACTAATAGGTATCGTTCTCGGTGTGTTGACATGAGCGAGCTCGTGAAGGTAGTAAGCGATTGCTAAAAGGAGAGGACAGCAAGATTCTGACGTGCCGATGCGAGATATATCTGACAGCAATTCCGTATATAATGCAAGACGCCACCAGCAGCACCTCCGTGGCACACTTCGGCCACTGCACCACCCCCATGCAGCCTGGCTGCTCACTTCCGCAAAATCTTCTCCCGTAGCTCCGCTCCCTTCAATCGCGCACGAAGGTACTCCAGTCGCGCCTCATACCTCCCCGTCACTTGCGCGCGCCGCCTTCTGATGTCCGCTAGCTCGGTCTCCATGCTCATCAGCTCGTCGTCATCGATCGCGGCAGCAGCGGCTGCCGCTCCATGTCCACGCTTGCTCCCCGAACCCGTCGAGCCGACCTCCGACCGCGAAGAGGGAGAGATAGGGCTCCCAATACCTGAGTCCGCCCACTCGTCGCGGCGCATGCTCCCGCTGCGGCTCGTGCTGAGCTTCGGGCGGTGTCGGCCGCCGCCTTCGGCCTCCTCGACGGTCTCGAGCGGCAGATGGCCTGTGCTCCGGACGAGGTTGACACTCGAGCTGCTCGCGAAGCCGAGGTGCCCAGCGACGGTGGGGAGCGGGGGGCCTGCTGTCCTGCCCCGGGACGAGACGGAGGACATCGACGTCTTGCGGTCGAGCGCGGCCCCGGAGGTCGAGAGGGCGGATGCGGACGTGACCGTGCGCATCTTGGTGCCTTGTGAAGGGGTGCGCCTGAGTGACCGTGCGGTGCGCGCGGATCCGCTCGACTTGAAGGAGAGCGCGTCCATGTCCTTTCCGGGGCGCAGGCTCCCTGAGGGCCAACTGCCGTCGCCGAGGGGGCCGTGCGAGGGCAGTGGGGGTATAATGGGAGGTTTAAATTGTCGCTGACGTGTCAGCGTGGAGAGCTCTAGGCCGTTGAACGCGTCGAGTAAACGCCGGCCTTCGGCTTCCACAAGTTCTATTTGGTGTCGGATATCTTGGACGGACTCAACCTGGTCGTCATCGGGTATATCGTTTGCGCTAATGTGGGTATATGTTGACTCGACCCCTTTGAGGGGCGAGCCGGGGAAGGAAGAGGGCGGGGCTGCCCGGCTGCCAGAACGTGTCCTCGCGCGGGACGGCCCTGGGTCTGTCGCGCTGAAAGTGTGACCCCCGATCACCGTTCTACGGGAGTAGGTCTGGGATATTCGGGCCGAGGGCGTCTCTGTACGCAAGGACATCTCACTCGTCTGCTTTGATAGATTGCGAGGTAGCGTGAGACGCTCCGGCGGAGACGACGCCATGGAGTAAACACTCATAGTGTCGCTCCCATGAGGTTCGGGAGGTAAAGAAACGATCCGACGACTCGTGGCGCGGCGGAGGAGCCCAGTGACCGTAGAAGTAAAGGACCTTTTCGAAGACGTTGAAGGAGAGCGGACGGATCCGGATGATTGTCCATGCAGATGAGAAGAGGTACGACGTCCATTTGTTAATGAAGCTGCATGATGTCAGCACGTCAAGGTCGCTTAGGATCAAAAAAGCGTGCTCACTTCGCGATTCAACAGTGGTCAGCGATAGGTTGGACAGGGGTACCAAAGGGGCCTCCGTGGGTACGGCCGAGCCGCTAGCAAATCGTTCGAAGAGACTTTGACGGAGAAGACGATATTCATCGTCGCTGAGTGCAAGACAGATATTACGATTAGTGGTGTGAAATGGAATGGAGAAAGATGATCGAGGTGATAAGATGCGAGAACAAGTTGTAACATTCTGCAATATATCACGCACTACCTGAGAGGCGTCGCACCCCTCGGCTGAAGTCGGCGGTCCAAACTTCGTGTCTCACGGGCGATGCTACCTCCGCGAGAACTGCGAACGTTGCGAGTGCCCATTTCAGGAGCATAGACGTGGCAATTGACTTTCGAGTCAATAGGTAGGGTCATGAGAGTGTTTGGCCACCATACTGGGTCCACGTCTAGCGGTGGCTTTACAGCAATGCGCGCGACCCATGGCCCGACGCCCAGTGAGACCGCTTGGAAGATCACCGAATATCGCGACCATTCGCAAATTCAGCAAAGATGTATTCGCGCCGCACGACCGTAGGGAAGGGAAGGGAGACGAGCATGGGAAACTGGTTCGTGATTGCATGCAGAGCAGAGCCGCGACGAGACGTCCCATCGCCGACGTCAGATTGATGAAGCGGCACTCACCTGAGCAAACCCTCCGAGTTGGCCGTCGCAAGTTCGTTTAGTCGTTGAGCGAGTGTTACCCTGGACGATCTCTACGCGTGAGGAGCGGGAAAGCAGAAGGCAAGAAATATACTGACGTCATGAAGTCAGTCGAAGCGCGAGAGACGGGCATGTCACTGGCATTGCCGTTGCGCCGTGGGGAAGTAGCAGAGGAGCCAGCCCAATTCCTGGTTGTGGAAGTGCTCGCCCGGGGGCCACGGATCGAGCCTACAACGGCGCGCTTGTCTGCAGCCTTGGAGGAGAAGGAGACTGTCGAGACGGCGAGGGATGGAGAGGTGTAGGGGGTAGCGATGGGGGTGACAGGGGCGGATGCTACCTCGCGCTCCTTGCCTTTCGCCTTGCCATACTGTCGCAGGTGTCATTTATGTGTAGGTTTGATGATGAATGGTTTGACGTACAAATCTAGAGCGTATGACGCGGACAACTGAAGGGTCATCTTGGGCAGCAGAATGAAGATCGTCGGCCCGCCTGGCAGAGAAAAACCCCATCACTTCATGCCGGTCGGTGTGCAAGTCGTCGCCCACCGCGACCTCGTCCTCACCCTCCCCGGTCACGCCATCATGTCACACGCCGCCTTTGATGTCACCGTGTGACTGGAAGGGCCGATATCCCTTTCGAGGACTTGTCAGCATGAAAATAACTGACGTAATACCCCGGATCAGGCCACTTCTCGCGCGACACGCGCCTGACGCGTCGTGACCCGCGCACTCACAGCTTCAGACACGCTCTCACGTCCTCTTCCACCGACTACCACGACCACGACCACGACCGCCATGGCCTCGCCTTCTAAGGATGCGACGGATCTCAATCCACGCACCACCCACTACGAGTTTCTGGGTCCGCCGGGCGCGCTCGCCATCACCATTGGTGTCCCTGCTATGACCTACATGCTCTACTACGGCTGCTCCGAAGAGACCGGTGGTTGCCCCCCGCCCATCGACGTCGACATCATCCTCAACTCGCTCTCTACCGTTGACTTTTGGAAAGGCCTCTGGGACACTCAAGCATTCCTCGCTTACCTCGCCTGGTACGCTTTCACTGTTGTCGCTTGGTTTATCCTTCCAGGAGACTGGATCGTGGGCACTGAGATACGCAACGGGCAGAGAAAGAAGTACAAGATCAACGGTACGCAGCTCGCCTTCTCTCACGTGCGGACTTGTTCATTAACTCCTCTCTAGCATTCTCGACCATGCTCCTCGCTCTTGGTCTCACGGCCGGCACTCTGTACCGCGAGGGCCCCCAGCCCTTCACCTTCATATATGAGCATTGGGTCGGCCTTGTCACTGCGTCCATTGCCATGTCGGTCTTTCAAGGCCTCCTTGTTTATGCGCTGTCGTTCCGTAAAGGGGCTCTCCTCGCGCTCGGCGGAAACAGCGGCAACCCTATTTACGACGTACGCCGCACTTCGCTGCTTCTTTAATCGCATCGCTGATTTCTTCTTGCCTGTAGTTTTACATCGGTCGCGAGCTCAACCCATCCATCGGTTCTTTCGACTTGAAGTCATTCAACGAACTTCGTCCTGGTCTCATACTCTGGATGCTCATTGACATCGGCATGGTCTGCGAACAGGCCATGCGCCGCGGAGGCTTCAACAAGGTCACCGACTCGATGTGGCTAGTGCTTGCGTTCCAGTCGTGGTATGTCGTTGATGCTCTCTACAACGAAGTGCGTTCTCCATCGCTCTCGTATCAGTGCGCTCGGTTGACATGGAGAATCAGCCGGCTATCTTCACCACCATGGACATCACTACGGATGGTTTTGGCTTCATGCTCGCCGTTGGTGATCTTGCCTGGGTGCCGTTCGTTTATTCCCTTCAGGCCCGCTACTTGGTCTTCAACCAGGTTGAACTCGGACCCATCTACACCGCCATTATCATCGCTGTGAATCTGGCTGGTTACTATATCTTCCGAGTCGCGAACGGCGAGAAGAATGATTTCCGCAATGGTCGCAACCCCAAGAGTAAGTGTCGACGCGTCGACGGAGCGATCACGTGATCTCATCAATGTCACTAGACCTTCAGTACATGACCACCGAGCGTGGCACGAAGCTTCTTACTTCGGGCTGGTGGGGCCGCTCACGCCACCCGAACTACATGTGCGTTCAGTAAGATTCGCTTCTTGTCGAACATCGTTGACGTATATGCGTTGCAGGGGTGACCTCCTCATGGCGTTTGCTTGGTCTCTCCCGACCGGCTTCAAGACGCCCATCACATACTTCTATGTGATCTACTTTGCCGTTCTTCTTATGCATCGTGAGAGACGTGACGACGAAGCATGCCTGAAAAAGTGAGCCTTGCTGCTACTGTATCGCTACTTGAATGTCCTAATCGATCGCATCCAGGTATGGCAAGGACTGGACGAAGTATAAGAAACTCGTTCCTTGGCGTATCATCCCCTACGTGTACTGAGATCATAGGGATGATCTTGATCTCTGCTGGGTGGTATCGCTTGAGGGTGGAGGGGCGTAATGGAGGGACCTGCATGGACTGTGCTCTCGGATGCTCTATGCTTTCGGCCTAGTATATGATGGAACGTACTCTAATAAGGTCAAAATGTGCTGACGAGAATGAAAAGTTTCAAGATACTATCCGGGAGGCAACGAATCGGTCGTGCCACCTGTCACAGATCCCAGCCGTCATTGCGCTACTTCTTGATGCAAGAACGTCCTGATCGTCTTCAGTCATCTTGTCCCGCGCTTCAACAAAGTCAGGTAACGCTTCGATGAATATGCAAATTATGGCCGTCGTCGTCACAATCCAGAACGCGATCTCAACAAGTCACTACTACGAGTCAATGGAGAAATGTGAACACAGTAGGAATAATTTCACTGGACATACACCATTACTCCACGCAGCGCGTCATATCGGCACCTATTGTCTTCTACGACCTCCCCGCTAGCGTCGCCCTAGAGAACGGCAAGGCCTTTTTACCGTAGACGTGGAAAGGGCCCCTTACAGAGTTCCTGATTACACGCCTTACATTCCCTCATAGTGATTAATTTACCAGGGTATACCGTGCAGGATCGTTTGGGTCAAGTATCCAGACACCGAGAGTCTCGCCAGCAACCGGGCGCCCCGACTGCCGCTAAGCTCTCCGACGACTCAATTTCGTACACACTTCCAACCTCCACACTTCATTGCTCATCCGGACGCGCTGCACGCCGTGTCCCAGTCTGTGGTCATGTCGTCAACCACGGCCGGAACTTGCCCCTGCAGGGACCGAAGGTGGAGAACGCGCCCAAACTCTGGGCCAAGCTGCAGAAGGATGCGAACAAAGTCATTGCATCGCCCGAGGCCGACGATAACAAGGACAAGGTCTCCGTCCCAATGGGCGATACCGGCACAATGTAGACCGACATCATAATGGTGAGCATGCTCATGTTGTTCAAGAAGTGTCTGGCCAAGGATAGCAAGAAGTACAGGGATATGATTTTGGGGGATGGCGGTCGCTAGGAAAAGCTCCTGGCTGCGTTCGATAGATATGGAGCAGCGACGCTGGCGAGGGATTTTGTCGAGGCTGTGTGGAAGGGTTGGATGTATCTGTCATAATCAGCGGTGAAACCCTTGCCTGCATCGGCTTTCTATAGATCTAGAAGCAAAGATCTCATACATGTAGATCTGAAATCGTGATAACGAACCAATGCTGGAGCAGCGTTCCCAAGAGTACGAAGGATCGTCAATCGATGCTCCAAGTCCGAGCTTTGGCAAGTCATTGACCTGTACCCGGGACATTGCACCACCTTTGATTACTCTTCCTCTCTATCCTCCTGCTTCGACGTATGGTCGGCTTACCACAACGATTGGTATTTGATGTTTACTTGAATAGTTGATATGACTGTATTCGTTGATTTGGACTGCAAAGGTAGGGAGCAAATCAGCGATGGCAACTTAACAGTAAATCACTGTCTCGAGGTGCGGTTGATGACTGTACTAGATAACTTAGTCATACCTTGGTCAGCACCGCAGCGGGTCGATGTTCGGCGGGGATGGAAGCGAGCACGACACACTATGATCTCCCGGAAGAGGCAGAGACGAAAGCGAATAGTATGTAGTACACAGACATTTTATGGCAGGCGACGCAATAGCGACCGGAAGGGGAGAGCAGTAGGCGGACAAGGTGGGAGGCGGGCACTGCCGGCGCGGGAAGCCCATCCATGTGGGGAGGAGGCGCAGCTCAGTAAGCGCAGGCGACTCCGGAGACGGCTCTCAGTCAGGTGTCAAGGCATCACGTAAAGGGGGGAAAGGAGACTATATAAGCGAGTCGTCATGGCCGGATCCCCCTTAGGATACTCGCCATCCAAAGGTGAGTAGTTTAGCCATATACGCCGGTTTGCATTGCCGTCGCTGTGCTGGAACCCTGTGTCAGTACTGAATTATACAACCTTCACATAGTGAGGCCGTATAGTCTCAAGCACCCGAATTCCAAGGCGAAATGTCCGAGCCGATCATTTTCTACGACCTTCCCAGCATAGAGAATATAGGAACGTGGTCGCCCTTCACCTTGAGGACGAGGTGAGTGTCGATGGTCTCGGAGCTAATTGTGATGTCTCATCGAATCACACTGACATGCACAGGTATTCGTTGAACATCAAAGGCATTCCCTACAAGACAGTCTGGGTCGAGTACCCAGACATCGCTCCTCTTTCAAAGCAGATCGGCGCCGCCCCCACCGGCACAGGCGCCGACGGTGCTCCTCTGTATACGCTTCCGATGATCTACGACCCCAATACGAAGACAGCCGTCTCCGACTCCGGGAAGATCGCACGTTACCTGGACAAGACGTACCCAGACACCCACAAGCTCATTCCTGCGGAGTTGGACGTCTTCACTGCTGCTTTTGAAGACGCGTTCTGGGGAGCTTTTCACCGCCCCGACCTCGTCCCAGTCATGAACCTCGCCGTGTTCGACATTCTTCCGCCTCGCAGCCAGTCTTACTTCCGCCGGGCGCGCGAGGCGACATTTGGTACCACAATGGAGGATCTTGCCCCTCTGGGATCAGAGAAACGCGCAAATCACTGGGCCAAAGTGCGAAACGATGCGAGCAAAGTCGCCGCATGGTACGAGGCCGATGGGAACAAGGACAAGACCTTCGTCTTGGGGGATAATGCCGGCGTAACGTATGCCGACGTTATCGTGACCGCCTTCTTTGGCTGCTTCAGGAAGGGCCTTGGGGAGGACAGCCAAGAGTGGAAAGATATAGCTGCATGGGATGGCGGTCGCTGGAAGAGGCTCTTGGCTGCATTCGAGAAGTACGGAGCAGTCGACGCTGGCGAGGAACTCAAGCTGCAGCTATGAGTGTCCGGTCAATGGCTGCCCCAACTGGACACGTCTACTCAGCCTGCCAAGCAGCGCTGGATCCGTCAGGTCGGCGGCGAGGTACTGCGACTTACGCTTCTACCTTACTTCTGTAGACATTATGTTGTGATGTACAAATGATATATTAGAGATCGCGGGATTCTTGTTAGGGTGCAGCAGCTGCCGTGCCAACGTATAGAGAGCACAGGACTTCAACTTTATTTCATCCGAAGGCGACTGACAGAGCCGTCATCTGAGAAGCAGCATGGTCGGCAGGATCAGCCTACCCTCCAGGTACTGTGACTTTCATGCAGGCACAAATCCCTTACGCTTCCTCGTCGTCTTCATCTATGGCGCTATCGGCGTCGTCGGCGCCTTCCCCATCGTCCTCGTCGTCCTCGTCGTCTTCGTCTTCTAACCTCCGCCGCTCGTCCTGCCTTATGCAGGCGAACAGCGGAACGTACCGGGCTACCTCCTCCCACCGCTTCCGGATAACCTCCCTCCGCGGGTCCTCATCGTCGTCGGGAAAAGTCGGCTCGAACACCGTATGCAACTCGCAGAGCTGCGGAAACGTACGCGCCAGAAAGAGCGCGACATGATGCCCGCCCTCGACGGGAGACATACCGACGTTGAGGGAGTACACACGCGACCCGCTCGATCTGTGCGCAAGCTCGCCGAAGAAGCGCTCCGGGGGCACGTCCGACGGTTCCCAGTCGCTGTCCGAGTGCCAGGACGCGGCGTCGAAGTGCACGCCCAGCGTCTCTAGGTGGGAGCAGTGCAGGGCAAGGCTCGTGAGGGCTTTGAGAGAAGGCATCTGGTCGTAGGCGGAGTATTCCGAGATGGCGACGTCGAGTTGTTTGAGCTCAGGCCACGCTTTGGCCATGTCGAGGAAGAGCTGGTCGTCGAGATCGTGTCTGCACTGCATGTCGAGGTGGAAGGCAGTCAGGTGTTCGAAGTCGAAGAGCGGGTGAAGATCTGAAGAGTGAATGACGGCGTCGCTACGGGAAGCCTGGGCCAAACTGCATTCGTCGTGTGTACTGATAGCGATATCGACGAGCATGGCTGGGTCGCACTGTCGACGAATGGATTTGAAGAATTCAGGGAAGTCTTCGGCGCGGGGGACGCCGTCATTGAACATGACAAGCCTTCGGAGACTTGGGAGTCTAACGGCGCGAGTGAACGAGTTGTAGGCGGAAGGCGTGCAGAAGAGCATAATGATCTTCAAGGAGCAAATTGGTGAGGAGCGTCCAGCGCCGACAGTCGGGGTCGGCCAAAGAGTACTCTCGGGGAGGCGCACGTGAAGGCGTTCAAGCGTACCAAGATCAAGGAGGTACTCGATTGCATTCGGGGTAAGTGGAATGTCGGAGCATTCGAAGGACACCAAGTGAGACAGTGAGGTTGCAAGTGTGGATAACGCCGCCGACGTCGTAGGGTGGATGTTGTGGCGGTCGTGAATCAGATCGACGTCGAGCGATGTCAGCGGCAGGCCCTTGGCCTTCAGGAGTGCAAACGCGTCTCGCAATACAATCTGGCCATCTGTCTGGTTGCGAACAGGCAAGATGCAGAGGGAGACTCTGGTTAGTTTGTCTCCCAGCAGCGATAGCAACGGCGGCAACCATCGATTTGCGAGCTTGAGACCGAACCAAGAAAGAATTCGGATATTCGGGAGCAACACAAGCATAGGCCTGTATGCGCAGAGTGTTTGTAGCACGTTGTCCGACGTTGAGAGCGTCAGTGCTCGCGAAGCGTTGGTGTACCCTAGCCTGCGCACCAGCCATGCGTACTTGTAAAACGTGAGCCAGTCCGCCGGGAGCAAGGCCCGAGTGAATCGCTATGGTAAGAGAAGGCTAGGTCAGTGGACGCCGGAAAGAGAGTGATGACGCACATACTATACTACTCCCCTCGATTGTCCAGGAGTCGCGCGGAAAACACCTGACGAGAGGAGTCAAGTTCGGTAGTACCCGCCAGAGTTCCTGAGTCGCCGGTTCGCAGAAGTGCCTGCACGTGCGCGCAAGGCGAGCCAGTGTCCGTTCGTCTGCATATTCGCAAACACGCATGAAAACCTCGAGGACGCGCAGCGCACGATGTGTTTGACTCGTCTGCGAGTCGTAGTCCTCATTACGGTAGAAACTTTGGTGGCCCATAGGCACGCCCGTCGTCATGACTGTGAGCTTGGCGTTATGAGTCCAGGCGACGTCAGCTAAGTGCAGGACCTCGCGGGTAGAATCGCAGCCTCGTAGGTCCTCGCCACTGCCCTTATCTTCTGGTGGTAAGAAGCATAAAGTTTAAACACGTACAACCGACTTCAAGTTGAACGCGACGCGTCTGGCATTAATCGTGACGCACGTATCAGTAGCCGTGACAGATGGAGCTCCGTCACGTCTCGTCAAGCCGCGGCCGGGATTGAACAAGCTGAAGTTCGAATTCGAGGAAGTTGACGTCGAGGCCTAGGAGTAATAGAACTATCCAGAGACAACCATGCTTATTCACGACGGCGGAATTGATGTAGCAGGGCTCACTCAAGCGTCGACTCTCCTGTGAGATGGGTTCGGATGGTTTCTCAACCAAGAATTACCGCTGGGATCAAACCGTGTCGGCACGACACGCAAAGCCAACTTGCGCAGAATATTAGGATCAAGGACGCCTTTTCCCACTAAAGGTATGCAGTACAAATAGCAGCAGTATGCAGCACAGTGTCCATGAGTGTCCGGGAATACGTATGCGTACGGGATTGATATGCAGCAGCGTACTATGCGGTGTACGGAGCGAGTGCGTGCGGGTGTGGAGCAGTGTGCGCGTGCGCGTGAGCAATAGCAATGAATGTATGAAAGTCCCGGATCTCACAACCAAACACAAGCCAAACCAATAATAACTCAAAGGAAAGCCATTCACAGAATGCAAAGCGAAGATAACAGAGAGAGCGTGACGAACACCACCGACGGCCACGCACCACCGCTTGGGACGCGGAGCGACGCTGCGGCCGAGTTCTTCGAGTCCGACGACCGCGTCGACGTCGCGGTGGAGGCAGTCGAGGTGATCGTGGTGATGGGTTGAGAAGAGGGGTTTGATGCAGGCGTCGAAGCCGCGCCGTTCGCAATGCTGGTTTGACTCGCGCTGGACGTCGAGGAGGCGCCCTCGGTGATCAGAGTGCTCGCAGTGGGTGCCACATCCGCCTTGGCTGGAGAACGCGATATTCAGCTTAGTGAAGTGGAGCACAAGAGGCATGCGATGCTTACACTCGAAGGAACCATCCTTCTGTGCATCGTTGACCGCCTGGGTGAACAGCTGGTCGGCGTTGTCCGGCACGAGCGAGATGAACCCGACGCGCGGGGGGTCGACAGACGGGTGCGTCAGGTTGCCGTAGTAGAAGATGACCATGTTGCTCTTCAAGAACGGGTCGCCGAGGCTCCAGCTGAAGAGCGCACCGGTGGAGGGCGCGTCCGTGCCGACGACATTGTTTGCGATGCAGTTCGTCGCGTCGCCCTTCTTGTTCTGCGACGTGAAGTCGCGCGGGTCGACGGGGAACAGCTTGCCCCCGATCTGGAACGCGAGCGTGTGCGGCTGGTCGCACGGGAGGGTCGGTTGAGCGTTGCTGTTCGCGGCGAACGCGGGGGAGACGGTGGACATGATGTTGTTGACTACGTCTTGGGGACCCCGGATGAGAGAGTTACCAGTATCAATGAGGGCAGACACTTCGGACGTGTTGAGGCCGGCCCCGGCCTGAGTCGAGCTTGCCAGCTTCTGGCCATCGAGGAACACAGCGTCGATCGGCACCTCCCATCGCCTGTAGGAGGGCTGACTTAGTACAAAATGACATAACAGACTGCAGCTGGACGCACAAGGGGTAAACCTCGTTGGGAGCGAACGTCGGCGGAGTAAGACCACCTTCGGAAGCGGCATAGAGGCGCACTGGGACCCATGTGATGTTGGACTCGTCGATGCCATCCGGGAGCTGTCCAATGGTGATCTGGCCCTGGCCGGAAACATCGATCGTGTCTCGCTGAAGGGTGATCTTGAAAGGAGGTATGAGCGCATATTATCCTGGGCTACAGATCATTACAACATACCGAGAACAAGGGATCATCAATCATGTCCGCCTCGATCAGACGCGACACAATCGGCCCATACGTGGCGACCTGAGAGATGAACGTGTCGGTACCGGAAGGGTTGTGGAACTAGGGGAGATGGGTACAGATGAGCACCAGATGTGATCCCAGTGAGTTCTAGGTACGTACTACCGCGTTGATTGCAGAAGCTTGCACGAAGCTGACCGCACGTCAGACACGAATGGACAACGAAACAACTGGGATCGCTACCTTTGAGCAGGGAAGCCGAGGCCGAGGATACCAGCGCCCCCGTTCGAGACGGCAGAGTTGTCAGTGTCGTCGATTGCAGCCAGCGGCTGGTTTTGCATGGTCAACGCAGCGAGCGTGACGGTGTCGGTACCAACGGGTCCGGACGCGTGCGTGCCACTGGTGGAGTCGCCATACTGCAGCTGAACGGTGTTGCCTAAGGACTTGAATGTCTTTTGATCGTAAGGTTGCGCGGTAGAACGCTGGCATTGGGTGGTCTTGCAAGCACTAGACATGACCCATAGGTCGCTCGATCCGGTGTCTGCGGGTGCGCACATGTCAGACATGCGTCCTCCTGGCCTTTCACCTGCTTGGAGGATATGAATAGTACTGACCGAGGTTGACAGCAGTAGTGGAGTCACCGACTGTCACGGCAACGGTGTAGAAACTAGACATGCATCGGTCTCGGGCGTCGACAGACGTCGTACGCTTGTGACTTACAGGTCTGAATTGTCACCGAGACCGACTTCCCCACCGAGTACATCTCCGTTCTGGTCCTGTCTTTTGACCTCTCTACGTTGGCGTCCGAACGGGAGCACGATTCCGCCCTTCTTAGGCTTGGTGGACGTCGAGGACTTGCTGCTCTTCAGGATAGGCGCCGGAGCGGAAGCAGGGAGAGGGACGGCCAAAGCGAGCTGGACCAAGGAAAGAACGAGGAGCGCGAGAGAGAGCGAGGAGCACCGGCTAGACGTGGACATCATGAAGACAAGTAGCGGGCGACCTGCGCAGAGAAGAAGAAACAAAGTATACCAGAAAGCGAGAAAAGGCGGATCCCAGACCGTGTGGCCTTCCTTCGACCAGAGTGCGACAGGGAGAGCACAGAGAGCACGTCCAGACCGCAGCGAGGCTGTATATATATGAGCCAGGCAATGAGGCCTACATAAGAGATCACATATCGGGAGGGGCGGTACCGACTTCTGGTAACCAGCCAAGAGATCAGACCCGGTCCTCTGGGCCACCAACAGGCCCAGAGCGTCTTTTCGGCCTCATCTTATTGGACATAAGCGCGAGGTTGGCGGTTATGTGATTGTTCGACAAGTGGATTTCCCGAGCTGCATTCCATAGTCGGCATTCAGGATACTGTGGACGACACAAATCCTCCCAGCCGTCTTGATCGCCCATGAAACAGCCCAGGAACGCATAGTGTGTTAAAAATACTTGCGCAGTCGCTGCAGGACCTCCAGAATTGTCTACCAATCACAGAGCCACACTTCCATCCAACTTGAGACATCGGTGGGATTGATCTGAGTGCGCCAGCGGTGGATTCTTGCAGTGACAATGACATTGGGCGCCGGCCCGCAATAGCATTACAGATATTCAGGTATCACCGACATATGCCATGCACTGATTTCCTCGAGGAGGGATGTAAAGTGTGGCAAGAGCAGAGATCAGCACACTCATAACGGCTCGAGCGCTGTGAGACTCAATCGACGGATGCTGTAATCAGAAGCCGCAGTCCTCTATGCGAGATACGTCGATGTGATCGGGCCAGTGAGGGGATGACCTGAGTCACAGACTCCCTCAAAATTCACAGAAGACAACGTAGAAAATGTAAAGACAGGACCTTTGAGATGAAGCCACTAACTTAGATGAGAGCACTTGGCATACCCACCAACTATGTCTCGAGCACTTGTGCTGTGTAGCACCGATCGAACCTGTGGGCTTAGTCCCGACAATCACCTGCCGTACGACACGATGCACGGTTCACTTGGGGAACGGTGACGGCACACTTCTCGATGAACGAGCATAATATCAGATACACGAGGATAATCGTACAAACCAAATCAAACCATCCCGTCGGTGACCGAGCACCCCGACCCCCGATCTTCCGGCCCACCTCAGCTAATAGCAGGGATGACTCCTCTTAGTGCAACGCCTCTGCCACGAGCTCGAGGATCTCCCTTGTGCTCTTGTGTATGTTAGCAGCGTCTTTGGCGATAGGCTGCCACGTCGGTCCGTACCGAGGCTCTGCAGCGACTGCCTTCTCGATGACCTCCTCTTGTTGCTCCTGTTATTGAGTATGAACGTCACCTGTCAGCAACACATCATCCTAAGAACCAGCGAGATCGAGAGACGAACCTTTGTGCCATGCTGACGCTCAAACTTGAGCCACCACGCCCAAATGTCGCCCCAAGTATCGCTCGGCTGCTCGTTCGCTGCGACGGCACGGTCAAACCATCGACGTGCCTGCTCGATCTTGCGCTCTGTCCAGAACAGACGCGCGACGCTGCAGAGCACCCATGGATCGTTGCCCGCCTTCCTCAGTGCGTCAGCCGAGCGCGCTTTGCGCGTCGGGCGAGGCTCGGACCAGATGGCCATCGACCACAATAGGCCAGAAGACGGACACTCCTGGAGGCCTGCAACGTTAGACGGACCGTTAGCGTCGAAGAGCTATGATGATGAAGCGGGGTGTCGTGCGCACCTCTAGCCAGCACAGTCTTCGCCTGCGCAGTGCCACCGCTGCGTTCCTCAACGCCTACGGCTTCAGCCCAGAGAACGTCATTCCCAGGGTTCGCCAATCGGGCCTTGTCCAACAAGGCACGCGCCTTGATGCTCTTGTTGTCAGCTTCCTCTAGACGACTCGCGAGGATCCAGAGGTTGACGTCCTTAGGGCATGCCTTGATGCCCGCAGCATACGATGCACGCGCTGCGGCGAAGTCCTTCCGCTGCTGGTGGATCTGCCCTTGGATCATGTAGAGCTTGGCGAACTTGGGGTACTTCTTGATCGCCGTGACAAGCGTCTCGAGCGCATTGTCGAGCTGCCCTTGCTGGCGTTCGAACACAGCCGACTTCATCCAGATCTGTGGGGCTACTATGAGTATTACATCCATTGGCAGGCGCCCACGACTACATACCCTTTGAGTGTCCGCAACCGTTCGGGCGCGAACGAGAAGCTCTTTCGCGACGCCAAGCTCGCCATTCTCCGCTTCCAGCTTGACGGCGGCAAGCCAGATCTGCTCGCTCTCCGAGTTTGCCACGAAGGCACGCTCGAGTACCTCGCGGGCAGCAGGCACATCTCCAGCCAGCCACTTTTCCTTGGCCCACATGAGCCACAGAACCTCGGCCTGCGGGCAATGGTGGACGGCACGCTCCAGGATGGCGTTCAACGATTCCTTGGTGCCATGTGCCTTCTCCAGATCGGCGGCCTTCCGCCACAAACTCTTCTTGTCCGGAAACACGCGAAGAGCGTAGGCGAGAATGGCCCGAGCGACTCCGACATTGCCCTTGGCCTCCGCCGCCTCGGCGTCGCTGGTCCAAGTGTCTAGGCGGTCCTCTTCCTCGACATCCATGGCGACCGTGGCCTTGATGATCGCCTCGCACGTCCGGATCGCGCCCTCGTTCTCGCACCGTTCGGCTTCCTTGAGCCACTGCTCACGCGTAAGGAGGACCTGATGGCGGCGAAGCTCGCGCACACCAGCCTCGATAGTCTTGTCGACCGCAGAAAGCTCCTTGTCGCGTTGCTCTTCTGATTTCTCAGTAGCATAGGCTTCCTGCTCGAGGAGCCGTCCGGCTGCAATCCAAATCTCGTGACTGGTAGGAACAGCTTTGCGGGCCTTATTGAGAACGGCCTTGGCCTTGTCGGGAGTCTCGAGGCGTGCAAGCGCAAGCCAGAGCTCGACCGACTGAGGGATGACTTCGACAGCGCGAGACAAGAGAATGCGGGCATCCTGTGCAGAAGACTCGAGGTTGACGGTTTCCTTCCACAAGCGTACCGAGTTCGGAATGTGCTCGAGAGCTAGCAACGCCGGGCAAGATTAGTTATCTGATCGTATGCAGCAGATTGTAATCCATACCTTTCCGGAGGACACGCTTCTTGGCTTTGACGTCGTGCTCCAGGTCCGCCGCAGCCATCCAAATCCTGACACTCTGGCCCACGTGCTGCACTGCGCTTGCTAGAATGACTTTCGCGTCATCGTTGTTCTGTCAAGGGGTGTGTGAGTACATCGAGACATGGAGGCGGACATTGCGGAACTCACATGCAACCGCGCTGCCTCTAGCCAGATGTCTTCACTCTTTGGACATTGTTCGCAGCCCTGCTTGATGATCTTCCGCGCAGCGACCATTCGTCCGGCATGCTCCTCCAAACGAGCGGCAGCGATCCATCCAGGCGCGTGCTTGGGGTTCGACTTGACAAGCGAGTCGAAAAGCATACGAGCGCGCTTTATGTCGCCAATCTCCGCGTCGGATTTGATGACAACGCTATCAAGCGAGGTGAGGTAGCCTTTCGGGTCAATGGACGTTTGTAAACCAGAAGTAGCGGTACCGGATACCTAAACGCCAGAGGTGAAAACTTATCCGAGCAGAGCATAGGGCTTGAACTTACCTGGTCGAGCTTAAGGGAGAGAATCTTGTCACGAGCTTGGCTCATCTCCGCGAAGTTGGTCAAAGTACCAGCGTCGGCAGGGGTCTCAAAACCGCCAGTCTAGATACCGCACGTCAGTGAACCTCCCATACGATGAGGAGGGAACAGAGACGCACCGCTTGCTGGCGAGCATCCAACGACGTCTCGTACTCATTCCTAGCCCTGTCTCCGACAATGACGCTGTCGGATACAACGAATGACCTCTCGTCCCTTTTACGCTTTTTCCTCGTAAGATTGCCCACCTCAGGAATGCCCTCCCATTCTTCGTCCGTGACCTGGGCCAGTCCGCGCTTGAGGTCCGCGAACTGCTGCTGGATCTTGGGACGCTCAGCTCGGAGCTTGGCCAGCTCCTCGTTCTCGCGTGCTTCCCTGAATGAGTCAATTGACGAAGTCAGTTTTAGCATCAGACGTTGGTGGCAAGCTACGAACCTCCGAGCCCGTCTCCTTGCGTCCATGTTCTTATCCACCATTTCATATATCTTGTCCGCCTCCTCATCATCCGCCTCATATGTAGTCCCAGCGAAGAGACCATATTCGTTATCTGGATCTTGAAACTGGTCCGGGTCCACTTCCGCTTCCTCGCCTCGCCTTGCTTGAGCCTCTCTGCAAACATAATCAGCTCCGTCGAGCGAGATGAGCCAGTAGAGCAAGACTTACGCAATTGCTTCAGCAGAAGGACCTTCACGCGCGGGTCCAATATCGGAACGAGTGGTGAAGCCCGAGGCACTGAGGGACCTCTACCATCAGCTACAGTTACGGGATATAATTAACTCCACTTACCCTCGACCAAGACCGGCGACGTACGAGGCCGGCGCTGGCATCGACAAAAAAGCCAGCTTGTTTGGCTTGTTGTTCGCGGCCATGGTGAAGGATGGGAGGCGAGACAGAAGAAGCTGGTGCAAGCGGATGGAGGTTAGGGAGCAAGCAACCTCAGTGCGCGTTGACTTAGAGTAAGCGCCTGCCTTGTCAGCGCTAGCGCCCGGCGTTGGGCTGCATGCGGCTTGAGAGGACGCTCCCACCTCCGGTCGACCCCGATGAGCAAAAAACCTTCTCAAATCCAAACCTGTTCCTGCGGAAGTCGATCCTGAGTAAAACATGGGAAGTACGGTAGTATGCTCACTGTAGCTTGATGTAAGTGTTGTGTTCATATACGTTTGTACTCGAGAAACTTGATCGCGCTTGGCTTGCTGACTTTCAGGTAGTTCAACTGGGACTTCACTTGTAGCGGTGTGTTAATGCCAACAGCGTGTCAGAAGCCCCACTTAATGCAGGTGTACCTCGTGGCTTGTACGTCGCCGAGCGCACACTCCTGCAGCTGCGTGTATGTAAAAACGGATTTGAACTCACAGGCTCTACTAGGCCCAGCTATCTCTTTGCAATTGCACGGGTCTATATAGATTATGAACTATCATTGTCGTATTGCCCCGTAAGAGGTGAGTTCTTCGCAGCTATCGTAGCTCTTGGGTACATGCATATGTATACGACCTCGACCTTCGCGAGCCGTCGACTTTGTCCATGGCGTCGCGACCACTATTTCGTAATGCCGAAGTAGGAACCAAACAGGCAAATGCAACTTCATTGATAGCCAAAGCCAGATAAAACAGACTATGATACAGTGCACGGTGAGAGCGACCACATTAATCTCACATCTCAAATAGACGTTCCACATCGACATCCACGAGTCCATGACCACGATTCCCCTACACATCCAAAGGCTCCACGAAGGGCTGCCACTCGAACCCCCCGGCGACGTCCCGCTCCTTCGAGCCAAACATAGGCGCAGCATGCACCGCCTGAGGCACCAACGTATTCGACTGCGGGGTGTTCGCGCGCGGTGGAGAGGAGGCGACGACCGCTGCGTATGACTTCTTCGGTCTATCGCAGGAGGACGCGACGCTGCCGGCTGTATCCTCAGGAGTCTGTGCCGCCCGTCGTAGCTCGTCGTGCTCATCATCCCCGTCGAAGCCAGACTCGCTGCTCGACGTGAGCTCGGAGCCGTCGACGTCCCCGACTTCGAGCTCATACTCGTCGCGGAGGATCTTCGCCGCGATCGCCACACGCAGGCCGGAGGTGTCGATTGGGGCAGGGACCCTCACACGTCGGCTCAGGCGCGAGGGGGTGGTGTCGGAACGTGCGTCGTAGGCGATCTGACGGGGTACCCCCTGGGTCGGGACGCGCCTCTTGGGCATCTCGGGGCGGACGACCGGGATCCACTCGGCCGTCACACTGTAGTCGTCTTCTTCATCAGAGTCGCGGAAGTCGCCGTCGCGCATGCGAACTTGGCGGCGAAGGGACTTGCTGCGCCTGAGCAGCCTCCGGATGAAGTTGGGGTCGGCCTCCGGGCGATCGTAGTCGTCCTCGAAGGCGCCGTCCATGTCAGGCGAACCCAAGACGGCGATGGTTGAGAAGGCAGTTGGGGGCGGTGAGTCGGCCTCCGGGGAAGATGAGGACAGGAACGAGTACTCCGTTGAGGAGTCGTCTTGCGGCAAAGATGGTGGGCTGGGGGTAGTACCGTAAGCCGTATTGGGCGGTACGCTCACACCAGTCGGTCGCGTCTGCATGAGACTGTCGGCGTAAACACCTTGACTCCAGACAGGATTGAAAAGCGTGTCTGTGTGGAAATCCCCGCCAACAAACTAGCTACAGGTGAGTAACCACCGTCACACTGTCTGAAGGGAGGACTCACAGGTTTGTACAGTTTCGGAGTGATACGGTCAGCATAGCTAGGCTGCCATATGCCCAGGCCTGTGTGTGTTGTTGTTGTGAAGGTGGGTTTGGTGAACGCGAAAGGCTTCAGCTGTTCCTTGTTGGTTGGGCGCGAGACGACCCGAGAGAATGTACTCATGATGCTGGACAGAAGAGTGGTTGTAGTTGTGGTCGGCACGTGGAGGAATATGGATACAAGATCAGTTGATGAGAAGAGGACGGAGGTGTGGTATGTACAGAGGGCAAGGGTTGCAATTCCCCGCTCGCGTGGGCTTCGTATTATACGCTGGCGCTTGGCCCTAGCGGTGGCACCTGCTCCTTTGTCGTCCAACTACCTTTGACGGCCTACAAAGAGTGGAGCGAATGGAAACGCTTTAAACTTATCGATTGCTGTCGCTGTCTCCCTGATCCGTGCAGTATCTCATTGTGTCAAAGGAATGTATCCAGCGGTACATCATATGCGCTCTGTAACTTACCCCGCAGGGTACCCTTACAAGGACAGGTTCTCTACATGCGCTGAATACGCTCTATAGCTGGACCTATCATGACAGGTTCCAATCTTCTGGCGAAGGGGAAGGGGACAGGATACTTTAACTTAGTGCGTCTTGGACGCGTCTCGAGCTCATCCAGACGGTCGAACGGCTGCGGGCGTCCTGAAGAGCGCTTATGTACGAGACTCTTCACAGACTCTTCACACGAGCCCTTGCTTCTGCGGCCTGCCTGTCCAGTGTCTGCTCCGTCCGCGACCCTGACGCTCTCCGTCGCAACTCGCTCTGCTGCTCGTACTCTCCCTGAGAGCAGGAGCGATGTTCCATTCGCTATCTCTCACTTCCCATGCCCAATTCTGAAGACGAGGAACCTCCTGCAGAAATCGACCCGGCCTATCTTGCTTTTTTCTCTGAGAGTGTCGACGACTTCCGCGCGCACCTCATCGGCAGGACTGGCGACGACCCTCTACCACCATCGTACTTTGCCCCTAGAGCCTACTGGACTAGCGCGGAGAAGGATGCGTTCTTTCGGGGCCTCGTGGTGCACTCTCGCCTCAGGCCTGACCTGATCGCGGAAGAAGTGAAGACCAAGACCGTACCGGATGTCTGCGTCTATCTCTCAATCCTTGAGCTGGCCGAACAGGAATTGTCCGGAGGTACGACGTACGTCAACGAGTACCACCGCGTCCCGGATATCAAAACCCCCCGCGACGAGCTCCCGTCTGCTCTCGAGGTCTCCGAGGAATGGATCGCGTTCGAGGAACGCATGGCGGATGCCATGATTGCCTACCAGCCGACTTTGGATCAAGAAGCAGTTGTACAAGAGCGCGAGGAAGAAGTCCACGCCCGCAAGACGACCATTCGCGCCCCTTGGCGCGGCGGACGCACCGCTTCAGCGGAACGCGACAGAGTAGGGGAGAAGGCTAGGCGCGAGCAGTTCGAGAGGTGGCTGGCGCAGAAGAAATCTGAATGGGAACGCGAGGATATGCTCTCGTCCCTGAACCGCGTTGGCTTAGCTACCCTTGACAGGATGCTGAGAGACGAGGAAGAGGGCCGCGGCGTGGTCGGAGAGGCTAGTGAATACAACTCGGGAGTAGAGCCTTCGCCCGTACCGGAGATATTGGATATGCCGGAGCAGGTCCCTGTGCAGCCCTCTGTCGGCGAGCTTGCAGTTGGTATACATGACCAGCTCATTGATCCTGCACTCCTCGAGATCTCACGTCCTAAACCGACGTATACTTTTAACCCGACGCCAGAATATGGTTCCGTGCAGAACATCTCCCCCGCCGTCCAGCCTTCCTCCGTTATAGCTCTGCCAATGCTCATATCACACCCTGTCAGTCATTCGACACCTCCAGCTCTCCTGGCTTCTCTTCCTGCATCCCCTCAATTTTCGCTGAATACTACACCGACCACAGTAGCGCCGTCCGTCGGGACGACGGAAGACTCGATCGAGGACCCCTCCCAGATGTCCCCACGCGCCAGGAGGCGCTACCAGAAGAGGCTCTACATGCGTAGGAAGCGCGCTCAAGCCACTGGTGGAGTGCTGGTCGAAGCCGCAGAGCGACTGAAACCCGGGAGGAAGCCGAAGAAAACTCTATCTTCCGCCCCGTCAACAGAAGATCTCCGTGCACAGGCGGTGACAAGCACTGCATCTGGGCTAAGTGCGCCAGGAGATACAATCCAGTCGAGTTCACCTCCTGCGCCTCCCGGCGACCCTGTGGGAGCCCGGTATGCTAGCACGTCAAGGAAGACCCAGCCCGACAAGCGTCAGCTCGAATTCATTTCCAGTGGCGTTGATGTGCGATGGCTCCGCCAAGAAGGCCTTGACCTGTTCCACCTTCAGGCTATCTCGAAGCTGATGCGGTACGTTTGGAATAGCCTCCTAGGTTGACTTAGTCTAATATGGCTCTTTGTAGCACGTACAATGAACTTCACGACGTCTCCGAGTCCGTCGTGTCCAGCATCTCGGGGGAAACCCTTCGCATGCTACGCAGTCTCGTTGTACACTTCGTCGCTGAGGTCATGTCGCGCGCCATCGTCTGGAGGGAGCAGGAGCGAGTGGCCAAGTTGCAGACCAAAGCTTGGCGTCTGAGGGAGAACCAGGTTGGCGTAGATTACAGCTCGCTCTCGCGGCGTTACTCACCAGAATTCGCTTCCTCTAGGTGATCTCTACGGCAGACGTGAGACAGGCGCTCATGCTCTACGGTGCGGAGTCGTTGAATAAGCGCACACATTTCGCGAGTCTGCTCAGCGAGCTCGACCTCGATAGCGATGAGGAAGAAGGGGATGTCGAGGAGCTGGAGCAAGACACTGCAGATGCGCTATCCCCTGTCTCGCGCCGTCATAAGGGCGGCGCAGATGCGGCAGAGGAGGAGAGCGGCGATCCTGATCCTGAAGGACTCCCGCTGGAACCTTTGTCGCTCCTTCGCACGATCTTCCCTCCTTTCCTGAACCCGCCATCCTCTGGGCCCCCTTCTGTGGATCCATCTATGGCTATCGACCCCTCTGTCTACATGCCTTGGCCTTCTTCCAGCGTTCTCCTCACCGATGTCGAGCGCCCTACCGACGATGACCTCTTGCCCCACTTCATTGACGAGAAGTTGCTGAACGAGGAGCTTCACGAGGAAGCGCAGCTCGACAAAGCTGATGCCCTCCGAGACGCGGAAGAGGAGCAAGCGCTGTGGACAAGGGTGAACATGGAGAACCCCAACGCCGGGAAGACTGCGAGTGCCGCCACTGTACCTGAGGACCCCCTCATCGCCGTCGCGGATAACACGGCCAATTTAGTTCCTATACGGGAGCGATCGCGTAGAAAACGTAAGCGAGACGAGGCGGACGCGGGTGCGGACCTAACCTCAAACGCAAAACCCGACGTGGAGGTGTCGTGGGAGAAAGATGCGGACAGTGGGAGGGCGGACGACCGGGACGTAGAGGAGATGGTGGAGGAGGTCGCCGCGGTGGACACCATGGCGGACGTGGACGAGCCGGAGGTGGTTGCACCGAAGCGCGCTCGCAAGGGGAGGAAGGGCGAGGGAAAGAAGAAGGGTGACTTGTCGCAGCGGGAGCTGATGTACATGCAGCCTGGGGTAAACAGCCGGATTAAGAGCAGCGTATATGTGCTCGACAGCGATTAGCTGCGGGGAGGGGCCTCTGCCGGGGATATGTTCGTTGCCATAGGCATTGCGCGGTGGTATTGTAGCAAAAAGTAGCATACAGTCGCTTGAACGTCTAACCGTGAGGACTATCAGTACCGTCATAATATATTGCGGAGATACATAATCTGGCACAGTGCTGCTGGCTTCGATGCTTGTCGTGCCTCATCCGACTGTCTACATCTGATACTTGCTGGATCGCGGGCTCCGAGCGGTGATCATGGTAAACAAACAATTGGATAGACATAGATAGTACGAAGCAGATCGTCTACACGTGGAAGCATTATGACTACAGTACAGTACATGTCGATGTCGTCATGATTTAGATCAGGCCCGGTATCAGCTTGTAAGGGGTTCTCTGCGACCACGCCAACCACTCGTCCTTGAACTCCTCCCGCAGTATCGCGTCCTCCGTGCCTACCCTCATAAGCATGACGACAGGGATCCAAGCCACCTCCGCAGCCCAAGCAACGACGAGCAACCTTCCGATAAGGGTGCTCATGATCCCACTCTCCGCCAGCCACGATCCAGTGCTAGTCAGGCACAGCAAGGTACCAACAGTGACCATAATGAGTGCAGTGTAGCTTGGGTGACGGACGACGGAGTACGGCCCATCGGTGATGAGCCTGTGATTCTTGCGGATGGAAAGCTCAAAGGTGAAGTGGCGTCCGAGGGCGCGATAGCAGAGGATACGGATGATGCCTCCGACGATGCAGAGGAAGGTGCCGACCAGGAAGGTAGACGTGAGCCGCACTCCCAGCGCGGAGTCTGCTGGACGCCAGGCGAGTGTGGAGAAAACACGCTCGGCGTAGGGTGGAGGGAGGTATGTAGCGAGTATGGTGACTACCTCGAAGAGTATGAAGCTTTGCGTCAAGGTCTGCGACGGTGTGGTTAGCGCACAGTAGTGGTTGGATGGTCCATAGATGTATGTACCTTTTCCACGGCACGCACCCACGGCGGGCGGACCTGCTGCACTATGTACTTCGCGCGGGAGTATTTGGACTGCTCCTCCGGGGGGGTACGAGGGTTCGGTGGCGTGAAAGTGATCAAGTTGGCATAAGCTGTCAAGAGTAGAAGGGGGATCTTGAAGAGGACTGGTGCAGCGATAGTAGTCATGGTTGAAGCGGATAGTTGTTAGTAGTGCGACGGTAACGAAAGCAAAGTGGGGGCGAGTACAAGCTTTATACTCATCCACCGGGTGCACTCCCGGCATCAATCTGCGGCGCCCAGAACAAGCTACAGATATCCGACTTCCTGTAATGGGTGTCGCAGTCAAGGCCTTACCGCAGGGCCCTCACGGGTGGAACAAACAAGGGTAAGGAAGACTCGACTGCGGTACAGTACTATCCGCCGCAGACAGAAGCATTTGAGTGAGAAGCTCATCTTCGAAAGCATATTGAGAGCCCGTCTAACATGGACGTTGTGCTGGTTTGTGTACGACCCGTTCGACCTCCTTAAGTTCGTGGGCAAACTCAGCCTCTTGGGGATCGAGGACATACGCGGGTTTGCAGGAGAAAATGCTAGAATTTGTCTATAGATGTCGCCGGTCACCTGCTTATACAGCAGCTTCTCGGTGGGAACACTTAGAAGATACGTACCTGTCAAATGTGTCCCGCTCGCCGATGTGCGTTCCATGACAAGTGAGGTCAAGGTACATAGAGTAAACGATATACGAGTAGGGGTGATTTCTAGATCCGGCCAGATCCTAAACAACCTCGGGGGTACCTTGGAGATTCTGCCAGATGTGATAAAGTGGTAATGAGAACGTCGACAATTTCGTTTCGGGTTTCCTGCCTTACCAGATTTACATCGCGGTGGCTGCTAGAGGTATTGGGGTTAGTGGCCGTAGCCAGATAGATTGACCACAACGTCTCTGAGCAACGGGTTTCGGGCATGGGCGCGGCCTCGAGTCAGGCGGCCGTGAGACGAGTCGGGCTGCTGATCTATCCTGTTACAGGCGATCCATTACATTGATTGTAGACCCGCTCCAGATGGCAAGTGATTAGCTTTAGGACCCGCTTCTCTGTTCTCTAATGACTTCTGGCTTCCGAACGGCGGCCTTCCCTTTGAGATGCCATATACAAATGCTGACGCAATGACCTCCGTCCTTGGTGACTTGAGGCGTAGAGACCACAACGGCGGTTTCAAACTGAAGGACAATCAGGCATCACGTGGAGGGGGAAAGGGAGGTTTAAAACCATCATGGCCCGATCCCCCTGCGGGTTATAACCGCCGTTGTAGGTTACTCCCCGTGCGTGTCGGTTGGGCTTTCCGTCGCGGAGGAACCGATAGGGGGGACGTCTCTGGGTCTTCGCACACCGCTGAATCGCATGCCCTTTGCCGGGTTATCGGAATCATGATACATATGCGCTCATACGGAGATTAAAGACGTACTAGGTGTTTTCCCAGAAGGACCGTGCCTGAATTTATGCTTTACTCGTTCACGATGTCGTCCTCCCGCGTGCAGCGCGTGAGCTCAAGCGGTTAAGACGGAATCCAGCGCATCGCCCTTTTGATGATTGCGTCGAGGTACACGGGGGACTCGCGGTCGCTGAAGTCAGGGAGTCGGTCGGGACCGACAATTGCGTCCCGCTCTGCCTGCACTTGGGCTTGAATAGGGGGGTTGAGGGACATGGCGAAGATGATGATTTGGAGGATAGACATGGTCTGTAACCGAAAGGATGGGCATCTGGCTGAAACGCATGAGCAACAAAGGCATACCATGTCCGTCCCTGCCGCGTTAACTAACGGCACGGCCATGTATGCTGCCGAAGGCTACAAAACACAACACTTGCCATTGAGTGCATCCAGCGCGATGCTCCTGGCGGTGTGTCCTGCACCGGTCACCATGTCTTCATCTTTGCTCTCACCAGTAAAAACCGCGATGTCTTCGCCGATCATACAAGGGTATGCGTCGCGTTCTCCCCAATTTGAGAACCATTTCGTCAACCAGATGTTCACCAGGCACCATCTCGCGAGCTTGCGCTGAAAGAGGACGAACGATGGCGCGAGGCGCAGGATGGGAAGGAAGTTCATAAGGAAACAGCCTGAGATGCGGAGCTCGCGCGTTCCATCAATACAGTCCCGTGGGAGCTTGGGCATCCTGTCGTGTCTGTCTTGTACGTCGAAACCGTAGAGGGTCCGGACGAGCAGCGCAGCGATGGACCTATAGGATGACATGAACAACTGCTTGTGTCCACGTTGAGTAGATTGAGCGGTATGGGCTCACTGTGGTAAGTTCTTCTCAAGATTCGTTGGGTCTTTGGGCATCGCGTCTATTGACCTATATGTCATCTTGCACTACACAGCGTCATGTATAATGACAGCCATGGGATGTAAGTACCGCCGTGGTTTACGCGCAGACGCTCGGGAAGACCTTGACGACGAAGAGCGTCCTGAATGTTCCTTGAGTACTGCCTCATTGATGAGATCGCAGACCGGGACCGAGAAGTAGACATCGAGGTGCGATGACTACGGCCTGGAGCTTGAAGCCTAGGACCAACTAGGACCAACCAGAATACTTAACTCCAAAAATCCAAGTGCAATGTGCGCGCATTGGCGGGACACAGCCACTTCGGGTATATGGCGTGTCGCACGATCGCGCAATCGTGCACGCCGTGCGGCGCGGCCTGCTCGCTCCCTAGGCTCTCATCGTCTCTTGCTGCCGCCTTGCTCGCACTCTGTGACGCTATGAACAAGTCTACGATCAACGAGCTCATCGCGGGAAGTGTCGGCGGTGCCGCGCAGGTCGTCGTCGGCCACCCGCTAGATACTGTCAAGACCCGGGCTCAGATCGCTCCCAGTTGAGTCCGTTCTGCAATGATTGGCTCGAGACGATGAGTACTAATACGTCCCGTCATGCGCTATGCAGAGGGAATGTTCGTGAGTACGCGCGGAGCAGGAGTCTGGAGAGCGCAACTCGACTGAGGATGGGTGTGTAGAAAGGCCCGATGGACATTCTTACGCAGACGTTGCGGAACGAGGGATTCTTCGCTCTATACAAAGGTACGTCATACGTACATGCGCGTCCAATACCATTCGCATAGTTTTCCCAGGAATGCTGAGCCCTTTGCTGGGTATCGCCGGCGTGAACTCGCTCCTTTTCGCCGCGTATGGTGCCTCCAAGCGGCTCATCTCGCCCTTCGGCCAGTTATCTCTCAAAGAAACTGCAACAGCAGGCGCGCTTGCTGGCGCAATCAACGCTGTTCTCGCAAGTCCAGGTTTGTTGGCCCGCGCGAGATTTGAACGCGATTTGACTGACGTCGTGTCATAGTCGAGATGTTCAAGGTGCGCATGCAGGGTCAGTACGGCCAGCCCGGCGACAAGAAGCTGCGCGCAGTTGTGAGCGAGATGTGGAAGGATTGGGGCTTCCGGAAAGGCATTATGCGCGGGTATTGGGTCACGGTCGCGCGAGAAATCCCGGCTTACGCAGGGTGAGTCCTGGTGCTCCTTAGCCGTGCTAGCTCTATTCATCCTTGTCTACTGCTCCAGCTTCTATACTGGTCAGTGCACGTTCCTCGTAGTTTTTTGCGTAGTTCTCTTACTATGTATGCAGCTTTCGAGTTCTCAAAGCGGAAGTTTGGCGAGAAGTATGGCAAGCAGATACCGGTATGGGCCCTGCTTGCCAGTGGTTCCACTGGTGGAGTGCGTCCCGCCCTTCCCATTCGCACCCAGGAAGTACTGACCGATAGCTGCCCAGATTGCATACTGGCTATCATGTTACCCCTTAGGTAATAGATCTGCTATCATATCAAAACAAGCTCTCTTACAACTCCCTTCTCAGACGTTGTGAAGTCGCGTGTACAGCTACGGCCTACGCCACCCGAGGGTACTCCTGTACAATACATTTCACGGGAATTGCAATCCGTTGTCGCAGAAGGCGGAGTGTGCGTCCTTATCCCCGTGTTCATGAAGTTCTCGAGGCTGAACAATCACTACCTCATAGATCTGGCCTGTTCCGTGGATTGACACCGTCATGTAAGTCTATGAATGTTTTCGTATGGCGAAAAGCTGCTGATATGTCTCTGTGAACTTAGTGCTGAGAAGGTGAGATTGTGCAGCAAGTGCGGACCGTCGTCCCTAGACGTGCGACTGACCATCGCCATCTATAAAGCATACCCGCTGCGGCGTCCACCTTCGCGGCATTCGAACTCACGAGAGGTAAAGTTCATTGTTCTCTTCCCGATCGTTCCGATAGCTCAGTTCAATTTACATAGAATGGCTGAAGGAGCTAACGGGTGTTTAGGCTATGCATCAGTTATGGGCAGACTCACGGACTTATGGAGACTACTTACCCACACGAATGAATATGGGTGCACTACGCATGCAATCGCCTGGGCCTCGCCCTTCGGGTCTTGTACCACATGTCACGAAGACCGTCGATCCCGCCAATCGCGACAACAACAGCGTGTCGCCTAGCCACAACGCGCCGATGAGCCACCCCCACTAAGGTTTTGCCTTTACACCGGGAGACGTACCGAGCTTTCTCCACCACGAGACACTGCTTTTCTGTTGCATCGACGATCCAGCGTGTCATGAGATTGACAATCGGCTGCTTCGTCAAGTCACTAAATTCTTCCGGCTCGTACTCGCGAGCCTCATCCTCTCACCCCACAAAGTCTCCATGTCAGCGGAAGACGGAAGCGCGACGGCGATCCCCCACCCGCTCTTCCTTTCATGTCATATGTTTCTCGCATCATCCAATCCGTCATACTTATGGGCCGGCGCGGTCTGTCCTCCCGACTCCGAGATCATTCCTAAGGGACTCGTAATATTCCGACATAAGGCCACAGGAAGGGAGCGTCGCACTGCAACAATCGCTTCGGAATACGGCCCTCGCTCCGTCGCGCCCGAAGACCCGTTCCCAAGGATAACCTACCTAAAGGTTATCCCGCTTACCAGCTATCTCGCTATCTCGCGTCCTGGCGACTGGACGCGATTCGCAAAGGCTAAAGAGAGATAGCTACGCGACCCGACCCGACCGCGCAGGGCTGAGGGGAGCCATTGGCCGTGTGCGCTGTGCGCATGACGGGCCGTTCCCCGACGCCAGACGTCCTTCGCGGCCAGGTACACCTGCGGAATGTGATGTTGCCGCGCTTCCGTCCATAAGGACATGTGCATATGCCCACTGGTCGAAAATTTCCACTGCTCGACGCCAAGGCTGAGTTGATAGGCACCGCATGCAGAAAAGCAGGTCTGCGAACCTCCACAATTTTCACCAACGCCAAAGAAGGCTCCGGCAGGACATGTAAACGGTAGTTGGACCATTATATCCGGACGCCTTCACGGCAGCGTCGCTCGTCATTGGCTCGCGTACATCAGAAAGCAGAAACCGGCTCCGTAGACCGTCTCGCACGTCTCTGGACCCAGAGCACGGCCTCTGGACCCAAAGCACGCAGTCGACGCATGGTTAATTGCTCGGGTTGCATAACCATCGCAAGGGGGTCTACGGAAGACGTGCCCTCGCGCGCTTCAAATGTCTTCTCTTCGTCCGATCGGACCAATACACAGACAAAGGCGGGTCGTTTCCATTCGGGCGCGCACGTTTTGACAAACATGACGGGCACGCGAAGCAGACCTGCGTTACCAATCAAAAGCTGCGAAATCACAGCGGGCACGTAACGAATACGTACTCAATGACCACGACATCCGTCATCGCGTAGCATGCGCGACGAGACCGCAGGCGCACGGTCTGGTAAACACGAGAAAACTCTGCCTCCCAACACAGGCGTTGAATGACGACGGCCAATTGGCCATCCGCCTTCGCGATCCCGAAATGCCAATGCACCGATAGCATTGGGCAGATAGGCTTGCCCAGGTCCCGGCTTCCGCTTCGACTGCCGCACAGAGGCTCCCACCCGATGCCGTCACCGCCGCCCACGGTGACGCCCCGGCCATCTTCGTTGACGGTTGCGCCGCGCATGCGTTCCCTTTGGCGTGTCCTCAGACGCAGACGGGTTCACGCGCGCCTGGAAAACCGGACGAGTGCCAGTCAACGACGAGCCATTTTCTAACCAATCGCAGCGGGAGGGCAGCCGTGAAGCCCACTTAGAAGCTCTCTGGTCAGCCCGTGCGCATATTGGCCAATGGGAAACGGAGCTTACGTTGTGCGCATAGGCATCCGGTCCGACTCGAGAGGCACGATGTGGACGATAGGAGGTCAGAGAGATAAGTACCTGTACAACTGTTGGTAAGGGAATGTGCAGACGGGGAAAATGTCGGTGCTCTGCCGTGAATCACAGGTAAGGGGGAGCTGTATGAGACGGAGATGCCTTCGGGAGCCCTACATAGCTGCAGGTGACATCCGCGGACAACGAACGGTGCCTCCGTGGAATACAACAAAGTTATGTCCTGAGGTGGCCGTCGTTGGACCGCCTGAGACGTGTTGTATACCTTGTCGTCTAGCAGGCATTGCAAATGTGAGGGGCATGAGAATATACAAGGGAGAGCAATACCCCTGGCTTGCGTAGGAAGACTGAGGTGATGTCATCGTCCTTCTCGAGTGCGTGCCTTTCTGTAGAGTCGCATATGAATACGTCGACGAGTCTGTTCACTGTCGGATGATGCTGTCACTTAGCTCTGCATCTAAGTTATCCCTCCAGGACAGGACATAACACGCGTGAGATGCATGCAACTCAGGTACCTCTGCAATCTGCCAATCAACACGTTGCAAGACAACCAAACGCATCACATGCTGTGCAGTACAAAGTAGAGTTTCGGGGGGTACACATCCCGAGGTTGTGTAACACGCATACAGACTCTTGGATCTCAGGATCCCGCCACAAATCTGCTGCTGCTTGTAACCGATAATTAAGCACCAACTACGAAGTGTCATCTACCCAACGTCTATTGTCAACTCGCGCTACGCATGCCGGGAATGTGCTCGACAAGAGCCAGTCAGATTCCGTAGAGTACGTTAAGACGCCGCTGTGCCTCCGCCCTTGGGGAGCGTAGTATGCTCAAGAATCCCCGGTGGCGTCGGCAAGCCTGTGGCCTCGCTGCGTCCAGACTGTTCAGGTGACAAGCAGTTCAGGGGATGCAAGAATAGGTCGGCAGTGCGTCCGTTATCGTAGATGTAGGGCAGGGGTATGTGCATAGGCATGACAACGTCATCCTTCATCATGCCTATGCGCACAAAACATTCTGGATGAGGCTTCCTGCACGTCCGCGTCTGCACGACTTCTCATGCAAGCCATTAAAGCGTACCTTTCGCGCTGATCGCGGTGACGGTACCTGCATCATTGCTGCCAGATGCCGACACTCATCAGGCTGGACGCAGCACGACCGCTCCAGCTCGTTCTGTCCTATTACACAGTGAAGGCGAAACGGGAGATGTGGCGTGAAAGCGGTGATATATGCCGGCAAGGAACGAACTTGCCGGAGATAGCTGCATGTGGCCAACGAGACATATGTCACCTTCAACCAGAGAAGCTGATAGGTGGACTTCCGGGATAAGTCCAAAGAGGCATATCCTGGACACCAGATGCGTACACCGATGCAACGGATCAGCCTGAGGAGTAGATGGGATTCCGAGAGTGCCCCAAAATTACTTCCGTCGGCCAATGTATCACATACCTTCGACAGACACGTCCGATCACGGCTCTAGTCGCAACAACACTTGTCCAGTTACTTGTGCCGTCTTCGGAACAGGTGGTGGACATACACCGTATCCTGCATTACGGCCTCATTCGCGGTAGCCCTATCACTGGCCCAGGCCTGACATACGTTGAACTTCGTAGGTCGCGGTGTTATGAGCATATCCCTGCGCTTACACTGCCGTCAGCACCCGCACCTATTGGAGCGCATAGCATCCGACCACATACCCCTCAGTGCTTCTTGGGCGCCAGATGCGAATGCTCCTCTAGAGAGGGAAGACGTCCGGAGTTGATCCCCCGGAGTCTCATCCCATCCTGACGGCCCGTACGCATGATTTGAAGTTGACCACAACAGGAACGGGGAAGCCCCGGATTGTGGTCGAGAGACGCACATACATGCTATGCCCGGATGCATCGACCCGCATGCTCCCAAGTCGGCGTCCAGTGCCCCACTGCACGGTTGCAGGATCAGCGGACGGCCAGACCTACCTCGACCCGGGCTGGGGACGGGATGCGGGGAAACAAGGTTCATCAGCGCACCGTGGATATCGCACAGCTCGGGGCTATGTCAGAGGGCCTTGCAACCGCGGACATTGACGGTTGAGCGTGGACCCTAAACGGGCAAATGACATCTATAAGTGCATTCCGGTGTTTTGTATCAGCATCTAGGGGTACAGCACACGCTCAGTAGAACACATAAGTGGCAATACCGAGGACGTTGACATTGCAGCCGGTAACCACGGGGAGAACCTTAACGCGCGTGGATATTCCGAGTCCGCACCCCAGTCCATCAGCGCCGCGACGAATCTGACATCCCGCGGGGTCCGAAACATGTCTGGCGGAGCGAGCGCGGGACGCTCTGGGGTATCCTCATCCCTAGAAAGAGGATTGGATTCATTTCGTCATCCAATGGGATGATGAGACATGTTAAGCGATGGCGCAGGGAACGCTCGCAGGTGGAGACGCAACAGAAGGTAGATGCACACTTGCTAGAATCGCCATGTGCCCAGATTAGACACATCGTCGTTCGGAAAAGACTGTCATCGTACTGGGCGAGAGCATCGATGGTGACCATTGGACGCTCCATGTTGACCTCCGAGCGTCGCTGCTCGAGAAGCGATAAAGGCCGAGAAATCAGCGAAGAGGGCCTTGATCGTACCCCAGAGTCGGTACATTCAAGGGAACGTCCTAAAGACCACCTGGGACCCCCGAAGATGTTCAGATAGGTGGTCAGTCGACCACCGCGCTACACACCGCGTCGAACCACATGAGTCATCTATCTAGACACGAAAGGCAGAAGAGGCGTACCGAGTGGAGCGAGCAACACGTACGATCCAGCACTGTGCGAACAAGAAGCTCTGGTTGTCAATGGCGCGACTCTCGACGCGCTCGCAGACCCAACGCAGATAGAGCTTCTACGTAGGCCACGGCCAGAGCCTGTCATGATCATAGGAGCACCCTGCATTCCAGAGGCGTGGGCTTAGAAGGCAGCCGAGAGGTCTGCCACACCCCTGCCTAATAGGCAGGCCCGACCCCATGCTGCGCCTCAGGGCGCACAAGTTCAATATACCGCCGCCAGGCGCGCGACACGTCCAAGTCGCTCCACGCGAGAAGACGCGACGTCTACCCCGCACTTCGCGCCTTTCTGGAACATTCCAGGCTCGAGGGCCTGCTTGCTTACCTACCCCGCATCGAGACATCAAATCTCAACGCCCGCGT